CTGATGTTGTTTAACAAAAGTATTTGGATATAGAACATTGAGTCTCTTTAGTTTTAAACCATCCCCTTCATTGAAACTGTGTCGTCTAGCTTTGTTCATTTATTAAATTTAACTGAAACATATTAATTATGGGAACCTCACAATCATCAATGGTGTTGGGTTAACCACTCAAGTAAACCAAATTAGGAACTCATTACCCTAGAGGAATTTTAGAGAGAAAAATATAGTTAACAGATGAACAAGTCAACACACTTACTAATTTTATTAGACTCAAAGAAAAGAATATGAGATAACCTATATTTCTTAAAATTTAAGGTGTTTAGAAAGATGATTCAGGAATCTTTTGTAATTCTAATAACACTATCAAAATCTATACTGAATTTTGTGAAATTGACTTATCAAATGAAATTAGAAGAAGAAGAATTGCTTCTCAACATTTTACTAATCAAGAACTTGTATATAACTTAAAACAACTAATTGAAGCTATGGCAATCTATTAAACTTATAATATTCAATATAACTTGTCTTCTAATACATTACTTTTTGATACAATGATCAAAATAATGGATCCATATATATTTGATCTTAAAACACCTTAATTACCACATTATAAAGATTAATCTGCATCTGTATATTCATCATGGCCTATAGGCATTATTTTATTAGAAATGATTACACTCACTTTAATGAATAATTTAGTTAACATTGATGGCACTTTAAACACATACCTATTTAGTAATTTATTAGATTAAATCAATGAACCTTTTTTAAAAGAATGCTTACTCTATATCTTTGGAGGAATCTAAAGACCTAATTATATTCAATTAAGAGATGAATTAAATGGAAAAATTATCAGATTAGTACCTGCCTTCTAATTATAACCAGAAAATATATAACATCCAACTAATTTTTCTATTTAAGAACATTCTAAATATTATGAATCTATATCTTAATAATAATAGAATATCAAAACCTAATCTAATAAACAACTTCCTCTTATTCCATTGGCTCAATCTAATTTAATTATCAATACAAATACTATTTCTTAAAAAAAAGAAAATATTACACCTATTTCTACAACTCGATCTAACAATTAAAGTGTTTTACAAGAAAAAATTGAATAAATCAGAGCTACCTATTTTAATCACAAAAACTAATAATAACCTTCATAAATGTATTTGTATCGTAAAAGTCCGGAAAAATAATCAGAAACTTCATCAACAGGATCTGAAGAATTAAAATCCTACTCTAACGGATTATAAATAGATTTATAATCTGATCCTTTTTGTAGAGAAAGAGAATCAGATGTTAATACTTTATCAAAACAATTTAATTTCTAAAATGAAGAATATATTTGTGAAACTTATCTTGATGGTTCTATTTATGAAGGGTTTAAAAAAAACCAAAAAAAAAATGGACAAGGAAGTCTTTATTATAATGATGGTGGTTTTTACATTGGATAATGGTAAAATGATGTCATGAATGGATATGGATCATTATATTATCCTTCAGGTAAATTAGCATATCAAGGATGTTGGGCTAATGGAAAATTTTAAGGTAAAGGAATGTTATTTAATGAAAATCCTAAAGATTGTTAAGATATTAATTATGAAGATTTCACATCTATTGGTGATTATTGGATTAGTTATTCAGGAGATTTTGTGCTTGATAAAAAATAAGGTAGTGGCGTTTTAATTTTTACAAATGGAGATAGGTAAATTTTTTATTTATTTTTAGATTTGAAGGAAAATTTAAAGATAATATGATCAATGGACCTGGTACATTTAAATCAGGAAACTAAGTTATTTCTAGTATATGGTCTAAAAATTTGATTTTATGATTTTGCCATTTAATATCTAAAATATTTAACTTAACTTTTATATATAATAATAATTCAAATTTTATGAATCTATCATTCTTATTTAAGAGATATTTTCCTTACTCTTTTAATATTTATCTTAAATATTGACAACTTATAAAATAATTAAGCAATTCTATTTTCAAAATCAATCCTACAAAACTTTACTCACTAAATTTGCATTTTAAATAGTAAGATTAATTATCAAAAAGCTAATCACTTAATGCTTGATGTTATGTATTAAGGTTTCTGCTAATTTTTGCTTAAATTTATTTTGATTTATAGAGAATTAATTGTTTCTCAGTATTATTTAAAAAATTAACCAAAAATACTTTAATTTAAAGAAATTTAGCTTCAAAATTTTTTTTATTAATATAGAAAGCTAAACATAATCTTTGTAAATTATTCTATCATTTTTTCGTTTTTTTTATAATAAAAATAAAAGATTCTTGATTTTATTATAATTTAAAAAATATAAAGTATCATTTCAAGATATAAGATACTATTCATTTAGATTCTTCCAAAAAGATTTTAAAGGCTATAAGAAGGGGCTTCTTACTGCTAAATTCCGAACCAATTTTTCTATCCAAAACACTAAGAATCTTTTACCATTTTGAGTTCATTCAATCTCTTCAATTATTCAGTATAAACTTATATCCAATTTTCTTTTAATTACTCAAATTTTTATTCAGCTTCTGAATTGCCTAATATTATTTTTTTGTTATTATTACTTTTCACTTTTAAAAACTTATTTTTTTATATATCACCAAATAGCTCATGTTCCATACATAATATCGAGAATCTGTCAAAAGAAAGATTTTTTTCATCATCTTCTACTAGATCAGCATATTCTTCAAATATTTCTTCAAATTTATCTTCCTCAAATTTATCTTGTTCAATATGTCTAATCAAAAGAAGCCATTCATCTAAATTACACATTCCATTTCCATCAAGATCACATGCAGCAAATGCATTAATAACATATAATTTAGTTTTTTCTATATTGTTTCTAAATATAGTTAAAACTCTAATCATGAGTAAATCAAAATCAACAATTCCTGCTTTATTAATATTTTTAGGATCATTTTCTTTCTAATTCTCTAGATCCTACTTTAAATAATTCAATTCCTCTTGAGTGAAATTAAAATTTTATAATTATCCCAAATAAACTAAAGCACTTACATAAGGAATATAATGTTTTTATTCCTATTCATTGTCCTTAATAGCAATACCAAGATTTTATATATTTTATATATATTCTAAGGCTTCCAAATATCTTTAAAATTCTTCAACTCTATAGTTTGATTTTTCCTCTAATAAATTCATAAATTTTGCAAACATATTCACTCTTACTATTTAAAGATTTTTTTTAATTGATAATACAAGTATCATAAATCTTTATTCAGTAACTTTAGTATATCCAAATTGCTGTAAATAATAATTATATATATAAGCTGACATATCTTAATCCCTTAATAATTTATTTTCTTTTTAATTTGATATTTTTTCTAAATAGAATGTACTTATCATTTTGAGTACAAGTTTAAGTGGTAAGAAATTTATAAATTTCCCCATATTTTTAGATTTAATTTTNATTATAATTTAAAAAATATAAAGTATCATTTCAAGATATAAGATACTATTCATTTAGATTCTTCCAAAAAGATTTTAAAGGCTATAAGAAGGGGCTTCTTACTGCTAAATTCCGAACCAATTTTTCTATCCAAAACACTAAGAATCTTTTACCATTTTGAGTTCATTCAATCTCTTCAATTATTCAGTATAAACTTATATCCAATTTTCTTTTAATTACTCAAATTTTTATTCAGCTTCTGAATTGCCTAATATTATTTTTTTGTTATTATTACTTTTCACTTTTAAAAACTTATTTTTTTATATATCACCAAATAGCTCATGTTCCATACATAATATCGAGAATCTGTCAAAAGAAAGATTTTTTTCATCATCTTCTACTAGATCAGCATATTCTTCAAATATTTCTTCAAATTTATCTTCCTCAAATTTATCTTGTTCAATATGTCTAATCAAAAGAAGCCATTCATCTAAATTACACATTCCATTTCCATCAAGATCACATGCAGCAAATGCATTAATAACATATAATTTAGTTTTTTCTATATTGTTTCTAAATATAGTTAAAACTCTAATCATGAGTAAATCAAAATCAACAATTCCTGCTTTATTAATATTTTTAGGATCATTTTCTTTCTAATTCTCTAGATCCTACTTTAAATAATTCAATTCCTCTTGAGTGAAATTAAAATTTTATAATTATCCCAAATAAACTAAAGCACTTACATAAGGAATATAATGTTTTTATTCCTATTCATTGTCCTTAATAGCAATACCAAGATTTTATATATTTTATATATATTCTAAGGCTTCCAAATATCTTTAAAATTCTTCAACTCTATAGTTTGATTTTTCCTCTAATAAATTCATAAATTTTGCAAACATATTCACTCTTACTATTTAAAGATTTTTTTTAATTGATAATACAAGTATCATAAATCTTTATTCAGTAACTTTAGTATATCCAAATTGCTGTAAATAATAATTATATATATAAGCTGACATATCTTAATCCCTTAATAATTTATTTTCTTTTTAATTTGATATTTTTTCTAAATAGAATGTACTTATCATTTTGAGTACAAGTTTAAGTGGTAAGAAATTTATAAATTTCCCCATATTTTTAGATTTAATTTTTTCGATAAGCAATTTTGATTAATTTTTTTGAAAATCATAACTGATTGTCACCTAGAATATAATCTTATAAAGATTACTTTTTATCCTAATTAAGGTGCCGCTTTTTTATTTTTCCTTTATGCCAATGTATTTAATTTTTAAGTTTATGATTTCATTTCTTATTAAGAAATAACTTAATTGAGATCAATTGCATCAGACATAATTTAATTTTCTAATTCCTATATTTTTATATGTAAATGAGTTATTTAATCAAAAAATTTAGAATTCTGTTCTTTGAGCTCCTTATTTTATTATGTCAAATTATGATTATGGTAAAAAAAATTAATCACTATAATTGTTTATAATTCTTCTATTTTGGAAAGATTTAATTAAATATTACTTTCTAATTAAAATAATTTTATTCCTTAAAATTTATTAAATGTGATCATTGATTTAATTTTATTGTTATTACATAAAGTTTGTAAATTTTGAGTAGGTTATTTTTCAAAAATAATGGAGGCTCGCTTAAAACTTGTTCTCATAGAAGGTTATCTCATTATTTAAGGTGTGCTCTATGGAATTCCAGATTAAGTGAATTAATTATCAACATATTTAATTATTTCTTCTTCAGTTAATTTTTCTATAGTATCGATGTTTAAAAATTAAATATTTGTTTAAGTAAAATCACTTTCTGTTTTATCTTTCGGAATATTTAAAAATTCTATAAAATTGATAGCTTAATCACAAATATCTTAGTTTAGATCATCAAATTTTTTATCAATTAAATTTAGATTTGTTTAAACTTCTTTCATTTTTGTATAATTATAAATGAAATCTAATTCTACTTATTGTGCTTTTTCTCTTGTTTCAACAATCCTCTCAGTATTAAATTCTATTTAATTTAATTCTTTTTCTTCTTCATCTTATTATTCTGTGATTGTTAGAGAGGAATTCTCTTATTATTCTTCTATTAGTGGAGTAAACTTATTTTCTTTATTTTAACTTGTATTACCTTATTAACTTAAATTAGAATTAGATCCAATTTATTGACTTTATAATAATGAATACCTTATTTATAAAGTTGATAATCTATGATCTTTCACCACTTTATTCTCTAAGTAATCAATTTTTCGTTACAGTTAAAGAACTTCATAACCTAATTCTTTAATCTTTCTATTTTTAATAAGAATTTCATTTTGTTTTATTCTAGTTATTATTTTATTAATTAATTTTAGCTTGTAGATCTTTTATTTCATTTTCATTCTTTTAAATTAGTGTTGATTGATTTATATTTTAAGATTTAATTGAAATCAATTACTTTTCCATATCTTCATGAGCCAAAACGTGATTATTGTTGATTCTAATAATTTCATCAATTTTTTATATTTCTAAGTGTTTTTCCTATAAGGTTAATTAATATTTTTGATCTGATATCTAATAATTTAATTCTCTCATAAATGTATCAAATAAATTAGCCATTTCTCTACAATCTTGGGTAAAATAATCACGAATATATTATTCGATTTTCAATAATAATTCTGTTCGATTATTTTAATTTATTTATTGAATAAATAGTCTTTCTGCTTATTTAGTTTATATTCTTTTAGATCCATTATTTTTACTATAAAACCTTCTCACAATTATTAAATAAAAAGTATTTATTAGGAGGCGAATTATGAGCAGTTCTAACATTATTTCTGAAAGAGGGGCAACTATCAATAGATTATAATAAAGAATCACTTTATTAAAATTATTAAGATTTATTTCTATCATGAATAAAATTTTAAGTTTCTACATTAATATAATGAGATTTACTTAAACTTTATTTACATTAATCATAAAAATTATTCATTATTTTTTATGTGTCAATTGATTTTAGAGGATCAGTTTAAGAAGTTTTCACTCTATTTTCTGATTTGAAATAACATTATTTATTAGAGTGTTTATTATTTAAGAATGGCTGCAAAGTTTTTTAAGTGTTATTGTTTCGAGCATCCATTGAAAAGTAAAGATTTAAATAGTTTAATTATTATATAGCACTAAATATGAAAAACTAAATTTAATTATAAAAATATGATAAATTCATTTTAAGAGGGAGATCACACTAGCAGCATCTATATTATGTATTGATGCAATATGCCTTTTAATAAAAGTTTTATCCATGTTTGTTTTATTTCTAATACCTATTTTTTTAAAATTATAATTTAAAGGCCTTTTTGGATTTAAATAAGAAGTCAACAATTTTTAAATACTTGAGCTATTGTTAATATAAGAGTTCAAATCTACAGAATCATTGTACTTTCTATTTTTAATTGATTTGCTTTTAATAGGAGTAGTTTAAGTAATCATTTATGATTAATGAGTTATCTTATTTTATGAAAAATATCTGCCTCTAATTGGACTTTTTGGTTCAGTGGTTTAAATTTTTTCAACATCATTTTCAGGAAGAGTTTTAATCCTATTTTATGTTTGTTTATGTTTAATAGGAAGTAAATTCTATTATTACAAAGATTAACTTATTAAAATATGATTTTAAAGATCTACTTGCGAACAATATTAAATTGGTTATTTAATTGAAGATCTTGATTTTCTTACTTATATTATATCAATTCCATTATTTGTATTTTTAATTTAAGTTTGATTTTAATGAGGTATTCTTGTATTACTTTTTATAACTAAAGGAATTTGTTCTTCCTAAATTAATTATCGAATATATAGCTATTTTTAATAATTAACATCTAATTTATAAAGAATTTCTCTATATTTTTTTCTATCAAATTTAACATTTTCTGGTAAATCTATTTTAATTTAACTAGGATATATTAATTCAGGTTCTGATCCTCTAAATTCATTTAGTAAAGGATGAGAGATAGCTTCATCAACTGTCATTCTTTTTTAAGGATTCCAAGTTAAACAATTTTAAATAAAATCTATAATATGATCTTAAGTTTTGATATATGATGATAAATTTCTTTTTTTTGTATTTTAAATTTCTCTAAATAATTTATCAGCAAATGGTGCATTTATTTAATTTAGATCATCTTATGAAGGCCTACCAAGAACTTCTATAATTTTTTCTAATTAATTTAGTGTTGATTAACCAGCAAATATAGATTTACATATTATCATTTCCCCTAATATACATCCAACACTCCACATATCAACAGATTTTGAATAGGATAGAGATCCTAATAGAATTTCAGGGGCTCTATACCATCTTGTTGCAACATATTCGGTCATCACATTATAACCATCAATTTCATTTGCTAACCTTGCTAATCCAAAATCAGCTAATTTTATTTTGCAATCTGAATCTATCAATATATTTGAAGGCTTTAAGTCCCTATGAATCAATCCTCCAGAATGAATATACTTTAAGCATTTCAGCAATTAATAAAGTATGTAAATAATATGTTATACTGAAAGAAGATTTGCCCGTATAACCTTATATTGAATATTTAATACTTTATGAAGATCTGATTCCACATATTCAAAGGTCATATATAAATCTTTCATATTCAAAGCTCTATGTATACGTAACAATTTCACAATATTCTCATGTTACGTTAATTATTAGAGATACATTACTTCCCTATATGTTCTCTATGCATCTGTATCATTAGAAAATGCATCAAAAACCTTTATAATACCTATTACAAAACCTTTTTCAAAGCAACAATCTTCTTTGTTTATTTGTCTATTGCCTTCCAAATTATCCCATAAGCTCCTTTTCCTTTAAACTCTATTATTTAATAATATTTAGAGATGTTCTCATCTATAGATGATGTTTCATCATTACCATGTACTTATTACATGTAAAATTATTTATAAATTTATTCATATTCAAAATATTATTTACTTCTCTTTTTTATATTATTCTTAATATAACATTACCTAAAGACACTAAAATATTATCATAGAAATAATTATTATTTAAGTGGCCCTATAAGATTTTTCCAATTATTATTTCTTTAGTTGCTAATCTAGTAGTCAGTTCTTTCATTTTAGATTAAAAAATTATTAAAGGAATGTAGGTGTGCTTATATTTTAGAAACTATACAGATTGATATATATCTGTAAATTTATTACAAGAATAATGAGAAATTTCATAAACCAAACTTTCGGAAAATTTTGTCCTGCTAATTTTTCAAAGAATAAAATGTTATTCTATATTTTTATTCACAAAATTTTTTGATTAACTCAAGAATTATTATAGAAGAGAAAATTTTTGATTATCATAAATTAAGGGATACTTTTTTAATCAAACTTAAAAATTTCGATTTATAATTCAATATAATTATTTAATAATCATAATAATTATGATTATTTTATTCTAAATCTAATTTCTAGGTAAATAAACTCCTTATTTAACAATTAAAATTTTTTGTAAACTATGCAATTGTTTCGTGCTTTTTTGATATATGACTTTGGAATATCATCTTTTTACTTATCAGTGAGAAGAGATTTTGAATTAGATAACATTTGGAAGGCAAATTTAAAAGAAATTACCCAATAAATACAAATATAGAATGTTATAGAGGAAAAAGAATTCTAAATGAAATCTAATTATGGTTGTATTAGAGGAAAATTCGATATTTTAAAAAGTAATTTAAGTAATACTCATATTTAGATCGAGTATTAATTTTAATTTCCACAAACCAGGTACATGAAATATTTTAAGCTGAACTTTTACTTTAACTTTACTCTTATCTTTTTGAACTTACTTAATACTAGAAAGTACCTGTCATAAGCATATAATAGTTAAATATTAGTGATCTAGAACTTTATTAAAAGAGTGAAGTCGAGAAAATCATAAAAAAATATGAAGAAAAATTAACAACATCGAATATTTTTGTGACCAGTTTGTCATAAAGAAGTTCATCAGAAATAAATGAATAAAAACAATAAAACCTAAAAACATGTACATTTCAAACTGAAGAAAGCATTGAAAAATCTTCTTGTTATATTCAAAAAAGTTGGAACTATAATTAAAAAGCCTTTAAAGGCTTTTTAATGTATGATAAAAAAAAACAATTCTTTTTAATGTTGATAAGAAAAGGTTTTAATAATGATTCAGTTTGGGTTGAAGAGAGAGGGAGAATCGAAAAATTGATTGGAGGCCTAAATAAGTAAAAAACTTCAATAATGTCTACATCTACCTAATTTGCTTAATATTTAATAGAATATGATAGTTAGACGAGTACTCTATTTTATGTTTATAATAGACTTCTATTTTATTTTGTTATCTAATAATATAATTCCCGATTCACCTTAATACGAGCTATTATAAAGAATAAAACGATTTATTTCAAATTAATCAAATTTGTAAAAAGTAATTTTATATTTTTAAAAAAATAGCATTGTAAATTTGAGATTGAAAACTCATGCTTATGTGCTGTAAGTGATATTATAGATGCACAGGAAAGAATTTACATCAAAAAATTCCACACACAAATTATTGAAACTAATTTATTTAAGAAGTCAACTTCCACTTAATAATCTACTAATGTGCAATCAATGAATAGTATTACAAATAATTAAGAAAACAAATAAAAATTAGAATTGTTACCATGATAATTTTAAATTGATATAAATTAAATAATTAATTGAAAAAATGCTATAAAAATTAATCGTAGATTTATAATTTATTTTCTCGTTTCATGTTAAACTTATTGAATATTGATTTTTAAGTCACCAACTTTGCTTTTTTAATAAAATTAATATAATACTATCTGAATAAACTTTTTTATCTTTAAATTATTGTATTCGATTTTTCTTAAAACTTATATATATTCTATCTAAAGTAATCAAGAATTTTGCAGTATATTTTGGTTTCTTTTTTATCTTAATAATACCTTTTATTCTTAAGTAGATTATTGCATATATTAATTATTTTTTAGTATATATTCATCATCTAAAACAAATCAATCTTATAAATTAACTTAAATATCACTCAAATTTTATGGCTAATACTCTCCTTATTATTTTTGAAATTTCATAATACCACTTTTATATTATAATCTAATATATATCAACATTTGATAAAATTATCATAAGAATTAAGTTGATTTCTTTAATAAGTCAACTTTTAAACCATATTTATTTTCTGTGTCATGTTACTCCCATTTTAAGTCAATTTGATCATGATAGATTTTTCTAAAATTCTTTTCTCTAACACAGTAAATTTCTTTATATCATTTTGATTAGGATAAGAGCTGATTTTTTAAAATGATTTTGAACTTAAAATATTCAATATCGTGATTGATATAATTTTATCTTTTTATCAAGAAAATAAAAATAAAAAAGCTTTTAACAATTTTCACTCAAAATACAAATATAAATTAGAATATTAACCTATTAATTTTAAATTGAATAATTTAGAGCCAAACTAAAATTTATGCAACGAATATAATGATGCCAAAAATTTTTTAATTAAATTAAATATTGTTAGGTACAGTGAAATTAAGAAATTTCTAACTCCTAATATTGTATTATTTTAAAAATTAAATAATCCTATTTTGATTTAAATAACTTGAATTTAATCCTAATATAGCTTTAGATTATGTATGACTTTTCTCTAAATTAAATTGCAAAATGTTAGAACATTTTATGATTGTTTACAATTTCTTATTAAAATTTAGGATTAAATGATAAACTCTGTTAANTTTATTTTCTCGTTTCATGTTAAACTTATTGAATATTGATTTTTAAGTCACCAACTTTGCTTTTTTAATAAAATTAATATAATACTATCTGAATAAACTTTTTTATCTTTAAATTATTGTATTCGATTTTTCTTAAAACTTATATATATTCTATCTAAAGTAATCAAGAATTTTGCAGTATATTTTGGTTTCTTTTTTATCTTAATAATACCTTTTATTCTTAAGTAGATTATTGCATATATTAATTATTTTTTAGTATATATTCATCATCTAAAACAAATCAATCTTATAAATTAACTTAAATATCACTCAAATTTTATGGCTAATACTCTCCTTATTATTTTTGAAATTTCATAATACCACTTTTATATTATAATCTAATATATATCAACATTTGATAAAATTATCATAAGAATTAAGTTGATTTCTTTAATAAGTCAACTTTTAAACCATATTTATTTTCTGTGTCATGTTACTCCCATTTTAAGTCAATTTGATCATGATAGATTTTTCTAAAATTCTTTTCTCTAACACAGTAAATTTCTTTATATCATTTTGATTAGGATAAGAGCTGATTTTTTAAAATGATTTTGAACTTAAAATATTCAATATCGTGATTGATATAATTTTATCTTTTTATCAAGAAAATAAAAATAAAAAAGCTTTTAACAATTTTCACTCAAAATACAAATATAAATTAGAATATTAACCTATTAATTTTAAATTGAATAATTTAGAGCCAAACTAAAATTTATGCAACGAATATAATGATGCCAAAAATTTTTTAATTAAATTAAATATTGTTAGGTACAGTGAAATTAAGAAATTTCTAACTCCTAATATTGTATTATTTTAAAAATTAAATAATCCTATTTTGATTTAAATAACTTGAATTTAATCCTAATATAGCTTTAGATTATGTATGACTTTTCTCTAAATTAAATTGCAAAATGTTAGAACATTTTATGATTGTTTACAATTTCTTATTAAAATTTAGGATTAAATGATAAACTCTGTTAAATTTGTATAAATTGATTGAATATTAAAGCAAATTTTGTAACTTATGCAAATATTATAAGTATATGATAAAAAAAACTTATTTAGAGGTTGAAAATATGGAAAGTGAAAAATTTATAAAATAAAAAAATAAAAATAATCAAAATGTAATAAAGAACATAATCTAATTAAAAGATCTTTAATAACCAAAATTTAATAGTCAAAAAGCTATCTTCAGGTTCCCTTGGAGTAGTTTTTTTAGGGGTGACCTTTTAAAATATCAAATGTACCATTAAGGTTGAAAAAGAAGAAAACGAAGAAGAACATAAATTAGAGAGAGAAGTTTAAATACTTAAGTGAAGGTTCCCAAAATATTTTTGGTCAGGTGAAGATCAAGGTTACAACATTTTAATGATTTAATAATAGGGAAAGGATTTATCCTATCATTTAAAGCAATTAAAACGATTTAGATTTAAACCTGAAAATATCATATTAGGAATAGGTAGAGATTTATCGTAGTTATATTTAATTGATTTTGGAATGAGCAAAGTATTTCGAGATATAAAGCATATGTATAAAGAGTTAATAGATGTATTAATTTTAGATCATTCAAAGACCAATAATTTTTCTTAGGAACAAAAAAATATGCATCAATAGCTGCACATTTAGGATAGGATGTAAATGATTTAGAATCCTTAATGTATATTTTACTATATTTCTTAAAATAGTAATTAATAATTATTAAATAAGATAGTTATCTTCGTAAAATATGGTCAATGTAACAGATGATGAAAGAACAAAGAAAGTAGGAGAAATGAATATATCAATGGAATGTGAAGTATCTAAAGATTAACCTAGTTAACTTTAACGTATTTTTGAGTAAACATCAAATTACACATTTAAGTTACTTAAGAAAACTTTAATTAATAAAGAAGAACCCAATTACAATAAATTATTGCTAATCTAATTATAAAAATCAAAATATAATTAACCTCTAAAAGAGGACAACCATTACCATGATTTTAATTATGTTGAAATTAATGAAAATTATAAGACAGATTCTTGCTTAGATAACAAATATCATAAAATAAAACTGGAAATTTTTTATGTAAGCTTGTTTTTTTATTAAATTAGAAATTTTATTCCTAAACAAATAAAACTAAAATGAATTTATTTATTTTATATAACTTAATTAGTTAATTTAAATGTAAATTTAAATGTAAATCTATTTCATAAATAATTTCAGTTCATATATATTACATAAATTTTAATTTCAAGATCTGCTTAGGAGGAGATATTAAATAACATTTAACTAAATTTTAGATGATAAATTAATATTTTTAATTAAAATGAATAATATAAGGAGATATAATTATTTAATTAATATTTATATTCTCTTCCCATTTTTATGTATGATAATATAATAATAATTATTATTATTTGAATTTGATTGACAAAGAGCAAATAACATATAATTTTATTTGTTAGGCGAAAAGTAAATAATTCTAATTTTAGATATATTATAAATAAATACTAATAAATTATAACAAATTACATGATTTATCACTTTTTTTCAATTAATGGTAAACTCAATTAATTACGAGCACTTTTTGGTGATAATTGTCTTGCCTTTTTGATATTATCCACAACAAAGTTTCTACTTAGAGTCATAGACATTTGAATTTATGATTATTACTATTATTTATTATCAACTAATGATTATTTAATTTAAGGAGGTATGTATCTGGGTAGAACTCCTTTAATAGAATATGACCTAAAGATGATTTAAATTATTACCAATACATATCTTCAGTCTAAATTATTAATTTTCCTTTTCTAATTTTACCATACTCAACAGGTGTAAAACTAATAATGAATGTAGTTCCTTCCCTTCCATAAGGTTCTAGATCTCCAATTTTAGGGATTACTGAAAACTCTGCATCTGATTCAGGAGAGAATGCAGCTGTGAATTTGCTATAATTTTTAGTTTTATTGGTTAATTTAAAGGAGACACTTGTAGTTTTATTAAGAGGAGAACTAATTAAAATAGTATCATCTTCTTCTGGTTCTGTAGCTTCCAATTAAATTTTATATTTCCATCTTCCTCCTGATTATCTAAGCACAATAAATTCCATTGAAGTTTTAAAGGGTTTCATTGGTTAGAACCTTACAAAATAAAGTAAATTATCATGAGGACTATCAAGATGATTTTTTAAACATTTAATAGTAAAGCACTTTTAAATCATGGTCTGTAAATCTAAAGGCATTCCACCTAATTCATAATCAAATTTATCATCTGCTTATAAACTTTAAGCAATCCCTTATAGACCTACTTTAATTTCATCTTCCCATTTTTCTCTGCATTTAGCTTTAAAATGAAATAGAGTTTAAGTAGAGACAGATTCAGTAACTCCTTTAACAGGAAAATGCCATTGAATTTTTTCATTCATAGAAATGACAACTTCACAATAATAGCTAGTAATTTCTCTTGGTACAAAAGAAAAAGGAACCTAAAGAACATTCATACCTGGTACAAGAGTCTTATCATTTTTTTAATTTCTAACAAGCAATAATTTAAAAACATCTTAATTATGCCCTTCTGCATCTAAAGAAATAGAAACTTAAATGGGTTCCTTAAATGGATTTTTAAAATGAATAACTGAACTATAATCCTTGTTTAATCCAATACTAACAGTAGTAGCAGGAAATTTAGTTGGAGGTAATCCACTTCCAAAAACTAAATAGTGCCATTTACCTATTGGTGATGTAAAAATTATATCAGACTATTCTATGATATCTAATGATGAAGGAGTATATCTCAAAGCAACTTTTAGTGAATCATAAGGTTATATTTAAAGTTCATCAGGATATATATCGAAATTAGTTGGATTAGTAATTCTACATTAGACTTATATTTTTTGATCTGAGGGATTTTCAAGAACGACAACCTATTATTCAACTTTGCCTAAAGATGCCTTTAGTACATTTAATCTAACAATTGGTTGATCTTCACTTGTGAGAATGAATTCATACCATACTTCACCCAATAATCTATTTACAAAAGCAACACTACCTCTCCATCTACCAATTTTTAATGGAGCAAATGTTAATTCATAGCCAGCTTCTTTTCTTGCTCCTATTGCAAATTATTCTTCACCAATTAAACCATCTCCATTAATCATTACTTCATAAATTGCGGTTTCTGTAAGTGGATTTGCTAATGTTAATTAAATAACTGTAGCTTATCTAATTAAACAAGAAACTTCAAGAGTTTAGACTGATTTTGGTGATTCAGTATTCATAAATACTGTATACCATAGATAATGTCCTTAATCATCTGTAAATGTTATAGATCCAGTATATTAACCACTTAATACTGGTTATACTTATAAAATATAAGTAGCTTTCTTTTATGGTTAGACTACAATTTAAGATGGTCCTGTAGCATAGATTAAATCAGTTTCTACAGCATATGTGATTATTTTATCTGTTGGGTTCTTTAATTCTATTTCTTTTTTAGTTACTTTTCTTGCTTAACAATTTAAAATTATATGTTCTTCTGCTACTGGTTCTTCACCATAACCTTTTAGATCATATTCAAACACATCATTTGTTGTTGGATTTGTCAAAACTAGTTTAGCTTCACTTTCTTATAACCAAGATGGACTAAAAGTAATTGGGAAATTACTAGTACCTTTCCTTTTAACAAAGAAATCTCTTTAAGGACAGGAAAATAATCCTTTAGATTCTGACAATTAAACTTTAATTTACCAATCTCTATCTGTTTAATTTACTATTGGAATTTCTTAAGTCACTGACTATCTTGCAGGAACTCTGAATTCTAACATTGCTTTTACAATCTTTGGTAATACAATTGCAGACAATTTATATCTTCTAATATCAAATTTATTTTTTAGAGTCAAAATAACACTAAAATCTTTTGTTGCATTTTTAAATGCATACAGAATAGGAAGTTTACAATCAATATTTTCAGTACCTGGTTTCTTTGTTTATTTATTCAAATCAGTAACTTAAAGTATAGGAGGTAAATTCAAATATTATGTTTGTGGATAAATTTCAATTTCAAATGTTATGATATCTAAATTAGAACCAGGAAAATTAAGTTTAGATGCTGTTAAAGTTGTAGTTTATTTATCACCTTTTAAATATCTATCTTTTTATTTCATCTGAACCAACTATTAAATCTAACTTCGAGCACGAGCTAATTATTCATTTCTAAATGGAATCATATATGAAATTGTTTAAGTACTATCAACATATAAGTGTTTATCTGGTTTGAATTCACCAATAATATTTGGTAATTCAACTGTTCCTTATAAATCATGTTAAAATTCACCTACATTTGGATCTGTAAAAATAAGAGAACATTTATGTGTATCTATTGTTAATGGAATATATGTTAATGATAGATTAATTGTTTAATTCTTTCTTATTCTTTATCTATCAATTGTACAGAAAAAGGATGGGAATTCTTCCTCTGGAGGAACATCTTTTGTTGGAGGACCTTTCTTCTTTTTCCCTCTTTATTCTATTTACTTTTTCTCATGTATTATTTATATCTAAAATTCTCCATCCTATGGAAATTTATTAGTTATTTATATTTGAAAGTCAAATATCTCATAAAGTATTGAACTGACATTCCATTATTTCTCTGATTTTCTTCCTGTTATATTACTTTTCAAATCAAAAACTAATGCTGCTGCTTAAACATTTGTTTCTTTTTTATTTGTAAAAATCACTCTACCTGTAACAGGCAATGAAATTCTAGAAGTGAATTTCACTTTATAATTATAAGGAATGTCAGGTTCTATTTTTATACTTTCATCTCCTTCTAATTAAAAATCAGGATGACCTTCATATTTAACAAAATAACTAATTGGTTTCAGTGTTGGATTTCTTAATTCAATTGATTTTATTACTTCCTCTCCCAATATACATTAGAAGATTATGGGTTCTTTCTAAGGTACATAATGAGGAAGAGAAAAAAATAATTGTACCAACATCATTAACATTTCTCTAGGATAAGGTTTATGGTAGATATCTCTTGCTTAAACATGAGATTGTAAACCATAATCACTTAATGCTGGCATTAATTTATCTGCATTGTGTCGATAATCATCTTCACTTTAAAGATTAGATCTTAAAGTACTAAAAAACTTCTACATACTAGGACCAATAAACTAAGTAACTGTATCTGCTATAAGTAAACTATCTCTGAATTCAGATGCAAAATTACTTATCCTTCTTAATTATCCTGTATGTTATTATTCATAACAGACTTCATAAAACCAAAGAATTACACCTTCTGCATGAGAAATAATATTAGATCCATCTAAATAATAATCTGGAATATTTAATCGTTCTGTAGGAATCCCTGGTAATTATTTAAATGATTTTGCTGTTATTCTATTTAAATAATAAATCTTAATTATTTAATAGAAAGTTGAAATCCAAGCATCATAATGTAAATAATTATATTTAGCCTAACTTAATTATAATCTATTATCTGGTACAAATTCATATTTCTCCTTAGGTATAGTTTTCAACCATGCATTATAATCATTATGACCTAATAAGTATTCTGATCTTATATGATTCAAAAGAGCACCCTCTATTTTTAATTGTCTTACTAATTCATCATATTATTTAAATTATGCTTCGGCTTTTTATTATCTCTTCCAATTTTGATCAATCTATACTTTGTATTAGAAATTTGCTTTCCCTGTTAAAAAAGTTAATAACTCAAATATTTATTATCCAAAACTGGTTACTATATCTTCAGGGAATTTATTAATGGGTTAAGTGAGAACATGATAATTCATCCATCTCATTATATAATCACAAGCTTCATTCAAAGTTTCAACATCCAAAGGTCTATAACCTAAATGAGATGTTCCCTTTGAACTAGTTGTACTTTTAACTGACATAGTATGATTTCTTTTCATTTTTTCATTATCACTATCAGCACCATCATCTTCTTAAAACATTACAGGTTTTTTCTCTTCTGCTATCATTTAGTATTTTTATATTCTCTACAAATATATTTAATTTGTTAATAAACAATTATCTGTTGTTCCAGAAACATATATAGAATATACTCTACCTTCATCTTAAAATTCTGCTCTTGTTGTAAATGATATTGGTTTTTTATGTGAAAAATAGACATCCACTTTTAATTTACTTTTAGCTACTCCTAAAGTTTATCCTTCAGGAAATTTTAATTCTAAATAAAAATTACTTGTTTCACTTGACCAATTATGTTTTAAATTTAAATTTTCATAACCATCATTTATTATTTTGAATGAACATTTTGAAACTACATTTAATGGAACAACTGGTAAAATGACTTCTTTTTTATCAAATAATAATCTAGGATATGCTCCTGATCCTTATATAAGTAAATCAACATAAGGTAATGTTTTAGGTATATCTGGATCTGATTCAATAAATAATGAAACAGTTGATTAAAATACTCCTGGTCCATATGGATTAAATTTTACTCTAATTCTTACTTATTATCCAGAACCAACTATCCCTTCACTTGGTTCTATTGTAAATATCTTTTCAATTTTTAATGGTGCAGTATCAATTCGCCATTTTACATCCTTCCTATCTGGATTTGATAATTTAATTTCTTCTACTGTTGGATAACATTTATCAGGAGATGTAATTATTTTTTTTTTAAATTCTATTGATTAAGGTTCAACTAAAAATTTAGGTTTAAGTCCTTTACAGGATACTTTTCTAGTTAATGAAGGTAAATTCTAATTAAATCTAGCTAAAGTAATTGGCATATCAAATTAATAATGTTTCACATCTTTAGGAGAGAATTTCATTAAAAATACTTAAGTCTTACCAGGTAGGATAGTTAAATTATATGATCTATATTCTTTAGTTTCTAAATCTAATTATTCTGATTTATCAGATTAATTATCTAATGATTCATCTAATTTTGGTGCAGGTTCATCTTCATTTTCAGGATGAATAGAATGTAAAATAGTATCATCTTCATCTTATGGTTTGACTTCTAAACAATCAATTCCATCTGGTCCTCTTGGATTCTCATTTTAATGTCTTAAATCCAAAACTAAATCAACAGGAATTGTTGAATTATTTACCAAAGTCATTGTTAATTAATTACTTGTTCCTAATGTGGTAATGTTTCCAAAATCAAATTCTTCTTCAATTATTTCTATTTTTGGAATTATTGCTGATCCTACTACTGGTACTTATAATTATTTCCCTCCTCTAATTAATATAATGATCTCTCCTTTAACTATTCTTTCATCCTTAGATAGAAATTTAACTTATAAATCTCTTGAATCTTCTGAACTTATTTTACCTTTGATAGGATACACTTCAATTCCTTCAGGTAATTTCGATGTTTAAACTTAAAATACTGCAGAACTTTTCGATAAATTCTTTAGAGTCAAAGTTTTATTCTCTTATTTACAAACAACTATCTCTTTAAAATCTATTACTGCTTATTTTATAGCACATTTAGGTTCAGAAACAACTCCCATACATTTAATAATCTAATCTAATCCATCATCTGTTTTTAATGTTAATTTTTCCTCTTCATTTCTAATAGTGGCTACTGTTGCTTATTATTAAGGTATTATTGATTATTATTATTATTGTTATTATTATTATTGTTATTATTATTGTTGTTATTATTAAGGTTATTATTATTATTAACCTTAGACATTTTTATCTTATTATTATTATTATTATGAACCTATTGGTTATTTAATTTCTGGTACATATTATAATTAACTAGGTTTATAAATAACTTAACATTCTAAATGTTTTCCACTTGGAACAACACCCTATTCTGGTTAAACATAAAAAATCTTTTTTTCAGTAGTTATCCATTTAAATTTAGCTTCTGCATTTCCATTATTTGTAAGACGAACAATTTCAGCTGTTTCCATTTCATTATTATCTTCATTAAATGCAAATTTAATTTATGTTCTATTCATTTCCAAAAAGACTCTTTCAATATTTGCTTAAACAAGAAATTCAAAAATATGGTTTTCATTAATTACATATTTAAGATGTGTTTTTATTTAACCTAATTGTTTAGAACATAAAATGACATCAAATTAAGCAGTCTAACCACTTGGAATAATTTATGGTTTAATATATGATTAATTGAAATCTTCTTTATCAGTATGTAATCTAACACTAATTGAATTTCTAAGATCATTTTTTACATAAAAATATTTAATAACTGTACTTTTAATGTAAACATTACCAAATTCAATTTTAACAGGTCCTGCTTATATTTTTTATAATTAATCTGCATTTAATTCAGCACTTGTATCTCTAATTTCACTATGTGTTTTAGGTTCAAAAGGGAATTTTTTTTTTTAAATATTCTTTATATCTGGTTCAAAAGGTTTTAATTATTTTCCTTCCTTCAATTAATTTTAGATAATTGGTTCATAATGAAATATTGGTTTTGTAACAAATAGTGTTTCATTAGCTTCAGGTAAAGGTAATTCTTATTCATATCCATCATCTTACATTCCAACAGCAAATTCATAATCAATAGGAGGATCAGGTTTTGGTTCTTCATCTTGTTCTTATTTTTTAGTAGCTCCAGCAGGTTTAACTGTTTCTTATTTAATTTCTTTTAAACGTTCATTCATTTATGTAAATTTCTATTTAATTTTTTTATCCTTAATTTTCTTTAATCTTTATTCCCTGTGCATTTTTAAATATTCATTATATATTTCTTTATTCAATGATTTTTGCTTTAATTCTTCAATTTTATCTAAAGAAATTCCTTACTAAACAAGAGATTAAACTGATTAAGAAATATCTAAAGTTTAGACCTTTTCAATAGATTTAATATTACTAATGCTTTATTCTTTCGTAATTGTATGTTTCATTTCAAAATCTTCAGGTAATGATTCAGGTCCTCTTTTAACTTATTATTTATTGGTAAATTATTAGCTTACTCCAGCTAATCTAACTGGAATTTTAAATATTCCTCCGAGTAATTCAGCACTTATAACAGTAGTGAAATTTCCAGTGTGTTTAGGTTTAAAACTTACCCAAAAGTTTTATTTCTCTTCAGGCTATAAAGTTGACATAGTTGGATTAACAGAAAAATAAGGAACTACTGGCCAATGTATTTATATTGGTAATTCAGTCTATTTGTTAGTAACTTCAAAAACAATCTCTTTACTTTAATTTGCAGGACATAATCCAAATTACAAAATTGCAGTTGGTGGAAATTTGATTGTTGGACAAATACATCTAACTTATAAATGATTCATTAATGGTTCATTATCTTAAAAATCAAATATAGCAGAATAATGAAATTCATCATAATCTGGTTTTAGTTATTCTGGAGATAAAGCAAAAGATCTTGTCCAAACTTATTATTCTTCTGAAACTTTAGGTTTACACTTAAATACAATTGCTATTTATGAGTAACTTTCCAAAACCCCTTCTTCTGGAAAACATTCCATTATTCTTTCTGTCTATTCTAAACCTAATTCAGCAGGTGTCTATAGTTTCAATGCATCTTCTTATTGATGTAATCCTTTCTTTAATTTCACTTTAAATTTTTATTACTTTGGTGTATTATTTACTAAATAGGTTTCAATCTATTTAAATTATCCATAATATATCTAACCAAAATCAAAAAAATTATTTTAAACTCCAGTGTCATCTATGAGAAAACGAGTGAATTCAATTGATGTTGCATTTATATCTATTGTTTTCTATAAACTTTAACCATCTGCTATTACTTCTACTAAACCACGAAATATTCCAGCATCTTTAGGCTTATAAAATACCTTAACAGCAAATTCTTATCCTGCTCCTAAACTAAATGAAGTTGGCTCTATTTTGAAATCAGGTAAACGATCAATTTTTAATTCCACCTTCCCTGTTGATTTACCTTCATTCTTAAAATAAATGTTATCTATTTTCTCTTTACCTACACGAACAAACCCCAAATTTATAAATGGTTCAAATACAATACTAAAATTAATTTAATGTTAAAAAATACGCAGCTTAAGGAGGAAATGCAAAAAGAGGTACATCAATTGTATAGTTACCATCTGACACAATTTTCAAAGTGTCTTAATACTACTCTAAACTGGCTGTTTCAAATGTTACTATAAGTTTCATTGAAAGACCTGCTGCTATAGCACTAAAATCTAATATAATATACACATACCCTTGCATTTCATAATCACATCGGAAGTTAGAATGAGGTTGAAAAACACGAATTCGTCGAGCAGTCTATGTTAAGTTTCTCACAAAAACAGTAATTTCATAAGTCTAATTAATCTATATATCTTTAAATATGATCTCGCTAGGCACTACTTCAATAGGTGGACCTGTTGATAATTATTTAATCCGAGTCATTGTACTGTTGAGACTTTTGTTGCTCTAATTCATTATTAATAATAATATTTTGTTTATTCTAAGAATTTGGATAAAAGAAAACAACAAATCAATCATCAACATATTAATCATAAATAGATTTAAAATTTCTTATTTGTACAATTATCAAGGAGCCTTAATTAATAATATTGAATTGAAAAGAAAAAATACCTTTTTTTTTATAATTAATAATTCTTCCTTAAATGAATCAATTTTATATTCTAATTATATGTTGTAATATAAATTTAACAATTAAAAAATTTATTTTGAAATTATTCTTAGATGATTAATTTTAAGAAAACTTTTTTTGAAAATTATACTCCCTTATAAAATGATTAAAATTATAATATCATTTGCTAACTATGATTCTAATTCCTCTTTATTTAATAATATTTATTTAATCATATTGTGCCTTCATTATTAATTCTTAATTAATTTTTATTAATATCAAGTTTGATTTTGCGAGTTAATTAATCATTTCTATCCATCAACTTTAGAATTTTATCTTGTTAAATAACATACTTTTTGTACATGAAACCTATACTCTATTTATTTATGATTTATATTATTTATTATATACAAACATATTCTATTCCTTTAAGGAACATGAAATTCTAATTAAAAGTTAATATATTTATTGATTTTTGGATAAGATTGTGATAGTTTGCAAGCTATTTATGTAAAATAATGCTAAAACTAACAATTAAAAGTGTTTAATTTTAATAGTTGACAATTTTATATTTTCTTGAGAATGGATATCAATTAAGCATTTAGTTTGAACAAAAAGAAAAAAGGAGGTATTTCTTAGATCACTTATAGTGCAAAATAATTAATCTTTACAATTACTCTTCAATTATTAAATGGAGAACAATAACCAAAAATATTAAATTGTCTTGCCATTTTTATTTAATACTTTTAGTTAACATCATTTTTATTTGGAGAAAATATTTGGAAAATTTGGAAGAATTTAAGTGTTTCGCAAAGGATTCACAGTTTTCTTTAGTATAAAATATTTGACAAATATTAGGTGTTTTCTATTTTCTCCTTACATATAACCATAGGATTATTCATCATTAGTGATCATGTATTATGTTTGCATAGGTGTTTTTATGTTTATGACAATGTTAGCCATTTATAAAGGATTGAATGTAAAGAAAAAAAAGGAAGAAAATAGCTGGATACTCCTGATATTGAAGATATTAATAAATTTGTTTCTTTCAATATTATTTCTTCCATACATAGATTTATTCATATCAATTATAGATTGTGAAAATGATGGAAATGGAAATTATTAACATTATTATTTTCCTAATCAATAATGCTGGTAAGAGGCTCATATAATTCATGGAATTATTGCTATAATTATGATATTAATCTTTTATGGATTTTGTATAATATTTGGTGCAATATATTATGAATTTCAATATAACTCTGCTTAAGTAAATTCATAATAAAACGGAAGAATTTCAACATACTTATATACTTATCAGTTAATTACAATAATTCTTTAAAAACTAATAAAAGATTAAAAATTTTAGTATTTAGAAATAATAGTAATATTGATAGGAAGTCTAATATTACTAAAAAAATTTCACATAGAATAACCTTTTTATTCTTAAATTATACAAAAGTGTTGGTCAATTACGATAACTTTAAATTTTTGGGGAATCTTATTATTATTTTGTGCAAAAATTTTGGAAGAGCGTTATTTTAATGGAATAATTTATACATTTCTAATTGGATTACCATTAATAGCAGTTTCAGTCTTAAGAATAGAGAGATAAAATTTTGATCTACTATTAATTAATCATGCAAAGGTAAAGAATGTTAATGAGATAATTAATTAAACTAATTATTTAATAAAATTACTAAATTAAATAAAATTTGATGATAATGCTTAGATAATAGTAGATGCTTATTTAGAAATTCATAAAGGAACATGTATAAAAGATGATTGTTATTTAAAAGTAAAAAATTAAGCAAAATTTAAATTAAGTAATTCTTTATTAAGGGATACTTCATTAACTGAAAGAGAGATTGATTTAATTTTTATATTAGGATAGATTTATTATAATTAAATCAAAAGATTTCCAGAATCAATATCTCTTCGAATATAATATGCTTTTATATTGTCTGATTATATGAGACAATTAAAATAGGCATATAATGAATTAAAGTAAGCTGAATAGATGAATCAATAATTTGATGAAGAATTTATAATAATGAGAAAAAAGTTATAAATTTAAGAATAATTAGATGTGTTTTAAAATGAAAGTTTTGGTAAAGTTGATATAGAAACTCAAATTACATTTTAGAATGATTATCGATAACTTTAGTAATATGTTGAAGAAACAACTTTAATATAAATGGATTTTTGGTCTGTATTATAAGAAGATTTTCCAGATTTTTCAAAATTATATAAAAATGGTTAGAAAATAAATCATCTTCTTCTTTAAATTGAATAATTATGGTTCAAATTAGAAAAAGTGTCTTAGAACCTATCAAAAGCTTAAAGGCTTTATGGAAGTTTTTTGAAAGAAGTTATATAGGATGAAGAATATGGTGATGAAATTCTAAAAAAATCAGTACTTACTTAATAGTAATATTAAGGTGATAAATAGAAAATTGTTACTTTTATATCTGGAGAAGATATAGGATTTGAATAGCAGCCAACTATTATTGTATCAACATCAGTAGAAAAGTTTGCATTAGTAATTACATTAAATCAATCATGTTGTAGATTAATTGGTTATACAAGATAAGAAATTATTAATAGAAAAATCAATCTATTTATGCCAAACTTATACACAAAATTTCATGATCAATACATAGAAAATTTTTTAATAACTAGTGATATTAAGAATATTAATAAAGAACGTTTTATTTTTTTAAAAGACAAATAAAATTATTTAATTCCTTGTTTTATAGTATTGAGAATTTTACATACATGTGAAGAAAATGTAAATTTGGCTGCCTAATTTATAACAATTAAAACATTTAAACCAACCTGTTATTTTATTTTAGATTATGATTATGTTATTGACTCTATGTCATCATCAGTTTTTTCATTCTTTGGAATTGAAAATAGACATCTTACAAATAAAAAGGTTTATTTTTAATAATTGTTTCCAGATTTTCTTGATGAATTAGACTCTTTTAAATCTAAATTTGGAGGTAGACTCAAATATTTTCCTGAAAATATTTAAAAAACAGCCCATTAATCTTTATCTAGTTTTAATGCTTTAGAAAAAGAACTTGATTTTAATTGTACATTAAGAGAAATTCTAAATATGTAAATTAATGAAATTGCAGGGTATTATGTTAAACTAGAATTAATTGATGATGTTTAATAAAACTTGGCAGTTATTCAAAAGTAAAAATAATTTAATTTTTAATATAATTATATGATGAAAGAATAGATTTATGTAGGTGATTTCGTTTAAGAAGATAATTCTAAGTTATCAAATAGTTTTTAATCAAATTCTAATGATGCTTCTGTATCATAAAATTATTAATTTAATGAGCCAACTCATATAGATTCTAACAGACGTAGATCTACAAGATTTGGAGATAGATTTTAAATATTAATTGATTATGCAGAAGAGATTAGAACCTTAAGATTATTTAGAAATTAATTATAAGATATTGAAGATGATGAAAGTGAAATGTCAGAATTAGATGAAAGTGAAAGTGTCTTTTAATCATAAATTTAAACAAAATCAAAATAATCATAATTGTCTGAGTTTGACAATAATATATTTCATTCAAGGAAAAAATTGTAGAATATTATCTTTACATCTAATACACCTAAATCTATAAGTAAAGTTTAATGGATCGTTAATTTAATCGCAATTCTTATTTTAATATTAGCTATTATTGATTATTCTATATCTAATTCATAATCTGATCAAGTCTAAGATACAATACTATTAGTTTATGATGGTAATATTAGAAATAGTGAATTAGGTATAATATTAAACTCAGTCTTAAATTTGTAACTCTTAAATAAAAATGTTTTCAATCTAACAGCAAAATAAGCTTCTGAATATGAATTGTAATAAAAATAATTTATTAATGATTCCATTTCTATGATAAATCAAATAAATTAATAAATTCTTATGATGGTTGATAGTATGACATCTTCAACATTTACTTTTGAATATAATTAAAATGATATTAAAATTAAGTTCAATCAAGAAAATTTTCAATATTACAGTTTAAACTAAGCTATTCAATAAATTGTAAGTAAATCATTAATCCTAAGAAATAAGAATTTATCATATTTTAATTATTAAGATTCAGATGTCTTTTTTTTGAATTATAACTTACTAAACGAAATGTTTAATTCTTTAAAGTAATCCTAAAACTATTTTATTGATAATCTTATAGATAATACTTCAAATAAATATACAACAATTCTAATACTTTTACTAATATCTGTCTCATCAATCACTATTGGTATTTTACTTATCGTGATTGTGATGAGATCTGTTTATAAATCTTAAACTGAGATAATAAAATTATTTTTGAATTTGCCTGATAAGACTATCAGATTTTTGTATAGAAAATGCGAAAATTTCTTATCAAATCTATAAATTGGCGAAGATGGAGATCTAACATCTGAAAATGATAGCAATATAGATAATTAAAATTAAGAAGATTAATAACAATTATAAAATACATTAAAGACTAGAAGAACCAAAAAAAAATTAAAAAAAAATAGTATCGAAAAAAATTATCATATCTATGCAATAATTATTGCAATGATCTTAATTTAATTTTATTTCATATTAGCTTTTATTTTTAGTAGTACATTAGTAAGTTAAATTGAAAGTCTATTTTCTTAATTTAATTTAACCTTAAGAAGTGAATAATATTTTCGATTTTCAGAAATAACTTAAAAGTCTTTGTTTAATTCAAGAAATATGACTATAATGAATACTGATCCTTACGATTATGTTATGTAAAATATAGATGAACTATTTGATCATAATTCTTTTTTCTTAGAATATCATTCTTAAAATATTGATTTACTTGATTAATAATATATTGATGCATATAATTCTTTATTTGTTTAAAATCCTTGTGAGATTATAAGTCAATAAGATATAAAGATAGATATGGAGATTTGCAACTAATTTATGGACAAAGCATTTTCACAAGGTCTTAATGTAGGGATACCAAGATTTATAGAAAATTAACGTTATTTGATGACTATTTATAATTAATTTTATAATAATCCTTCAGCGAATTTTACACTTTTAGCTCGTGGATTCTCAACATTCAGAAATATCACTAAAAATAGTGATAATAGTACTAATTTTATTCTGAATTTAAATAACTTTATGCAAGCTTAAGAAAATAGAGAAGTCTAGCATTTATATTTCAAAAGTAAATTAATTTAATAATTTAGATGCTTTTAGATTTTTATCATAATAATTCATAATTGGATTAAGGAATACTTTAAACAATTTACAATTTCAAAGAATGTCAATTTTCATTGTTTTTTTAGTGTTTCTAATTGTGATCTATTTTTTATTATGGTTACCTTAGATATTAATTCTTACGAAAAATATACTTGAAGCAAGAGCAATGATTTTACTGATTCCTTTAAGAATCATTTAGAAAATCAAATTATTAAAAGATTTTATAAGATATAATATCCAAGAGGTAGATTAAGAATTTTGATTTAATGCTTTATAATTAATATTTATTTTTTTTCAATTAAATACAAAAAGTTAGTACAAAAAATAAAAATTAATTTAAGTTTCGATAATCATTATTTGCTTTTAAATGATAATTGAAATAAATTTCCAACTCCTTAACCTTTGTAAACATTTATTTTTAGTGGATAATAGATATCAGAGATTTTATCTTATTTTTTCATATTTTTATCACAACTATTTAAAGTATTTCGATGAGAAAGTTGTTATTAAAATCCTTAATAATCTTCATCTATCAATTTGAATCTTTAGCTATTTTAAGGAGATGGTCTATGTAAGTTTTTTTAAGTTTTTGAAAGATCTAGTTTAAAAGTAAATTATTGACTAATATCGTTGAGATTTCTAGTTTTTTAAAGAGATCTATCAAGTTATTTTTGTTAAGTCTATTGAGATGGAGTTTATTTAGTAAATAGTTTATAGATCTTCTATAATAATAATAAATAATTATATTACTTATTGTATTATTTATTATGATTATTATTACTTGGTAAAGGAGTACTATGATTTTTTTGTATCACTTGTTTAGAAATGATATTTTTACTTAAATTTAAGGGAATCAATTGTTTTAATTAGTTTATTTTTGTTTTTGAAATAGTATTATTAGTTTTCTTGAGCGTAAAACTCTTAACTTAATTATCTATAAAAATCATCGTCATTATTTATTTTAAATTAATTTTCAGTAGGTTAAAATTAATAAGAATCATCTTTTTCGAGCATAAAGCTAACAAATCCATCTGAGTTCATTAAATATTAAATATTATTATTATATATATATAAATATATTTAACTCATCACTACTCATTAATAATAGATAGATTTTTAACTTATTATTATTTAAGCAACATTTCTAATTAGTTAATTTAATCGAATGTTTTAGCATTCTCTAGCAATTTTTTAATGTGTTCTTTATCTAAAGTAGCATCTTTTAAATTAATTAAATTCATATAATCAGTCAATTCATCAGGTTTAAAAGATTCTTCAGCTTTTTATCGTTCCTAAAATGGATTTAAATAATATAATAACTGATTGAGTAACTTTATTGAAATCAAGAATTTTTAAATTAGGTAAAATTGCAATAACTTTATATCTATAATCAGGTTATTAAGTAATGAGATTTCCATGCAAAATTAATCTTTTGAGTTTTTTACAATGTTTTAATTGATATAATTCATTGATATCAGTTAACCTATTATTCATTAAGATTAGATTTTCAATATTAGGTAAAGAATCAGAAACATCAGTCAATTTAGTGATTCTATTGTTAGATAAATTGAGTGTCTTGAGTCTTTTGTTATTAATAAGAAATACCTTTTTAATAAGGTTAGATTTCCTAATTTTTTGATATCATTATCCCCTAAATCAATGTGATCAAAAAAATCCTACATAAAAGAATCTTGATACCAATGTAGCTCCTAAATTTTCAATGGCTGTAATTTTCTTTGCTATAAGATTTAAATAAAATTTATTAATACCTCTTAGATCAAGCTATCTTTCATTTAATGGATTTATGAAATGATGTGATCCTTATATTAATTCAGAGTTAATTTTCATTAATATATTTATATAATATAATCATCCTATAAATCGAAAACAAAAAAAGCAAAATGTTTATTAAATACCTCTAACATCCACTTACCATGCATATTAAAATTCACATTAAGGACAACTACCAAAAGAACCTGAAAATAAAAATTTCTCAACAATTTGCATTCTAATCAAAAATGAATGTGCAACATCACTCTATCTCATTGTTGATTATATATGTTCCATAATAAAATTATTTTAATGATCCTAAAATTAATTTAATTAAATACTCCTAATTTCCGTGAACAATTAAAAGGACATAAACTTCCCATACAATAATTTGATTAATGTATATCTTAAAACAATAACTCAACTTTTTCATGGCAATCATAACATTCAATTTTTTATTCACAACCTTATGTAACTCAAATTAATATAATACACTTTCTATAATGATTCTAAACAAATTCTGGATATTTGACAATCTATTTGCAATTATCATTAGGGCATTTTATATTTAAATTAGTTATTAAAACTTAAGCTCTCAAACTATTTGGAGGTGCTGATAATAATTCTTATTTACATATTGGACACACCTGTCTCATATCTTCTATGTTTCTAATATTATAATAACAATCTTTGCAAATTTCATGACCTTACAAACAAACTATTATTGGAATTTAATTAAATTCTCTACAAACTGGACAAATTAATTCATGCTTTTAGATTTCTTCATGAAGTTCTTTTTATGATTCCAGATTAATTAAAGTCTCAAATTTTATCAATTTAGAATAATAATTAATTTTTGCAATCTCTTCAATTTCTTTTACTAAGCATTATCCACATGTATATGGTTATTCTGAATTGCAACGTTTGCATGTATTTGGTAATGCTAAATATTTCAATAGTTCTTTTAAATCAATTTGTTATCTGCATGATTCGATTGGGCATTTAATTTAAAATTTAGATTTCTTAGATTAAATAGTACTGCTTAATATCAATTTGAAGCAATTTTAACATAGATAATGATCACATTCTATAAATAAATGAAATAATAACTTCCTAATTAATATTATGGATCCATTGCTTCACATTAAGCACACTATTTAGTCTATTTAATTTTATGCATTATTAATAATTAAATAAATTTAATAAAATCATTTCATGTTTTTAAAGTATGATCTTGACTTTATGTAGTTTTGGTCGATTTTTCGGATTTGGATTCTAATCTAAAATGGACACATTGTTAAAATAAGATAATTTAACTTTAGAAACAATATTGAATGAAGAGGACATTTTAGCTGAATTAAAAAATTCAAGTTCAGGTAAATTTGCTGATTTGTAAGATAAAATTTAAATTATTCGATAGCATAGTTTCTCATCCTTTTGAATATAAAAAAATGATTCATTACATTACAAACGATGCTACCGATTTATCAGACAAAAATACATGTATTAAGTATTAATATATATAAAACATTTTTTAAGATATCCATTTATGATAAGTGAAATATTAGGTTCTGAAAATGAAAAATTAATTAATTTCTTATTTGAAAAGCAAGGAGATACATCTTAAGAAGAAACTTAAATTTCCTCTCAAGATTAAACAACAGAGAACTAACCATAAGATATTTAAAACGATAACGAGTAATTAAGATAGATGCTATTACCAGATCTACTATCTCTATTAGAAAATGATTCCCTCTTGATTACATCAGGAGGATATTTTGCAAAAATCATATCAGCTATAATTCATAAAAGAGGATTTGATGTATTTCTATTAATAATTTAAGTTTTGGGCATATTTAAAATAATATCCTAGAATAATATCAAATTTATTCAAACACTCAAGTATAAGACATATAACCGAAATCTTTGAAAAATTGATTATCTTAGATACATGTTAAGAAGAACATGAAGAGAGATTTTTTATAGAGGAAAGATAAAATTTAATTGTAAGATTGCTTAAATACTTAAATGTATAATCACATTCAAATGTCATAATTACAAATATATGTGAATCACTCATTGAAGTATATAAAAGAGTATTGATGTCTCTTGATGGAATGACTGTTTTAAGAGAAATCTTATTAACAGTAGAAAAACCATAATTCTTTATGAATTTAGCAATCTAAACTTAAAACAGTACTGTTTATAATTTGCTCAATGTTCAATATGATTTCTATAACAAAATGTCATAGCTTGAAAATAAACCCTATGAAATAGATTTTGCTGCTTTTTATAGACCTATATTGGATATATCAGCAGGAACTCTAACTTAATAAGATTTATTTAGAGTATCTTTTGAAACTACTTATGGAGCTATAATTAAACCTTTAGGAGATTCTAAATTGTAATTGATATAATTAATTATTTAATTAATTTCTAGGCAAGAATTAGCAATCATTATTGAAAAAGGAGAAATTTTTTAATAAGTAATTAATTTAGTTGTTACTTATTCAACAAACAATTAATTACATATAATATTTCAAAAAATGGTAGAGGCTATCGTAGATTCTAAAAATGCTCATCTACATGAACTCTTTTTTGAAGATACAAATTTTTTGAAGTTCTTAATAACAAATAATGGTACTGAAGAAAGAACAAAAAAATATGGATATAAAGGAATATTGACTAAGATAACTAATTATATTAATTCTCCAAATGTGTTTTAACAATATTAAATAATATAATCTGCAATAGCTAGTATTCAAAATGAATGGTTAAAATATATCGAAGAATTGAAACAAATCAATGAGATTGAATAAACATGGTTATTAGGAATAAATCCAAGATTTAGAGAACAAGTAAATGTGGATTCTTACAGTCCTCCTCTTCAATGGCCTGAACCATTAGGCTCTGAATAATATAAGAACACTAATAATCCATCTACTTAGACTAATGAAAATGAAAAAGAATGCGAGGATAATAATACAAATAATAATTAAACTGAAGAAATTTAATAAAATGAATAAGCAGCTTTACAAATTGTTCCAAGGAAAGAAGAAGAAAACATTGAATAAGAAGAAGAATCATAACAATAAAAAATTTAAGAATAAACAGAAGAAACTCCAGTACAAGTTTAAGATGTTTAAATTGAATAAGAAGAAGAATCATAGCCTTAATAAAATTAAGAATAAGAAAAAGAAGCTTCATTACCTGCTTAAGATTTTTAAATTGAATAAGAAAATAAGCAAATTTCAGAATAAACAATAGAAATCGAACAAGATTCATAAGCATCATAAGAATAAGAAAAATAATAAGAATAAGCTATAGTCTAAGAAGTATAATAAAATGAATAACCAAACCAAGAAAAAATTGAATAAAACTTGGAAGAATAGAAATTAATTCAAGAATAACCTAAAATGGAGGAACCTCAAATTGAATAGCAAGAACTCTTACCAGAGACAGAAAATCATGAAAATAAAGAGTAACTAGAAGTAAAACAAGAATCCCCACATGAGGCTTGAAAATAATATTATTATTAATATTATTTTATTTTATTCAATTATTCTGATTCAACAGCTATAAAGTTATTCTTTAATAAGAATAAATATTTCTTGATCAATTAAAATAGTTTTTAATGATATATATAATGTTATATAATTATTTCTCATTTTTACTTCTACCAATTAACTATCTTAATTTAACTAGTCTAATAAATTTTAAAAATAAAATAATATAAATTAAAAAAAATGAAAATTTACAAATTATATTTTTTTAGTTGAATAAGTTAAGATAAATTTATTTTATATATATATATAATCATTATTCTGTTTTTTAAGTTCTTTTCTTTTTAATCAATTTGTTTTACTTTAAGTGTTTTGTTCTAAGTGCTGCTGCTTTTCTTGCTTCGTTCATGATTGTTAGATATCTTTATTTTAATTCTGATTGATATTAATTAAAAAGCCTTGACCATTCACTTTGATTTAATCTCAGTTTAAATTTTGGTCTTGTGTCAAAACACATATTTTCAGCTAATTTTAAAATCAAATTGGGAAAAGGTTATTAATCTTATGGTAATTGACGAATTTTATTAAAAATTATCTCTTTAAAAATCACAGTATTTTATCCATTTCTTCTCCTTGAAAGTTCTCTTTTTGATAAAATTAATTTAATTTCTTAATCATCTTTAGCCTTCAATTATTTAATTTCAGGACCATCAGCTTTAAACCTAATCATCAATTTCCCTCTGTCTATATTTATCTATTGCTTATGAGTTTCTTTATATTCATTTAATTTTGTATAAAACTTAATTAATAAATAGATAGATTACATCTCTCATTTATCTAATGAAATCTCTTCTAATTTTTTAAAGGTGTTCTTTAAGAATTTCATATTTTACTATTAATTCTTCCATGTATACTTTTTCATGAACTTATAATTAGATCATCATTTGATAATCAAATCTTATCTTGGCTGCTACACTAAGAGCGATGTTATCAAAATATTTAGTATAAGGAAGTAAGACTCTTCCTAAAATCTTAGGATCAATATCTTTGATTTCTTCATCAATTTATACAACAGTTTTAACTTTTTTTAATAAATTTGTTCTTAATTCTGTTGCTTTAAATACAGGATGCAGTTTAAATTTTAAATCATTCCAGTTTAATGATTTTTTTGGCATAATAAGTTTTTACAAAAGATGTTATTATTTTTCCATAAGATCTGGTAGTTCATGCAATTTTAATTCTTCCCTTTCTTTTTCTGTCATTTAACCTTTAAAGCTTTATTTTAAATATTCATCCCATTTATAATTTAGATAACTTAATTGAACTTCAAAGTTATGATTATACCATTTACAAAATCTTTAAATTGTTTAAGTTTTTGTTATGATCGTTTTTAAATTGATTCTAAATTTTAGAAATAATGATCTTCTTAGATTAAATAAATTAATTTTTCTTATATGAGTATATTTAGATTTAATTCTAAAATGAATTTTAAATCTAAATATAAATGATAACAAGATCTTTTTTTATCTTAAACCTAATTTTTGTTTAATTTTCTTAATGACATTTCTTTTTCTGATTGTATTTTATATAACTCTAGCTTTCATATGTTCTTTAAACATTAAACGTTTTAATTCTAAACCTCTTTGAGAAGTATCTTACATCATTTATTAAATATTTTCCATATTAAAATAAGTTAAAATCATTCTAAATAATTAAATATTTTATTATTATCTGATAATTTCAAGTCTTTTTCTATATCTAAATTCTGGAGATTTTTCTTATATTGATTATTAAATATGCTGTATTTTTTCAACAAAATTATCTTGTTTTTTTTATTATACTATTCGTAGTTTCATATCTCTTTCATATGCTTAAGTTTGAATAGCTTTTATTATATCTTCTTTATTTTAGATAGGAACTTTTTTAAGTTGCATTTTTTCAGTAATTTCTTTATTAAGTTCTTCTCTTAGTTTTTATTTCTTTAAAAAGATTTCTTTTCTTTTTTATGATAATTATTTTAAATCTCTCTTAACATTATGAAGAAAATATGGATCAAATTGATCAAATTTATCATGATATTTTTTTTTATCACTTGAATTTTGATCATCATTCTTTTTTTTTGCAGTTTTAGATTACAATTATAAATTGATTTGATTTTCAAATAAATTTTTATTATTGTCATTTAATAAAGTTTTCATAAATTTAGATTCGTCTTGAGACTTAACCATTAGAATGTATTAATATTTCAAAACATCATTTTCATGACTTAACAATTAATCTACATTTTAATGTTATTCCCATGTTTATGATGTTGGAGTAGAAGTATTACACACCGGTATATAAAGATAATTTTGAAATTCTAATTATTTCAATTTAGATTATACATCATCATAATCTTAATTTACTTAAGTATGATAATTAATTATATCAGTATCTAATCTTAAAGATCTAGCATTCCATTTATTTTTTGGAGCACCTTTAAGAGAATCAACTTAACTTTTCATTTTTTTTAATAACCCAGCAGTTTATTCATATTATGTATTTTTTGAAGGAGATTCAATATTATCACAAAACTATTGTATTTAATTTTAAATTTAAATTTAATCTATTTTATTTTTTTTATCTGCAAAATCTTTCATAAAAGCAGCTTCTTCTCTTACTCTTTTTTATTAATGTGAAGTATACTAATCAACATTTAAACTTGGTAATTTATATTTTGAATTAGCTGGAACAATAAGAACAGTAAATGTGTTACCCATAGCAGCATCAATTACTTTAACATTTTTTAATTCTAACAATTATGGATATCTCACTTTATCTTCTAAATCTCCTAAACAATTTTTAATATTAATTCCCCATCCATATAATTATCCTGATAAATCTAATGCACCAAAATGAGAATCACCAGCCATTATTTTTATAAATGGTTTCTATCTTTAACAAAGTTTAGCTGGTATTACTGCTTTAGATAAATCCATTTAAAATGGACCTTTACCCCAACCATATATATCTCCTTTCACATCAAGTGCTATACTATAATTTAAACCACATGCACATGATACTATTTTAGTTGAGAAATCTTCTATTTATTTTGGACTTAATTATTCCTTCTAATTAAAATCCATATATCCTAATTTTCCATCAGCAAATTCTCCCCAACTCCAAACTTTACCTTAATCATCCCATCCTAATATATGTTTCTAACCACAAGCTATTCCGATAAATTATACTGTAAATTATTATTGCAATCCTAAACAATGTAACTTATTTGGTGTTAAAAGATAAGTTGTTGTTCCTACACATTTCACTGCTAAAACTTCAGCTTAATGAACTGGTAAATGACTAGATCTTCTTTCCATTTCATTGTATCTATTGATAGAAAAATTGTAAGTGATATCCAAACTGCTTATTTAATAAAATGTATCTATTTATTCAGTGAAACCTTATTTTTCTGAAAGCTTCAAAACTTCCCCATAATTTAATTAGTGCCAATTACCCCAAACGAATATCTTTTTATTCGTTTAATAAGCGACAACAAAACCAGTTCCAGAATTTACTAATTTATAAGAATTTTAAGTTATTTATGAAATGTTTACAGGCATACTAACCGATGGCTGTTATAAACCTAATTACGCATATTGAGAATTTCCAAAACCCCAAAGATCATATTATGCTATCTTTATAACATATAAATACTATCTATCAAAAATGTATTTTATTCACAACAGATTACACTTATAAAACACAATTCTTATTCTCCCTTTTTAGATGTTTTAGATGGATCTCTAGAATATTTATTTTAAGGGAATACTATTCTTTGTAATCTTAATAATTAATTAACTAATTACTTCTGATTGTCATTCATTATTGTTTGCATTTATAAAGCAAAATCTCCTACTCCAAAATAAAGTACTAAATTACAAAATCAAAATACCATGAGTCATTAATTCCGAAAAACTGTATTATAATTGCAATTTTATTTATAAATTTTTGGCTTAATCAATCGAGAATGATCCTAAATCATCAAATATATTATTATACAAATAAACTCTCAATCTTAAAGTAAACTTAAATTTTTTTAATTTCTTCAAAATTGATTTGAGGTTTTTGGAAATTTTAGATTCAATAAATTCATAAAAACCTGTTGTAAATTTATATAAGAATATTATATTTTTTAGTTTATAATATGAATAAAAATATAAACATCAAGTTATTAATATAACCAATAATGCTAATAAGAAAAATGTTATTCCTATTCCTACATAAATGTAATTTTGAGCATCTTTTAGTATAGGGTTAAAAGTATCTAATTCTTCTACTTCTCTTTTTAAATTAATTTCAAGTGCTTCATATAAATTTTTTTCACTTTCTTATATTTCAGGAGGATTAAAGCTATAATGCTCTTTGATAGCAGTTTGAGAATTCATTTTTTAACTATGTTATGGGCAATTTGAAGATATAAAATCTCTTCTAATTTCAGATTATTCATCATCACTAGGAACACCTTCATTTCCATTCAAATTAAAGTACTTAATTTCAAGATTATCAATTTATTTTAAAACATCTGATTTTAATCGTCTTTCAAGATCATCTTGTTGAATAATATCATAATTTGGAATTTGATTAAATATTTTTTTTAAATCTTCTAAAGCTTCAATAACATTTTTCTTTGTTGATGAAGGAAAAGTCATCATCAAAAAGTAACAGGCTAAAAAAATAAATTTATTTTACATTTTTTATCATCTAAAATACCATACCATTCAGATCTTTAATTTCCTTGAGTATAAATTTCAAATTTAGTTGTTTCAAATATTTGCTTTTTTATTTAATTGATTAGCAATCCCTTTGTTTCTTCATAAGATTTTGAGCTTCCTCTTTTTAAACAAAAAAGTGTTTTATTTCCAACTACATTATAGATCATAAAACATCTATATACAGAATTTTTTCGATATTGAAATTAAATTTTCTATTATTATCCTGAATTTTTTATTTAGCTAATTCTAAAAGTATTAATAATAAAAGTACTGAGGAGTGCTTTATAGAAATTGTAAATTAGATTTATTCTTTTATTATGATTGTGAACCTCTTTCAATTTCATCAGGTTACCCCTCTGGACCAAAATTTTAAATATATTTTTATTCAAGTTCATCTAATTTTGAATAGAGCTCCTATTTTTTTGAATTTGGAAATGTTGTATCATTTAACTTAAATATTTATTAATTTTTTTTACATTATTATAATTGGATATAGAAAAGACTATCTTTTGTAGTTCAAGTAAGGATTATTGTATAAGGCTTTATTGTGATCCTGGAAAGGTCATCATTAAAAAGTAACAGTCTTAAATTAAATGATATTAAAATACTTTTTTTTTCATCTAATCTTCCATGCCATTCACATCTTTATCCACCAGGAATATTAAATTAATTACGTTAGGAATCGAGTAGATTTATCTTTACATATTCTTGAACTTGTAAAATAGTTTCTGAAAATAGATTGCCACAATGACGTTTAATAGATATTAAAACTTATTGTTTATTGCAATCATAAACAGCAAAGCATCGAAATACTTTTCCTTCATAATCCATGATTGATTTAGTCTACATTTATGAGATTCTAAAATATTTATAATAATATTAATTATTTTTTTTAATATCTAATATCTTGTTATTCTATTTAAGAAAAATAAAATAACATAAAAAAAAAACAACTTTTAATTGAAAAAAAATGTATGCAAATTTTATTTTCCAAAAAGATTGTGAATTCTAATTAAATTATTGAATTAAAATTTAGCTTTATAGAAAATGTATTCAATCTAAGAATATCTTATGAATAATAATTCAGATTTAAAATATAATGGATGAGTTTTATTAAAAATATATTAAGCATTTCAATTAACATATAAATCATGTTACCAAGTGCCTATATAAGATTCTTTACTTTAATATTCAAATTAGCCCTTCCCATGAGCTTAATCACATGAAAAACTTCCCATAAATTTGGAACCATCTGCAAAATAGAGAACTCCAATACCATGCTTTTATCCATGTTTAACTTATCCTTTATATTATATCCAATCTTTTCTTGATAAATTCTTATGTGATTTCTCTAATTCTGGTTTTGGTTTATTATAGAAAGTAACATCACCTTCAGGTACATCAAATACCCACATTCCCTCAGTTACCTTTTAATTATCAGAATCATAATAAGTGCCTTATCCATGTCTTCTTCTATTACAAATTTATCCAATATAATAAAAACCATTTGAATAATGTAATTTTCCTTAAGTAACTGCATTTTCAAAACCAGTTTTTGATTCATATGTCTTTCCTTCTTTAATTGATGCTTAACTAATATCTTATTGTCTAAATCTTTATTACTCTGTTTATTAATTTTTAGATAATTATTAACTAGATTTTATCATTGTTGGAGATGTAGCTAAACCCTAAGGATGTTTAGATTAGAATATATTTTAACTTAACAAATTTTCATAAGATGAATTCTAGCCAGCAATAAAGAATTCTTAAGGCTAATGTTATTCTAATAAACGATGTCTTTTTAAGTCCTAAAATAATTTATTTACCATTTCATCTAATTATATAAAATCAGGTCTTTCTCTTTCATCAACTTTTAACATCAATTCAATTAAATGTAGTAACTATTCATTAAAATTTGTTGTTATTAAATCATCAAATGCTTTTCTTAAAGCAAAATCATCTATTGACCATCTCTTCCAATCATAAACTTCAGGTTTTTTTGCTTAAATCAAATAAATAAGTATCAATCCAAAATTAAAAACATCTGATTTATATCTATTATGTTTAAGAAACTAATTTAATAATTATTTCATTTCTTACTTTGTCTTTTCTTGGAATAGCCTCTATTTATGCTGGAGACAGAAATGCTGTCTTTTTCATTTCATTCAGAGCTTAAAGTTTATATGGATATTTTAGTACTTTGCTTATCATCATAAAGTGATATGAAATCTTGAAACAAATTTTATCTTATTGGTTTGTAATACCTATCCACTAATTTGTAAACATCAACGTTAAAAGGAGTTTTAACAGTTATTATATCATCTATATCAAAGGCTGATGGATATATCTTATTGGCTTGTTAAAATCCAAAAGCTGAAACTACGCAATCTATAAGAAATAAAATTTCATCTTAAGTGAATTGTTATTTCATTATAACCTTTTTATGACGAGATAATGGTTCTACTGGTTTATCAATTAGTAATATGATTTCAGTAAATGGAATAAAAACTTTCATTGATTCTATTATGGAAATATTATGAATTGATAACAAATTAGGATGGTTATGTTATTCATTTTTTATTCTCCACTTCTTAACAAAGTCTCTCAATTTATTCTATGAAGCAGCAGCCTTCGAATAAATTAATCCAAAATGCGGGATACTATTATGATGAATTCTCTGATATTATTATTCATTACATTTCTAGCCATTTCAAGGTCTAAAATATTTAATACTCATCAGTATAAGGCATTGGAACCTAAAATTGAGACATTATTTCTCTCATTCGTAAATCTTACTGTATATCTTAAGTTGTCCCTTAACAAGAACCCATATTCTCAATATATTTAATATTATTATATAAACTATCTGTTTTTTTTAAACTTTAAAGAAATAAAAAAAAAGTTAATGAAAAAGTAGGTTTTTTTTCTTTGACTGATTTCTCATTATAGAAAATTCTTTTTTATTACTAAATTTCTTTTTGTATTATTAATTCATAATATTCTAAAAAGTCATTCTCAATTAAAAATTAGTGATGAAATTTAAATAAATCATAATTTAATTTTCATATTTATTAGTCAAGTAATTATTTAATAAAAAAATGCAATATATGATTTATTAGAATTAGAATTTGCTTTTTAATATTTCATTCATACTCTCTAATTTAACCATTGAATTACTTTAGGTATGATATCTTAGATTTCTTCTTCATGCCATATATCGTGCCTAATTATTTATTTAATAATTACCATAAGTTTTCATAAAATAATACTGTTTTATCTTATGATGGTGATTCTCTTTCTAATATTTATGCTAAATCAGGATCAACTAATTTATCAATACCTCCTTATATAACTATCCAAGGAGTATTTAATTATCTATACATTGATTCAGATTCTTTCATGCTTACAGTGACAGTTGAAATAGTTTTTGGAAGGAGTTCTTATTAATATGTATAGGGATCTTTCATTAGATCTTCGGTTATTTATGGGTTTTTAGTTGTTTATCCTCTTTTAGGTTTTACTAATTTGTATTTTGGTATCAGATATCCTAAAAATTAAATTGTACCAATGAATAAACCACTGAATAGACTTTTGATTGCAGGAGCATATAGTATAATCCCTTTAAGATTAGGAATATTTCCTAAGATTGCTAATCTAAAAGCAGTCATTCCACCCATAGATTAACCAGATAAAAAGATAGGAAGATTAGAATTTCCCTATAATTCCATAACTTTTTAAATAAATAGACGACTATCTTATAAATGAATTTCAAGACTTTCAATATAACCTCGTAAACCTTCAGATTTTCCAAAACCTCTATGATCAAATCCAACAATCAAAAATCCTTCTTATGCCATTTTCTAAGCAATATGAGCACAATGATTAATATGTGCACATAAACCATGAAACATGAATACAATAGCCTTAGGTTTAGTAACGGCTGGAAATCTATAAGTATTTAATTTGATTTGTTTTCCTTCTTATTAAACTATCATTTCAATAAAGTTTTCTTCTGGAAATACAATTTAACAAGGATTTGGTTTTCTATATTTTTCATCTTATTAAGCTGTATTTATTCTTTACAATTTTTACTCAATTCTAATTTCTTCTTATGACTTTTAAAAAAATTACATTATAAATAATAATAATTCATAAAATTTTGATAAATATCATGATGCTTGAAATTTGGAATACAAATATACTGAATATAAACAAATAAAAATATCGTTTATTGTGTCTACCAACACATTTTCCAATCCATGGACAATGATGATCATAACCTTCTATACAAACTCCACATATATAGCAATGTTCTGTTGAAATTTATTAAATTAAGTTGCATACTTCACAATATTTAATTGGTTTTTTATAAAAATTATATCTGTAATTGCAAACACCTTAATTCATAAATGCAGCTAATAAATAATTCATTAACGTTGAAGTATATGAGACAATACTTAAGCTTAATTTAAGAATTCCAGGATCTCTTTAGAATATCAAAATCAACAAGATAAATCCATATATTGAATAAGTAATAAGAGCAAACATGAATTATTAAACTAATGGTTAAACCTCTATTACAATTAGGCCCCAGAATAATTACTGGTATAGAGTCATCCATAAATAAATAAGGCTTGCATTTTCCCCAATTCAATTTTTATTACATCATATTAAATATGAAAAATTATAATTATTTCTTAAAGTATATTATTGTGGGAAACACTGGTTAGCAATTTTATTATTGATGAAGGTGTAGGAAAAGTTGTTTACTACTGCAATATGTTGATTAAAAATTTAGAAATTCTCATTCGATTACATTGGGAGTAAAATTTGGAACTAATATTATCAAATCTAATAATCATTTTATTAAATTACATATATGGGATACTATAAGATAAAACTTACTAATTAGAGGCTGGATAAAAATCCTTTTCATCTATGATTGGTTCTTATTATAGAAAGTATATTTAGATTAAATTACTGTTATTGGATATATTTTAGTCTTTGATTTGACTCATAGAAAATCATTTGAAGCTTTAATTAAAAAGCAAAATGAAGTGTTGTTTTGTACTGGTAATGATATTCAAATTACTATTGTTGGAAATAAAAATGATTTACCAAATAGGTATACTATTAAATTTTTATAGGCAAAAGAAGTTTAAGAAAAAGAAGCAAAATTTGCTTAAAAAATTGATGGAAATAATATTGAAGCTTCTGCTTTTAGTGGATTTAATTTTATTAGGATTTTTTAAAATTTAACATAATAAATGCTATAAGAAATCTCAAATGGTAAAATTGATCCACAAATTGAAGTACAAACTTATAAATATCATTAAAGATTTATATGGTATAACAATTGGAGATTTTGAAAAAAGAAGAAATTCAGAGATTGTACCTAAAAGTTAAAGATGTTTTGTCTAAGTGAACTATCCTATTTAAAAACAGAGATTAAAATGTTGATGAATAAGTGATATCAAAAATTAATTTAAACATTTTTAACTTTAATTCAATATAATTAAAGAATGATAATACTTTTTTTCTAAATAGTTTTTATCATCTAAAAATATATATAATAAAGACAATATAGCATTGAGATTAAAATGATTAATTTTTTTCATTATAAATGTTTGTTAACAAACTCTTTCATAAATTTAAAATTATCCATCATCATAGCATGTTCTATTCCTTTTAATTTAATTAATTGAAATTCAATTTCTAACTTAAGTAAAGGTTAAATAGATTTTTCAGCAAATTCATATGGAATAACTTCATCCTCTTCTCCATGCAATATTTGAATTGGAGTCTTGTTATTAATTTCTGTAAATGGAAATAAATACCCCGAGTTTCCTAGTATGCCACCTAAAGATTCTCTAAATATAATAAACTAAATGAATTACTTATATCCTAATCCTGCCAATAATGACATACAACAACCTTAAGAAAATCCTCCAATATAAATATTCTTTTTTGGAATAGGTTCTTAATCAATTAAACTCCATATGAAATTTCTTGATTCTATGGCTTAATCAACTCCCCATAATTCTTTATCAGATTTAATTCCCCAAAATTATTTCCAATTTGGTATCATTATGTCATACCAAGATGTCATCATTTCTCCTTAATTTTTAGTTAATGGTCTCACAGGAGCACAGAGTAAAATGATTTTTGTTGTCTAATTATCAAAAGGATTTAATTCAGGATTGTTGAATCCTGCTAGAAAACTATCAGGAACATCTTCTAATCCATGCATCTTTTATAATAGGAAATGATACCCAAATGAATGTATATTTATGTTCCTTTTTAGGATGAATGTATATATGTTTATCAACTCTAGTAATACCTTAGGTAAAATCTTTTGTTAGCGCAGGGATTAGTTCTTTAAGAGATAACATTATAAAAAAATTAATATTAGTAAATGAGAAATTGTTCAAATAGACAAGAGCAAAATACATTTCAGGGAATTTAAGACTAAAAGCAATAAGTAATTTAAAAAAAATGATACATAAAATAAGGGTTATATTGATAATCAAATAACATTAGAATATTGGATATCAAATTTTGTAAAAATAAATAGAGATGCTTTATTTTATTAAGTTGATTATAGAATGAAAATAAATTCTCATAAAAAATTATTATAATAATATTTTGAAATTTAAAAAACAATTTATCAGTAATAGCTATAAGATTTAATATTATAAAGTTTCACATATAGATTTAATAAAAAATTGAAATTTTTATTATATACATTTAATAAAAATGAATCATTTTCGTTTTATTACTAATTCCAATTACATATAATTGATTTCTTCTTCACTCACAGGTCTTAAATTCTCTAGTAATAACTTTAAATTTCTATTAATTTCTCCTTTTTCTGATTTCAGTAAATATGAAATTATTGCTTAACTTACTACTTTTACTTTCTAAGGCGGTTTATCTTTTCCCCAATTTTTTTATAATGATTAAAAAATGAGTTCCTCCAATTCATTTTGATTTACTTATTTTTACAAAACCAACTATAAAATCTATACTACTTAAAAGACTATTGCAGGATTAATATCACTAATCTATATAAATAAAGTAGTTATTATCTTCATTAATAAAGGATAGAAGTATTCTTTACTATTATCTAAACTTTAAAATAATATTCTAATGTATTTAATAGATATTTTACTTGAAAAAATGTAATATTTCCCTTTGCATTTCAAATGAATTCAAACTTTAAAATGCATCACAAATAATGTGAATTATGTTTTATAAATTAGGTGATTCAAAAAGAACTTATTGACAACATCTTATACATTCTTTAACATATTCGAATTAAACTTTCATTAAATCTGGATCTTTCCAACATTTGAAGGATTCAATGCAAAATATATGAATCTAATAATCATAAATTTTTGCCCATTATACAATAAATTAATGATCACAAGTCCTACCAATAGCTTAAGTTATTAATTATAACCAATTATGCTTTTATATTGGATCTGTATGAAATATTTAAAATGAAATTTACAATAAATGAATAATCTATTATTAATTTTAATAGTTTGACACTTTGAGTATAATCTGAATCAATTTGAAAATTTCATCATAAATAGAAAAACTTTATAAACCTTACAAAACTATAAGCAATGGTTCAAAAATTGATTGACACAATAAATCCTATAATTACTTTATTTAATCATTCTCTTAAGCATTTAAATTTATCCATTAAAGTATTGTAATGACTAAAGTATTATTATAATTAAATTATCTTTCAGTAATCTAAGGATTTTTTAATTATTTAAATTATTGATTTGCAAAATTAAATAACTAAAATTATTATTTAAATATATTTACTTATATTAAACAATCAGTGTTTCCCTACTCAAATAATCTATAACTTAACTTTATTATTCCATCAATATAATTGCTTACTTATGATTAATTAATGAACTCATTAAAATGTAATTCTAAGAATCTGACACTTTCAGAAATTAATTAAGCATTATTCAAAGTACTTAAGTTACAAATCTATTCAAATGCTCTAAAATGATATCTTTTAAATTTATTACACTCCTGCCAATGGACCTAACAATGGATGAAGCATGTATTTAAAAAAATATGAGGTTATTTATAGCAAAACCTCATCGTTTAATTTTAATTGGTTTGTAAATTCACTTAACATTTATAATGATGTTTTAATAATAATATCAAAGTTTTAATGAACAGGTAATGACAAAATAAATTGAATTATTTGTAATATTAATTAATTATTTACTTAAATATCTGCCTCATCAATTATTGAGCATAATGAAAATAATGCTGATTCGCTTTGAATTATTTGAATATACTAATCAGAATTAGATATAGCTAAATTACTTAAAACAATTTGAAAATATTAATCTGATTAATTATTCATTTCAGCACTTTTATAAATACTATAAAAAATATCTTTAGAATGTTCTCTAAAATCAGAAGTTGATATAAAATGCTATCCTACTTACTTAATATTATAATCAGTATCTTCTTCTTCAGGCTCTCCTTATAAAAACTTTTTTGTTAATTTAATTGTTTTCATTCTACATTTATCAATCATTGTTTATAAAATATTTAAACCAAATCCTTATAATTTATTATATTCACGCATCTAACTCCAAAATTCAAAAGTTTAAAATGCAATTTTTCTTGATGGATTACTTACAATATTACCCATCAAATTAAAAACTGATTATTCATATTTTTAATTAAAAACAATTGCATAAAAATTACAGATAAATTTGGTTGCAAACTAAGCATATCCTTTTGACATTTGAGGACTGTATATTTTGATTAAGAATTCAAGAATCAAATTTAAATTTTATAACACAACTGGTTCAATAGAATTTATATTTTATTCACTATTGTATTATGAAAATATGACACCTTCATTTAATAAGGTAAATAATTTATCACTATATTCTGTAGCATTATTCTAAAGTGTCTAATTTATTAAACCTAATATTTATTAAGTTAATTTCTAGTCTTTGAATAAATTATATGAGAATTATACCCAACATTCAATACAATAAACTGTTTAATTAAATATACTCAAGTCTTAGACATAAAATAAATTCAGAAATATTTCTGATAAAGTATTTTCTTAACTGATAAACTCTTGTTGCAATCTTGATTATTCACCTTTTTTATACCACTCTTTACCTTGAATTGCAATTTAAGTTAAAATTTCTATTCCTATTGTCATTTTTGCTTTCATTAATTCAATCAATTCCTACAGTATATTAGTATCATTTAGAAACAATACCCTCGCCATAATTATCGATTTCCAACTATTATCACAGCAAAAGAAGAACATACTTAATTCAAAGCAACAGTTGGTAAAGGTCTTGATAGTAGTTATAGAAGATATGGCTAAATAGAAATATTGCATTCTTCCTTTAATCTTCTGTAAATCATTTAACATGCTATGAATTAATATTCTTATTAAATATTTGGTTAATCTAATAATTCTTTTGCAATGCAAACGCTTCATTTCTTTATTATAATTTCAAAATGTATTAATTTGCCTGACGACTAATTGTTTTATTAGGATTAGCTAAGTTTTAATATTGTCGAATAAATTCTTCTGTACTAAACATTTAAGTTAATTAAAATTAAAATTAATCATAAATTTGCGCTCTTTTTAATAACATTGGTAACTTTAATGAATAAAACACTTTAAATACAAGATAATTTAATATGTTCTTTTTAAAAGCTTATTTCAAACCCATATTTTTGATAATGCATGGTGTGGTTTATTTTTTTTAATATTTAATGTGTATATCTCTCTTATAAAATCTTCATATTATTAATTAAAATTTTAAATTCAAATATTATTTTAAAGAGTGTCTTAATTTCTTAATTAAAATTATAAAGTTATTAAAATCATATAAAATCTCTTTCAGAAACTAATTTGTTTAATTTTTATGTGCCATCATTCTTGATATCATAATGCTTTTAATGGTCTAAACATTTAAGCAACTATTTAAAAAAAGAAATTTTAATTGTTTTAAAAAATTACATATATATAACTGACATAAAGCCAATATTATAATTATTTAGCCCACTTTAAAAAATAATCTACAATTCTAAATTATGATCAAACTTCTAAAATTTTTAATAATGATATCTTATGTAAAAGTACAAATATTTATGAAAAAAGAAGCATATTTTAAATATAAAAAGATTTAATATGGGTAATACATGTTAAAATTAAAATATAAAGACAACATAAACATTTATTTAAGAGTAAGATAGTATACTAAAGGAAGAAAATTTAAAAGCGATTCAAAATATGAATCCAGATATTAAAAAACATGAATATTTGCTTGAAAATTTAAGTGAGGGGATAGAGGTAAGTACTATAACATCTATTATAATAAAACCGAGAAACTAAGCTCAGGTTTTGGAGATTTTGAGAGGGATTAAGAATTTAGACACAGAGATAAAATATAATAAACATAGTGAATAGGGATAAGGTACTCCTTCATCAAAAAATAATACAAATAGAAGCATGATAGGAAAATTTCATAGTGAAAAACATGTTCACTTTTAGATTCCTTAAATGTAAATAGTAAAACATGAATATAAATATTGGAAGAAATAATCAAAGAAATGAATAATTAGTTGTATAAATATAAATTTTGAACACATAGAGATATTATTTGTATAATATTTAAGACTTTTTGCATCCTTACAAATAAATGAAAATTATAGGTATAAAATGAATATAGAGTTATGAAGAAATAGATTTGAACGATTTTTATTTATTTATTATAATAAGTATTGTGCTATAAGTATTAAGATTTTATTTAAATTAATTTCAAATCATGGATTAACCTTAAAAGGAAGCTCTCTGTATACATGTGCATTATCATAGAATGGGATCAAATTTAAGATGAAGAATCGTAGCCCTAATAGCCAGAGTAAAAACATTATACAAGTAACAAACCGAAACCAAAAATGTAATCGAGAGGGGAGATAGAGAAATTGATTGATGAGTGTCCTGATGAGGAAATCTTACTTAATATTGTGAAATGTCACTTTGATGCAACCATTGAAGAAGTGAAACAATCTTTCCCAAATTTTGATTTCCTAAAAGTTGAAAATTACAATCCAGGCAGTTTTAGTTTGCTCTTTAAGAATAAGGAATAGGCCAAAGAATTCCTTTTCACAACCAAGGAAACTGTATAAACACATTTCCTATCATCAGAAAATTAAAGACAGAGGCTTTTGGATTAAATTCCCACCTAGATTTTAGAAGTCCTCATAAAAATTGACAGATAATCCAAATAAGTAAAATCCATTGCCATCTACAGGCAACAAATTTGTAGATGCTCCATAGAAAAATAAAGATCAATATAATAGAAAAGGTATAGGTTATTTAATTTTATAGAACATGATGGAAAACAATTTAATAGAAGTGACGGATAAAAGAACTATAAAAAGAAAGATGAAGAAGATGATGTAATAGTTTTATGATTAAAATAAGGGTTGGGAAACTGTTATGCCACATAGAATGCCAAAACAATATAAACCATACAATAGAAAACCTTAATAATAATAATAATAATAATAATAGGGTGTTAAGAAAAATTGAGAAAATATATATCTTTTAATAAGTAAATTTATTAAAATTAATGGGAGTACCAAATTTCTATTCTTGGTTATCTAAAAGATATCCTATGTGCAAATACCCTTTTACCAAACATCATGGACATCAAATTGATTTTCTTTATCTTGATATGAATTAAGTCATTTATAAATGCGCAACCAATTAAACAATTTTAAAGGATTATATGATTGAAAAGAGCGTAGAAGCACTATGGACATCTATTTTAAATTATATTGATGCTATTATTGATTTAGTTGATCCTAAATTAGTTATTTATTTGACATTTGATGGAGTAGCTCCAAGAGCTAAAGCTAATTAATAAAGATAGCGTCGATTTGCATCTTCTAAAGGTGATGCTAAAATTAAATAATTACTTAAATAGTTAGATCTAGAATAATAAAACCAAACATTTAAAAATAATTAGATTACTGCAGGAACAGAATTTATGTATGAATTAAATGAATAAGTTAAATTTTTTATCTATCGTAAATTTTAAGAAGATCAAAAATATAATAATTTATAAGTTATATTCTCAGGAAGTGATGTTCCTGGAGAAGGAGAACATAAAATACTTGAGTTTATGAGAGCAATTAAAAAATAATAAAATTTTAATCCTAATTGGACTCATTGCATTTATAGTGCTGATGCAGATTTAATCATGCTTGGATTAGGAATAAATCTTAAATATGTATCAATAATAAGGGAATAATGCAATATGGATTAAATTAAAACCCAAATTGCTTGTAAAAGAAGCGTAGAACAGATTAAATTTGAATTGATCAACCTTTAAATAGTTAAAGAATATTTAGATCTAGAATATCAAAAAATTAATATGAAAATTACCTATAATATTGATCGAATTATAGATGATTTTCTTTTACTATTCTTTTTAATTGGAAATGATTTTCTACCTAGAGTTTACTGCTTTGATATTAAATAAGGCACAGTAGAATTATTAATATAAACATTTAAATAATTTTTAGAATAATGCGATGATTATGTTACAGAAGATGGATGGATTAATTGGAAGTCTATGTCATTATTAGTAAAGTTGTTATCTGTATTTGAAATTAAGGCAATTGAAAAAAGATTGGAAGAATTAAAAAAATAAATGAAGGACACAGATCACCCAGAATATTTAGATTATAAACTTTAATGGTAAGATGAATTGAAAATACTAGATGCTTTAAACATTTAATTTGCAAATAATAATTCTGTTGTTGCTAGAAAATTATTTTATGAAAATAAATGTAAAATAGATGTAGACACAGAAAATGGTAAAAAAGAATTAAATAAGATTATTGAAAAATATTTAGAGGGATTTTAATTCGTTTTAAGTTACTATTATCATGGGATTCCTTCATGGGAATGGTATTATTGTTACTATTACTCTCCAATGTGTTTAGATATATATGCATATTTGAGCAATATATAACTAGAAAAAATGTAAATTATGTATTAATAAAAATTAGATAATTTAGTTAGAGTAAACCATATGATCCATATCAATAATTATTATTGATTTTACCTCCACATAATGCTAATTTATTACCTGCTCCTTTTAGAGTACTTTATGATTAACAATCTCCATTGAGAACACCATTTGATTATTATCCAGATGAATATGAAGTAGATCCATTTGGAGCAATATGGGAACATTAATTTATTTGCAAAGTTCCATTTATGAACTCGAATTTATTGGTTTCAGAATTTTAAAAAATTGATTAAAGTTAATTGAATGAGTTAGAGAGAAAAAGAAGTACTTTTGGACATGCTTATCTTTTTGTTAAAACTTAAGAAAAAATCACAAAGGTTAAATCTATATTACCAAAAATATTTAAAGATAAGAAATATAGGACTAAATAAATTTAATTAAGTGGAGATATTGTAAAAGATGGACAAGAAGTTTTATCAAGAATTAATTTATAATTTTAGTAGGATTAAATAGATAATTTACCAAAATTACCTTCTCTTTTTGTTTTAAAAATTAATAAATCATGGTTATCAAATAGAAAAGATAAACAAAAAAATCAAAAAATATTGAGTATTGAGTTAGCTTCTAAAAATATAGAATTTTTAAATAAAATAGAAGAGGCTAGCAATTTAATTTAAAAATATAATTGTTTTGGTGGATATCCATAAAATTATTATGGAGAACTTGCCCTTGTGGTAAGTAAAAATTAATTCATTTTTTTGAAAAATTATCAGTTGAAAAATATATAAATACTTTAAGAATTTAGAGATGATATTATTAAAGAAGTTTAAGACGATATATATGATTTCTTAAAATCTACATTATAAATAAAATTAGAAACATAGGGATTATTTATAGAAAAAATTAATGCAATAGCAGTAGTGTATTTTTATAAAGAAATAGTAAGAAATTCAGATAGATCATATGATTATAATATGTTGAAAGTAAGAGAAGAAGTGATGCCATTAGAATGGATTTCAGATTAGAAGATAGTAAATTTGATGGATTATCGAATATAAAATTAGAATGATTTAATAAATAAAAAAGTGATTGTAACTTCTAAGGATAATAATTAAATAAATGGTTCAATAGGTTATGCATAAAAGAAGGCTTCAGAAGATTAATATATTGTAAAGATTTTAAGATAACTAAATAAAGTTAACAGTGATAATAAAGTTAAAAATTATAAATATTTTGATGTAAATTTTGTGGCAGAAAAATTGAATATATCTTAAGAAATAATACATTATCTACTTGGTTAAGTAAAAGTTTTTATTGGAGATAAGAAAAAATAAACTGATATAATAGTTTAATAAATTGATATAGGATTTAATGCTGTACATAAAGGCAAAAATTAATTAGTACCTGAGCTTTTGAGAATACATGAAGCTCAATTTGATTCTGAAGGATATGAAAGGTTTCGTCAATTTGAAAAAGCAGAAATATCCGAAATCTTATTTAATGATATTGAAGAATATGTGAAAAGGCTACCTGAATTGATTGTATATTTAAAATCAGCTGTATAATTATTTGAATTAATTTAAGGGTAAAGAAAAATTGAGATCACTGCACTAAATAAAAATATCGGATATTTTCAAAGATGATGTTTAGAATGGTATTAATGTTATTTTGAAATTCTACACCTGGCTTTTAACACTTCCTACTTCACAATATACTCTATGTAATGTTGCTTCATCAACTTATTCAAGTTAAACAATAAAAGCTTTAGAAAAATTGAAATAGTCTGAAAAAGTTTAAAAGACATTATTTAGTCATTAATGTTGGTTAATAAATTTAGAACAGTATTATGTTCCACCTTTAATGACAGAACATCCTAAAATTCATTAATTGGGAGATAGAGTTGTAGCATTAAATGTAATACTTATTTTATAAATAGAATGATTATTCAAATTTTGGTGCTTATGGTATAGTTGTTGGAATAATTGACAATGGTTAAATAATGGTTGAAATAGTTTGGGATAAACCACGTTTTGGATAAACTGATTTAGGTGGAAGATGTTCTCCATTAAGAGGATCAGTAGTACACTTTTTAGATGTCTTTAATATTACTTAATCATGGTAAGAATAATTATACACCCATAATGGTGGAGCATAAGTATAAGGTTGGACATATAAATAAAAAGTATTTGTTCCTTCATATGACAAACCTGAAAATAAAAAAAATTAGAATAAACCAAAATAAGTTTAGAAATAATGAATTTCATAAAATATTAAAATAATCCTTTTTATTTTTTTGTTTTATAATGTAAGAAAATCAACAATTAATTCTAAAATATATTTTATAATTATTAAATATATTAGTTAAGATAAATAATTCTATAATTATGTATTTTCATTTTTATTAAATGAGTTTTAGAATATGACCAATTCATTTGTTTAAACTATCCTTTTATACTAAGTTTTTATGTCTTATTTACTTATTAATTTAGATATTTAATGATAAAAATTGAACATAAAATCTATAATCCGACTCCAAAGAGCTAACCACATGATGAAATTTATATTAAAATATTCATATCATTATTAAAGAACAATTACATGAAAAAAGCACCTACAGTAGTAAAAATATCCATTCTTACACTTTTTTCAATCCTGGTTTTAATTGTCTATTGATTATTTTATAATTTAGTCTTTCATTGTCAAATTAAATTTAAGTGCAGCTGAAAATATTATTATGTATAAACAGCCTACGATTTTATGATATTAATATTCAAAGTTTATCAATAAAATCAAAAATATGTAACCAAACTCTTAATAATTAATTAGTATCAATGTTTTCATTACTAATCTAATTTAATCTTTAAGTTAACTCTTGATTATCCATAATTTACGAAATTAAATATTTGTGAAGTTAAATTAAGATTTATTAAAGTAGTTATAATTATATAAGATTATATCAATATATAATTTTAAAATCTATATTTTTAAATAGTAAAATGATAAAATAAAAAAATTTATAATTTTATTTTATATCAATATTTTCTTGGTTTTCTTTTTGATGTTTTTCTTCTTGATTTTTTTGGTTATACAATTTCTGCTTCAGGTTCTTCAATAAATTCCTCTTATAATTTAGTTTCAACTTTTTCTTCTACCTCTTCAAATATACCCAATTCATCAAATAATCTAAACATATTTGGCCTATCTCCTAATTCAAAATCTAATAATTAATCAATCAATCCCAATTCTATTTTGTATTTATTTTCTTTTCCAATACTCTATTTTTTATCTTGTTCACTATCTGATAAATCACTATCTTAAATCTAAAGATTTATTTCACTTGAATTAACATATTGATTAAATTTATTTATGTGTTTTGGACATATTTCAAAACATAGAATTTCTTTTAATGCCTTTTTACTCTATTTTTTTATTGATTTTCTTTTCATAACTTTCATATGATAAATCTATCTTAAAGTCTAATTAGATTCTCCAAAAATTTAGTCTGGTTTAACAACAATTTAATAGGCATAAAATAATTTTAATAGAATTGCTTTTATAATTTAATAATCTTTTTCAAAACTTAATTATTGCAATTTTCTTTCAATTCTACCTATAAAATCATCAAATCTATTCAGTAAAGCCTTTAAAATGATTTTTATTTCTTGTTTTGATAAGTATTATAAATGAATTAATTAATATAACACAAATTATGCTTAGGAAAAGTATGTTCTACTATCAATCTTATTTAAAAAATATGATTCATCTAAATATAACAAAAAATCGCTTAATTTTTGAGCACATACATCATAGTGAACAGAATGGCAGAAAACTTGATTATTTGAAATTGTATAATTTTTTAATAAATTATCTAATCCAGTAAAATATGGTTTAAGTGAAGCATCATTTTAAATCATTAATTTAATTCCATTAGGAATCTACAATAACATATGTTCAGGTCTAACTTCAATACATTTTTTTAAGATTAGTTCTGCAATCTCTCCATCATTTATTAAAGCAACAATTAAATAATCTCCAAATTACAGGGAAATAGAAAGTTGATTGTCAAAAAGTAGTTCAATCAATTTTAAAACTAAAATTCTTATAGTTTTATTTGTATGTAAAATATGTTATTAAAATACTACATTAAAAATATCTTTAATCATATATGAAAGTTAACTTTTATCTACTATTTAACTAAATTATTATTTTTGTGCCTAGCTATTTGCCTCTAAAATAGATTCATAAAATATTTAATAAATCGCTATTATTATAGGTTCTTAAAAAGTATTTTCTTTTAGGTTTTCTATTAAAAATTCGCTACTTTCAAACATTAATTATGGAAGTTTTTCCCACATTTTTGATAAAGTGATAATAATTTCCTCTTAAGCAGCCTTTTCCTTAGAAAATTCAAGTAAACTATTATATAAAGTCTACATTGATTCTAGAAATGATTCGATATCTTTAGTAGTTTTTGTTATAAAATATTCAAAATATTCAAAAATTTAACAAAATCCTATTAAACCAAATTAAAAGCTAACAGGATTCTCTTCAGCTTTTACCAATATTAATTTCAAGACTATTTCAAATTTAGAATAAATATTGTCATATTTTTTTGTATACCTTAAATCTAATAAAGTTGAAAGAGTGAAAATCGTCTTAACAAAAGCAGTTTTTGGATGAACTTTATATATTATCTTTTCTATAAAAATAATTAAGTAATCAAGTTGATTACTTAACTTTTTTGTTAATTAGAAAGGTATTTTATCAAAATTCTTTTTACCATTTGAATTTAGATCTTCAAGACAAAAAATTAAAATTTTAAATAATCCATTTAATATATTAACAAAAGGAGTATCAAGTGTATCTTCTTATTTATTCAAAAAATAAGATGTAATTTACATGATATTATCGATTTATTTGATGAAGATTTACTATTAAGTGTGGTTTTTTTAATTGATTATTATTTAAATTAATTTTAAAACATTTTCTATTTAGTTAATTTATTATTTTGTTTCCTTCACATCGATACAACCATTTGAAAGCTGAATTAATCTCAAAATAAAAAAATGTAAAATTCCTGATTTATCAATAATTTTATTATTGTCAGACAATTTATCAATTAAACTTTATATACGATCATAGTCTACTTTAAAATTATTTGCTTAAAATGTTAATTCTAATAGTTTATCTGCAATTTCTTAATCTCTATTTTTTGAATCTGTGGCTAATAGCAAAAGTATCAATTAGGCTGACATTTCTCCAATTTCTCCTTTTTCTTCTAATCTTTTAGATACTTCTTCAAAAAATCTAATTTAATCATTAGATTGTAATTCTTTAAATAGATCAATGTAATCTAATGAATATTGAATGGTCTTTGTTCTCACAGAGATTTCAATATCTTGCATTCTATTAATAATTATATCAAGACATGGAATTTTACATTGCTTCCATAATTTTAACAATGAATGCACAATCATTCCTCTAATTTATTTAGATATATCCTGTGCTCTTAATTTCATTCTATCGATAATATTTTAAGTATTAAATACACTAAATTCTAGTTTCATATAAATAATTTACTGTAATTTTTTGGAATTTGCATTTTTGAAACTTTAAGACAGTAATTTTCAAACTAATTAAGTACTTTTGCTCTGACCTAAATTGAGTTATCTTCAAAAAAAGCTAATAATATCAATTCAATATTTTGAAATGTTTGAAATAATTACTGGAATAATAAACTCATATAGGAGAAATACCATAAATACATATGTATATCTTTTAATCTTTCATAATCGATGCACATTTATTCTAAAGATTATGAAATTTCCTCTAATTTTTAAATACTAATCGACTTTGATTTTTTATTTTATTTTCCATTATGGAGTGTTTAAGAGATGAGATAATTTTCATAATAGAGTTTCATCCAATTACATTTAGTTTTGCATGCATGGCCATATGTAACTGTCGGCAAATATACTTAATCTTCATAATTATTACTTAATTATAATTAAGTACAAAAACATCCTTTACAGCATTCGATTAGTATTTCTTACTTTTCAGTTTCAGTTTCCATTAATTAATACATTTTTTAATTCTAATATTAGCATAAAAAGCAGTCTCCATCTGGTAATTATTTAATTTCATAAAAATTAAAATAAAAATTAATCTAAAATAGTTTTTCTGCATTTTATAAATTGATAACTAAATCTAATAATTTTAATTTTGATTAGGACATTAATTTTTTTTCATATTATAAATAACTAATTGTGTTAGCAATTTCGTTTACAAATAGAGTTATTAATTAAGTTGAAAAAAATATTGAGTCTATTTTTTCTGGAATTTAAGTACTAAATGAAATAAGAAAATCTCCAACAGCAGAAGCTTATGATTAAGTTGCATAATTCCTTAATAAATCTCTAAAAAAATGTCTATAACCAGCCAAAATTAAATTGTATGTTTATTAGACTTGTTCTAATGATGGAGAAAAAACAGAAACTATTTTAGCAATTAAATTCAATAAAGGATGCATATCGTCTATTTTTTAATAAGATTTCTTTGGTTTAGCTAATTTTAATGTGGCTGTTATATGTTTTAAAATTAATTCCAAATTGAAATTAGTATTTTTCAAAATAAACACAATAATTTCAATCAAATCACTTACATGATAGTCCTTCATTATTTATTCAATTAATTTTGGAATAGTCTCTTCACTCCAATCTTCATTAAATTAATATTCTTTAGAAATCTCATCCATCACAAAGGATAATATTTCTGGATTATTAATGTGATTGATTAACCATTAGAGAGCATTATTAAATATTTGATGAGAGCCATCCAATTTATAAAGTTTCATATAAGATAACAAGAAATCTTCATCATTTATTAATTCTTGAAACTAATTTTTTTGTTATTTGAATTTCATTTTCTATATAATAATTGGAAATTTCTCCTTAAAGTACTCTTAAGCTTCTTAATTATATTCAATGTTCTCAATTGGACATTTTACATTTGATTCCCCAGCTAATTTGGAACAAAGAAAATTGATATGTTTATCAATATTTTACATAAATTTTTGATTTTTAAAATATAAGCAATTATAAATAGAAAATGTGTTCACATTAATTTTCAAGAAAATAAGAATCATTATTCTTTTAAGATGTCATTTCAAAGCATTATCCAATTAGAAGTATTAATATGTCACCTTATATCTATTGATTTAGAAGTACCATGTTGTTGCAGAAAATAAAAATATTATTTTTAATTTCATACTCAAAATAGCAATTTATGTTTTAATCATTTACAATTACTTGATTCACAAATCTGACAATAGGAATCAAAATTATTCGCTTATGGCATTTTAATCCAAAAAAAGAAACATTTTTTACATTTCTCAAATTTTACTATATTATGATATCTTGAAACAATGAATTTAATTTAATTTAAGTAGTATAATTCAATCATACTCTTATTTAATATATTTCTCAATTAACTATTTTTTATTCTCTCATTGCAACTAATACAATTTAGATTGTATTATCCTTAATTTATTAATTATTAGAGTTAATCTTTCAAGCAGTCTTTATGAAAACTATGTTAACAATTTAGTTTAAAATTATCATATTCAATATATTAGAAACATATTTTACATTTAATAATATCCTAAATAGATTGTCTTACCTAAATTCTATATGAATTTAAGTTATTATTATTAGTATTAATATATCTTGATGATAAACTTGGTAATTTGTATTAATTTATTGAACAGTTCTCACTATTATGCAATCTAAAATTTTCTTTTTTCTTTTATTTCTTAAAATTAATAGGTTTTAGCAATTCCAGTAATTTATTTTGAGAATTCTATACTTATTAATAATCAATTTATTGCTGTTTAGGATTTTAGATTATTAATTCATTTATTGAATAAATATGGGATAGTTTATCTTTTTATTTTATTGATGATTCTTTTAGTTAAATTTTGTTATCAAAAGATTTAATTTGTGGGGCAGATTTTTTAGCACTTGGTTTTGTACTGATTGTAGGAATATTCTAAGGTAAAGTCTTCTATTTTGGATAACTTTCATCAAAAAGCAAATCAATAAGTGTCATTCTTTCCCTTGAACTATTTGGAAATTATTTTGTCATTTTTATTGATCTAAAAAAATTTTTATTATTAAATTTTTTATTATTCATCTAAGAAAAAGTTTATAATCATAATCATATTTAGTAAATTTTGAAATTAAGAAAAATAGTAAATGATATCTTTTTTTATCTAGAAGATGTTTCAAATAAATAAAAATATATTTACAATTTTAATAAACTTGTTTAATTATAATATCGAAATCATTTAATATGACTAATATTTTTCAGTTCTAGTTTGCCAAAAAATTGTACTAATTTTCAAAATAGTTCTCCAAATACATCTTACTTTAATTATTTTCATCAGTATATTCTTAATCCTCTAAAAAACTTCTAATGATCTTAGTTCTAATGACTTTTTTGCATAGACAATAAATTTGTGGCTTTTTCTAATTGATTTATTGAGTAATTAATTAAAATAAGCAATTTTAATCAAATTGATGAAGACAATCTAATTGGTACATGATATTTTAATTCTATTTTTAACATTAAAAGCAAATAAAAGTTTTTTCTTAAAGTATTGAAGAACAACTAATGCTGCTACTCTTTCTTGATTATCGATTACTTGCTTATGGTGTCATATTAGTAATCCTTTAATCATCTATGGATTATTAACTATTTTTTTCAGCCTCTTATATAATATTTTTAATCCTATTTTTATTAATGACCTCATATTTATAATAATATATCATATTTTAAGATAAACCTTGATCCTGAATAATTCTTAAGGAATTATATGGTTTGATATCTCCAAAATGATCTAATTTATTTTTTTATTATAGTTTTGGTGATTCTAATTTCTTATTTTTTTTTTTAATAATTTTTGGATTAATATCTTTGTTTAATAGAAATTTTCTTCTTTGAAAAATTTAATTATCTATTGCATTCATTTACTCATCAACATGATGATCATCAGATTCATCAATTGAAATTGAAGGCTCAAATGTATTTTCTTTTTAAGGAGCTTCAGGATGCGAATCTTATAATGTTTCACAAATTTATTTAAAGCCAACACCTTTATCACATTAATATACATCTTCCTATTATTTGTGTATTTATGAATCATTTGCTGCTTTTCTTGATTCTAAGCAGCCCATGGAATTATGAATTTTTATTTAATAATTAATATGATTGTGTATTTTTTATAGATATTGTCGGTACTAGAATTAACTCATAAAATTTTTAATTTCTATTGCGATAAGACATTTAATTCATAAAAGATGAATCAATCATAAGTGGATGTTAAAATAATCACAAATGAAAAATATTAAAAATAAATATTATTCTCAGAAATAATTGTAATAACAAAATAAAAAGTAATTTTATAATTATTTTTGCTATTATTATACTCATCTAATTTTAGCTCTAAGTGCTTCAATTTCAGCACACATCAGAACTATTAATGATTATAAATCTTATATTTATCTTTTTAACATTCTATCATCAAAGGGTTTGGCATTTCTAAGTTTTTCTAATTCATTTAATAATTCTTAAATCTATCTTTCATAACCAGCAATTATATTTGTTGAATTCACTTATTAATTATTATTATTATTATTATTCATTTAAGATTATAATAATTATTAAGCTTTTAATCTATCTTATGCTATTTAATTTTAAATTTCCATATCCTTAATTTATCTTTCTAATTACTTTATTCTATTTTCAGCATCTCTAAGTTTTTATAGAGCATCTTATAAATTATCTTCTGCTTCTCTTAATTATTTTTATAAGTTATAAAGTAAATCCTAAATTTGATCAACTTTTTATTAATCAACTTTTTATTAATCCACTCCTTAAGATGAACTTTATGCAGATAATTTGTCATTTTGTAAATCAGACAATTATTTTTTTAATTTTTCTATTTCATCTAAAGCTTTTTAAAGATCTAATTCTGCCTTTTTGGCTTTTTTCTCATTTGCTTCAGCTGATGTTCTCAAATCATCATTAGCTCTTAATTAATTATTATATTTAATGTTCAATTCATCATTTTCCTATTACAATAATTAAATTTTATTATTTAGATTTTAAATTAATTACTACAGTCTAATAATTTCTGTTTTTTAGATAAGAATTTACTTTAAAGCTTTTTCAGTAGGAGTTTCTGATTCTAATTCTGCTAATCTATCTTCAAGTAATTTAACTTTATTTCTTTCATCCTCTAATTCTTATAATGCTTAATTTAGTTCTAATTAAAGTTATTAGTAGTCAAGCTATTTTTTGGTTAATAAATCTTTCAATCTTTCTACCTCTTCAGCCAATCTCGCTGCTTTAAGAACCATATCTCTATTACTTAGTTCAAATTATTTATATTCTTGTAAAGCTAAATCTAAACGTTATGCTTTATTTTTCCATTCCTCAACTTCATTTCCTTATTAAAAAACAATAACATTTAATCTTTCAATTTCTGCTATTAAAATATCATTTCTATGATTTGCATCTCTTAATAAAATTTCTGCTTAGGTAAATTAATTCATTTTATTCTCAATTTAGCTAATTTATGTTCTATAACTTGATATGACTTATTTGTATTAATTTATATCTTCCTATTAAGCTTCAATATTTTAATAAGATTACTTCTAATTATTTAACTTTAGTGGTCTATTTAAGCCTAAAGATCAACCCATTTTTCATTTTCAAAATTTTCCATTAAAATGAAATAATAAATTTTATTTTAATATTTATTTTAATATAATGCATAATAATCATCCTTGCCTTTGATAATTTACAGTAGGTTACTGATAAAATAGATACTATTATTAAGTATATTAAGAAGGTTATTGCTATTGAACTTACTTTTATTAATTTGCTATTAGTTTTGATTATGAGTTCTTTTAATTAAATTACTAAGATTACTAGTATTACAATTATTAGTGTTGTTATTAAATTATTTTTGTCTATTATAGTGGAGGATTTAAATTTATTTTATGAGATGGATTTCCTTTTTAATGAACTGCTTACAATATTGGCTAACCTTAAACTTATTTATTATATTGTTTATTATAAAGTAATTGAATTGCTTTTTAGTCTAATTATGGTTAAGATTTAACCTCCTTTGGTTATTAAATTTATTTTTAGGCATTCTCAAATTAATTTTATAGTTGTTAATTTTTTTATTTTTCTAAATTAAGCTCTTAAGTTAATTTATCTATGTTTTAGTCTTTTTTTATTAATGCATCTTTTAGTTATTTTACTTATCGTTCACATTCTTGAATTTAGTGATTATTATCTTTATTAGAATAGTTGGTAGACTTTTCAAATTCTTCCTTTGATTTGATAATCTATCTCTAATAGGCCATTCTATTCAATTCCATTGTCAATAATAGCATCTTTGGATCTTCTGGTATTTATTCATTTTTTTCCATTATAATTTATTTAATTATATGTAATAAAATGATCAAATTTAATATGATTTACCATCTAATTCATCTGAATTGATGTTATAAATATCATAATGTCACAATTTAATGCTTTTAGATAAAGTAACAATATCAATAATAAAGAAAGGCTTTTGAGATTTAGTAATTCTATATTTCAAGACATAATTAAGATAAAGAAAATTTTCCAATAAATAAGGATTTATTTAATGAAATCCAAACATTCTATAAAGAAACAATATTCTTAAGATAGTAATTATCAGATAATAAAGACTGGATTCATGATTGCAATACTTAATAGTAATACAGTATTAATTAATATAAGTTTCTAAATGAGTTATAAGTTTATACCTAATTCATCAAATGTTGCCTTAAAATTTGAATCTGTTATGAAATTACCAATAATAAATGCTTGTGCTTTAATATATTAAACTGAACTTTTTAAAAATTGGGTTCCATTTTGTAAAGTTAGTAAAGCAGTAAAAAATTAATCAGATAATAGTTAAAATCACCAGGGTTAGGTCATAAAATTTGTTATATTATGATGGATCTTCCAGTTTTATCAAATCGAGAAGCATATATTAGAGGATATGGAGTTGATTAATTAGAATAATCAAAATCATTTTTAATTTGTTGTTAAACAATTCATCAAGATAAAGAATATTAATAATTACATTAAATTAACACTACTTAAGTTAATTGTGTATAAGTGGAAATTAATTTTTTTGCTGTTGAAGTTACACTTATTAATGATGGAGAATTTATTATGAAAAGTGTTGCTAATTTAGATCCGAAAATGAAATTTATTCCTCAAAAAGTTATGAATTTTTTAATGAAAAAAATAGGGAAATTTATGTATGAAAGATTTTGTAAATTGGCTTAGAATATAAAAGGAACTTAATGGGAAAAAGCCATTTAAGAATAGCCTTAGTTTTATGAACACATAAGAAAAAGATTTGAATAATATTTAAGTAAATATTGAGTTTTCATTTTCTATTTTTTTAAATATATTTTATACAACAACACAATTATCTATCATAACATTTAATCTATTAAATATTCCACAAATATCTTTGCATTAGGAGTCGAAGCGCGTTGTGCTATTGAATTTACAAGATCATTTCTCTCTTAATGCAATAAGCTACTGATTTTTTTTTATTTTTCACATAATATTTCATAAGATTCATTAGAGTGGTGATTTTGCTTGTTTGTTTCTTTATTTTATTCAGTTACATTATTTAATTAATCAAGTACTTCCCACCTATATCTTAAATATTTATAATATCGGTTCTTAACCATGGCTAAAGTTTTGCCAGGGAAATGCTTATGTATTTTTTAGAATTTAGGCCCTATACTTTGAACCAATTCTAAAATCAATCTATCCTCTTCTGGTGTAAATTTTTATCCTGGCTTTCTATTGCTAAGACCTTCAGTAATTCGTCTAAAGTAATTTTATTATTTAATACTCATATTTTTTAGTTTATTTCTTTTTTCCTGATAAAGTTCTATCTTGTTCTTCTTAATCTTCTTAATCGCAACCATTTTCTTATTCTTAATCTAATTCTTTGTCTATTTCTTATTCTTGACTAGACATAAAAATTAAATAAATTTGTTTATTATTCAAACCCAATTATTTATTAGATACAAATATTATTGAACTTGTTTTCTAACTTATTCTTTGATTCTCTCAACAATAAAGAGAGTTATAATATAAATTTAATTTGACATTTATTTTATATAAAAATCATTTGTTTCCTAAAACTTTAACCATTAATTCTCCTAATCTTTAAAATTCAATTCTGCTTATCTTTTTATCATTATTTGTATCCAAATAAGATATCATATAATCAATTTCCTTATTAGTAGGATTCTAGTTTATTTTATAAGAAAAACCTAAGAATTCATTTCATTAGCAAGATTAATCAGCAAGGCATGTAATTCATCTTTTTCAATAAATCCTGAATGATTTTTATCATATCGATCAAATACACGATTAGAGAATTCAGCTACTTATAGACTGTTCATACTTAAATTGTATATTACTTTATTAAATACATTTTATATTATATAAGTTTGGATATAGTGATTTCTCATATTTTAAATGTTTAAACCTTAGTATCATATTTCATATGCATTTCTTATATAAAGGTTTTACTTATTTTGACATTGAGTGAAGCATCAAGTAATTCATCCCAATCTACTTCAAGTTCATTATCATCAATTCGATAATTTTGTTGACTAAGAATGCAAATAATTCCAGTCATATCCTCACTCATCAGAATTTCTTAATGGTAAAGAAGAAAACCAATAATCAATTGATAGATATATGTCCAACCATATCTAAAGATGCAGTCGAATAGCTTAACTTATTTCTAGATTGGTATCATCATTCCAAATAATGAGAATAACCATGAAGCACAAAACATGTCTACTTTGACTCCATTGATACAGAAATGTTGATACAAGTCTGGCATTTTTGTTAAGATAAGATAATCAATCAATTAGATATGCTTTGATAAACCAGGAGACCTACTATTATATAAACTTACATCGGTGAATAAAGATCATTCATTTAAAGTAGATCAATCAATTTTCTTAGTAATTCAAAGGCCACATAATTATCAGCATGATAAATTAATCCAGCGGCAACAAAATTCATTCCTTACATATAACCAACAATTTTGTTGTATTTTGAATACGCTATCAAAACCTATTATAAATCAGATAATTTTTAAGGATAATTCTTAAGTGGATGAGTTCTTTCAACATCAAGATTTATTTATTTAATAATTTTTGGTTCACATTTGCTTTCTAATAAATTAGAATATTTAGTTTTTAATTTATCAACATCATAATTGCCTAACCATTCTTTAGCTTTAATGCAAGTATTATTTTAATAAGGTAAACATTTACAAGGATCTACTTCTCGAGTAAAGAGTCTCATAATTTTATTAATTACACTTTCCTCCTTCTCTTTTGGTCTAATATCATCATATGTTAATGTACTGAATCCCTAAACTGAACATACAGTTTGATTACTTCCACATCTTTAAGGAACCTTGATTATTTATATCTGCTAAATAAACTGAAGTTTAATACCTTAGGTTATTTTGGATAATGAATGGTTTTTGAAGCATCTCGAATTACCCCTGTCACATGAATATTTCTAATTTACTAAACAGGCTTTGGAATTTCAATAGGTGGTTCAAATTTCTTTTCCAATTATCCATGAGAAGACCTCCCTTAAAATTACTAGGACATTCGTTAAAATATTAATTAATTATAATATAATGCATACAAGTCGATCAGCTCCCTCATGTAACTTATGATTTAATCTAGTAATGACAATCGAATAAATGTACAGTGTTGTAAGAGGTGAAACAGGAGCTTGGGGTATTGAAGGATATGAAGTCCCCAAGAAGTATTGTGACCCACTTAAGTAAGTTTAAGAAAGAGAGTTTCTTGCAGGAAAATTAAAGAAACCACCTACTATTACTAAAAGAGGACATTTCTTAGATGATATAGCCAAACCATTTAGAAATCGTAAGGTCCCTGTTTAATATAATGTTGAATATAAGTGGGTAAATGAAAAAGATAAGGAAAGAAAAAGGTAAATTATTAATATACTCTATTGTTAGATCAAAAAGTGAACTATTGAAGAGAAATACTTTTATAGATGATATATTTCTATAGAATAGTAAAGCAAACTATCCTAAACCTGGACCGGGAAAGTATGATGAAAATAGATCTATTGAAAATCAAGCTAAAAAGTGGAATGGCAAATCTAAAATTTAATATGGAGAAAAACCAGACTTTGTATAAGACTATTAACATTTAGGAGCTGTTTTACCAGCTGGTCCTGGTAGCTATAATCCTCATGTACTTTATATATTTTAATAATCAAGCCTATTCTACCTAAATTAAAGCACAATAATACAAATCCTAAGATCATGATTACCAAACATAAAGATTTTGATAAGTTTAAATTAGAAATGCTTAAAAATTATCCTAAACCTGATTGTACAAAATATAAGCCAATTCCTGTTGATTATAATACTTTTGGAAGATCTTTAGAATTGCTTTATGATAAAAAGAAAATAGAGCCAGCCAAAATTAAATATTGGGTATAATCAATCCAATATTCTAGGGTAATCCTAATAAACCAGTTACTAGAAATAAGTCAGAGGCTAAGGTACCTCCTTAATATAACTTAATTGCTTATTGGCCTGGAAAAGAAGATGGAAGTGCTAAAAATAAAGAGTTGAAAAAATTTAATTGGATGAATAAAGTCACAAAAGGAATTTAATCATCAATATATTATTGATATATAAAAAGATAATAGTCATTATTAATTTTATATAAATAATTTTCTATTAAATAATGAATTATTAAGATAGTCCTCTTATTGCCCTTGTCAATTTAATAAACAACGTTGCTTATAATCAGAATGCTAATCCAGAATAAAATATAATAAAACTCCTTGAAAAAAATTCAAAATAACAAATAAATCTAATTTATGATGGATTATCTTTTTGTTAACTTACAGGAAATGTAATAGGAAACTAATAAATGATTAAGTTGAAAATAAAAGAACATATTTTTAATGTTCTCTAAACAAGTCTTAAAGATTTAATACAAAATCATTGTTTTGTTGATGGAAGATTTGAAAAATGCTTTTCTATTATAAATAATGTATAGTTTATTTTATAAGGGGGTTAAAATACAGAATTTACAAATAAAATGGATTTGGAAATCACAGATGATATTCTAAAATAAGTATATGGAGAAGAGAAATTTGTATAAATGATGGAAGAGTATATAATTTATTAAAATTGAAAGGATTAGAAATTTTTATAAAGAAAATAATGCTCTGTAATAGTGTAGAGACTAAAACTTGCTTATGAAATGCCCGAAGACATAAAAAGATATTATTTTATTTAGTGATGGAATAAATTTATAAAGCGTAATGTACAGTATAGAGGGAGCATTAAAAGTATTGAGTGATGAAAAAGATAAGCTATTTGAGCATTAAATAAATTTTTTGGTGAATTATAAAGATAAAATGAGATATGGAATCTATAAATGAAAATTAAGATTATTATTTATCATTTTTATTCTTGAATAGTTGCACTTGAAATCATCTAATAAATTATATTAAATGCTTTTGTTAAGAATATAAAATAATTTATTAAAGATTTTTAAAAAATTTAAAATAATATGTAAATTTTTGTAAAGACCCTTACGGGAAAGACCATAACACTTGATGTTGAGCCATCTGATACTATCGATGCTGTTAAAGCAAAGATTTAAGATAAAGAAGGAATTCCTCCTGATTAATAAAGATTGATTTTTGCTGGAAAACAATTAGAGGATGGAAGAACTCTTTCAGATTATAACATTTAAAAAGAATCAACTCTCCATTTAGTATTGAGACTCAGAGGAGGTGGTATGGAACCAACCATTGCTGCTATTGCCAAAAAGTACAATGTTGAAAAAAAAATATGCAGAGTATGTTATGCCAGGTATAAAATTTAATAAATAAAATAGATTACCACCAAAAGCTCATAATTGTAGAAAAAGAAAATGTGGACACTCAAATTAATTAAGAATCAAGAAGAAGCCTAAGGATTGATGTGATTATAAATAGTACAATAATAAATAAATATGTTTAATAATTCTAAATTATTTATTTAATTAGTTATGAATTCTCAACAATAAAATAATCCAGAATACTTTCCACCTCCAACCTATTATTGTAACAAAAGTGGACATCCTTTAACATGGAAATCAACCAGTGGTCATTCATGTGCAGAATGTAAGATTAAAAATTGCAGATCTCGCTATTGGTGCTAATAATGCTAAGAAGCATTTTGTTTAGAATGCATGCCTCCACCTCTATTTGGAATTATTTGTGGAGCAGGACATCCGTAAACTTGTAATTACTATTAAAAGAATGAAATTGAGCATTGTACCTCATCATGTTTGTGATTATTGCAGTGAAACTATTTAAAATTAAGCACATAGATGTTAAATATGTGATTTCGATGTATGCCCAAGTTGCTTACTGCAAAAAGAGGATTGATTTTTTGTATAAATAGTACAAATATTTACTTATAAATATCTCAATTAATCGTCTCGATTAAAATTTTATTCATAATTGAAATGATTAAGTGAAAGTATGTCTTAAATAGAAATAAAACATATATAATAATATATCAATAAGTTATATATTGAATCGATAAAGACATCTTCAGAATTGATACCTATAGACATTTATTTTATTCTTAAAATTGGTGAACATTGTCAATTTTCAAATATCTTAAGCGTAAATCCATAATTATACATGATATGTTTTAGTTGTAATAGCAATCTTAAACTTGAATATGTGCATTTAGTATTAACTAAGAGAAAAATAGTCAATATCTATAGAATGTTGGGCATATGATTAACATTTAGTACCAAAAGCATTCTTTGGCAAAGAAACATTGACTAATACAACTCGCAAGATAACATTAGATAGAATGGAAATTTAAATTCGTCAATCTTAATAGGAAAGAAGCAGAACCCCAGAGATTGCTATGAAAAGGGATGCTTCACCTTTCGGAAGAAGAGATTTAACTCCAAAAAGAGAGAAAAAATGATCTATACTCATCTTTTGAGGTGGGGTTGTATAAGTTATTTCAATATCTTTTTTAATGTAAATATCAAATCGACAAAATTTGTGTTTTCTACAATGTCTGTGTATCGGGATGAAAGCATACTAAAAGGACTTCTTCAAAGAAAAACTATAGAACAAGGGGCAGAGCTACATTTGTTCATAATTATTGAATAAAATGTGAGGAAGGTCATTCAAGTGAATATTTAATATGATGATTAGGAAGCTATAAAATATTAAAGGCATTTCAGAAAGAAATAACTTAATTCCTAAGATATTGAATTAGCTATCAAAGATCAAAATATGTTGAAGGTACTCTGATATTAATCATAAAGTCTGAAATCGTAGGATTTTAATATATGGATAGTATTAATTTGTCTAAAAGAATGGATGAATATGTACTCAATGATTAAGTATAAAATCTCAATATTCAAAGAGCTTAGATCTAAGAGATTTAATTACACATTAGATGAAAACAGTTAAAATTCCTTTAGGATTTCCCTCTCTTTCAATTTTTAATGTTATGAGAGATTATTAAATGATAAATTCATAGGAAACTCAATCTATTAGTAAAATAACTTATTATTATTAAGTGCAATATAAGGACATCATATAAGCAGAATCATTCTAAAATATGGAGAACAAGAAGTCTTTCAATATTATTAAGGATAATGTTATTAGTATATTGACAGTTCATTAATAATCTATAATTAAAAACTTCAAAGATTTATTTGAAAAAGAAGTAACAAGTCTAAAGTTTAATTTCTCTCAAGAATTTGTTTAATGTAATTCTATATTTGATATTAAGTACTTTCTGATTTGTAAAGTTATAAAGATGTTGCTCAAATAGTTCCTTTTATTGTTCAATATCTATATAGTTAGTAGGATCAAGTTTAACTTTTTTATTATAAACATAGATGTGTAATTATTGAATGCTTGAATCGACTTATAATTAATAATTAGATAAATTTAGAATATTAAGTATATCAAATAATCATTAAAATTAGTTGCATTAAATACTTAAAATATTAGTTAAATTTTTGACAGCAAAGATAATTTAAATCAATATAAAATCCTAAATTGAACTTCAAATTAAGACTGCCAGATGTCTGAATTATTTACTTGAAAAATTTAATTTAAAGTATTAAGCATTAAGGTAAAATGTTGATCGAGTTATTTTGGACAAATTCGAGAAAATTAAAAATAAAATTTTGGAGAAAAACTCTCACAAATCATTATTAAAAGTTTATTCAATAATTTAATATTTTATTGAATAAAATATAAATGTTTAACATTTGAAATTTGTAGAGCAAATGAATGAATTGATTAGAAATATTGAGATAGGAAAATAATCAATAAAATAACATTACCTAGATTATGACTATATAGCTGGATTGATATCTTTTTCTTTAGGAGTAATTTATTATTTGAATATGATAGAGTATTTTAATGAAAATAATTAATGGATTGTAATATTTATAACCAAATTACGAAAATCAAATTTTGCATATCATTAATAATACTAGATAATTAATGTTAGAGATGGGATTAAATGAAATGTTAGTGATGCAATAGTATGTTGCTGAGCAGATAATTTTATGATTATTATTACCTTAATTTTATTGAACACCAGTATTTATTATTTTAAATAAATAAAATGTCAAGGAGATATGATTAAAAGACTAATACTTTCACTCCAGATGGTAGATTAAAATAGGTGGAATATGCAATTGAAGCAATTAATTAAACAGGTTCAGCATTAGGAGTGTTAACAAATGGAGGAATGATATTAGCTACTGAAAAATAAGAAGTATCTCATTTACTAGAACATTCAAAACATTCTGAAAAAATATATCCAATAGATAGACATATATTTTCTGTTGTATCTGGGCACACAGCAGATGCAAATATTTTAATTAATTATGCAAGAGAAGCAGCTGCTAATCATAGGTTAGACTATTTAATTAATATTAGATATTAGTTTTAAGATAATATTGGTTTAGAGTAATTGATAATTAATATATGCGATTATAAATAGAATAAGACTTAAGTTGGAGGATAGAGACCTTTTGGAACAGCTTTTTTATTTGCTGGTTATGATAAGGAAAATGGATTTTAATTATTTAGTACTGATCCATCAGGTAATTATGCAGGTTGGAAAGCAACAGCTATAGGAAAAAATAATTTAGCTGCAAATAGTTATTTAAAATAAGATTATAAAGAAAATTTAACATTAGAATAAGTAATATTTAAATTAATATTTCAGGGATTAGATATTGCAATAAAAGCACTAGTGAAAACTATGGATACATCATCTCCTTAACCTTCAAAAATAGAGATTGTTGTTATAAGTAAACAAGGAATAGAAGTTAAGAGTAAGACTTATAATGAAAAAGAAGTTTTAAGTTTACTTTAAAAAAATGGGTTTAGTAATGAATAAATGTAACAGGAATGATATATTGTTCAAAAGGAAACATTAATTTATTTCATTATATATTTATTATAATTTCATTACTTTAAATTGGCAACTAATTTGTGAACATTTTCATTCCAATTCATTTTGGTACCTGTGATAGGTAATGGTCTTCTCATTGCTTTAAAGAAAATGTCAGGCATAGAATTATATAAATTATCCATTCCTGTTAAATGTTTATTTTCTAATTTAGAAATTGCATGAACTATCTATTTAGCACTATCACTTGCAGCTGATAAATCTACGTTGATTCCTTCTGAAAAAGTATTTACATTTTTTAATTACACATTACCATCTTCATAATAATGTGCTTAAACTTTTAAATCACCTTTTAATTGTGTTTTAGTAACTTCCCAAGTTGATATCCAGCTTCCACAGCTAAAGATATATAAAGTATAATATACAAAAAATTAGGTAAATTTATTGTTTTAGCAGTTATTCCTAAATAGAATGTAAAATCAGAAGCATCACCTTGATACATAACTAAAACAAATGCTATAAATTTATACCATAAGCTCCACAAACTTTTTCACTAAATTATTAACTTAAATATAGATTTAGTTATTATTCAAGTGCATCTCTAAGTTAATTTAGATCTGGTTCTGATGGTAATTCCACTTAAGACCTTGATATTATTTCTAACTTCTCATGATCCACTTAAATTGTTTCATTGTTTTTTTAATCTACATAAAAGTCTTCCTAAGAATTTAGAACACTTGTCAGGATCTAAGATGTCATTACACATAATTACTTAAGTACTCTATCCTTTAAATAAGGCTAAATGTTCTTCATTATGATCCTTCAATGCTTATAGCATAATAGGATTCTATGGATTAATATTCCCAATGATTTTACACAAATCCTTAATCACTAAGTTAGCTTATCCAAATGGTGTATTTTTTACAATATATTTCACTACTTTTTCATATTACTAAACTTCGGTGATTTCTTCTTCTCCTTAATTCATTATATATCTTTTATAAATTAAATATAATCATCTTTATAGCATAAATAACAAATATTAGGTTTGTTGTGTTGTATCCGTATAGGTGTTCTATTCCTTTGAACAATCTACTCAGAGTAACACATTTGATATCAGAGATCACTGCTAATTGACTAATATGTAAATAACCAATCATCGCTTTATCTCTCACACAATTATCATAAAAAATTAATATTTATTTTTATTTAATTTTTATTATTAATATTATTATTATGATCTCTTAATTAGTAAGTACTATATATCATATCATTTATTCTACTTTTGTTTTAATTTTGAATACCAATTGGGACCTTCTTACTCTTTTTATTGACTATTTTAGCCACCTCCTAAAATAGATTTAAATTTCTACCCTTCTTTTATAAAGCACTTTAAGGATCAATATAAGTTTTAGTATTTAGTGCTTCAGACATTTCATTTATTGCGCTTCTCAAATTTTGTCTCATGTCATTTTAACTACCAGTAGCTATGCCAATTAAAATATTCTAAATATTTTATAAATTCTATCTTTTAATTCTCAATCTCTATAAATCTTCTTCAGCTCTCATGAATCTCTATATATATAAAATCTCTTTACATTAGCAATATCTTCGTTTTCAGCTTTTAAAATCATATAATCTTAATCTAATTTCTTTAAAAGACTTTTATATTTCAAAATTTCTCTATCTTTTTCTTCAATATGAGCTACCAAATAAGAATGACTAAATGATACAAGTTAAATAATTACGGTTGATGAGTCTTATCAAGAACATCTCTTTATAGTTTAGTCTCTTCTTATAACCTTTCGATTTCTGATTGTTTTTCTCTTAATTGTTTTTGTAACTCTTCTGATTCTCTTTATTTTGCTTAAAGTCTTTAAGCTAAATTTAAAGCTTGTTAGATTCTTCTTTTTGAAGAAGTAGGTACAGTTCCCATAAATCCTAATAAAGGATTCATTGCATCATAATCATTTCCTGCTGATTTCATAATGGCATCATCAATTTCTCTTTCAATTCCTTCATAATTTGTTAATTATTCTTTTGCAACTTATAATTATGCATTTATATTGCTCATTTATTCTTTAGCTTCCACTTAACATTTATAATATTCTGCTTTCAATACATTAATTTTTTCTCTTAACATTTCATTCTCATGTTTAGTTGCTTTAAGATTAGCTAGAGTATCTTCATATATATTTTGAACTCTATCAAGTTCTTCTACTTTCAATCTTAATTAAATTCTTTATTCTGATAAATCTCCATCTAATTTTCGTTATAAGTTTCTATAATCAATCAATAAATGATCATATAATGTTTATTTTTCTTTTACTTAACCTTCAAGATTATCTTTTCGAAGTTATATTTCTTCTTTCGCATCTTTCAAAAATTTGATCTAAGTCTCATAAATATCAACTAAATTTTATTTAGCAATTTCTAATTCATGATGATGTTTATCTTTAAGATCTGCAATTTCAGAATAAATCCTTTTCTCATAAGCTTAAGTCTAATCAGTTTTTGAATTAAGTAATTAAAATAAATATTCCTAAGCTTAATTTTTTGCTTCCAAATATTCTTTTTCTGTTCTATCTAATTTATCTTCTAATCTTTTAACTTTTTCTAATAATTGAATATTTTCTTTAGTTAAATATTCTTTATCTTATTATAGAAGATCTCCTTTTCTCTTAGAATCATCTTATGCTTTATATTAATCTCCAGCCTTATCAGAACTTTAATTATTTTAATAGAAACCAGATTTCTCTTCCAATAAAAACTTTTCTTATTCCAATCTTTTATAATCTCTACTTAATTCATCAAATCTAGCTCCTTTTTCTCTTAATAATGCTAATTCTTCTTAAGATTTAGTTAATTCCAATTCTAATGCTTTTCTCGCATTATCATAATTTAATTTATGTCTTCTAATATCTTCTTCTCTGTCAACCATCATTTTTTAACCATGTTCCAAATCATTCAATAAGAATTAATGTTTTTCTGTAATTTGTCTAAGTTCTTCTCTTAATGCTAATATTTCTTTTTTTTAAAATTCTCCTTCTTTTTTAAATGGATAAACAATTTCCCAAACTTAAACTAATACCCAATCCTAAATAGGCATTTCCTTTTCATTCATATCTCTTAATCTCAAATATACAGCTTCTGGTACTAATCCTGCTAACATATCTCTAACTTATGCTAAAGCTTCTCTTATTCCTGGTAATTGAGACTCTTAATATATCATCTTAGACTTCAATTATTTTATTTCACTTAAAAGTTTATCAGTCTCTATTCTATGATTTGCAAACACTCTTTGTCTATCAGCATCATTAGCTGCTTATATTCGTTTAATCTCTGCATTTAAAAAAGCTATTTATTTCTCTTGCATTCCTACAACAGATGAATAATTCTACAATTAAATCTATTTATTACATTTTTCATATTGACTGTGTCATGATTATTTCCACCTCTATTATGTTTACTCTATTAATAATTCTCTATATCAGCTATAGATACAGAATCTCTCATGCTATCTGATTCACTGTCACTCATCATCACTTAACCTTATTCAAATTATCTTATATCTTCCTCAGAAAATGTTGATGGATCAATATTCATTGTTTTCATAAGCTTTATTATGTCTTTTCTCTTTGTTATCATTTATCAGTTAATTAATTCAAATTTTTTTATTATTTTTAATATTTAAAGATTATTAAGCATGATTTATTTAGATCTCTATCCTTTTAAGTCTCTAACTTTATTCAATTACATCAATATTCTATTTTATCAATTTTAGAAATTGTAAATTTATTCTAAGATACCAATCATTATATATTAAAAATATAATGAAAACAAATTATCAAGCTTCATATCTAATTTAAACATCTTATATACTTTTATGACTTAGATAAGTATTATTATTAATTTAATATGAAAAATTCAAATTTTAACAATATAATTAAAATTAATGTCTTAAAACAGAACTCGCTAGAGCTCTAAACATCAAAGAAAAAGTGAGAATCGTTTTTAACAATAAATTAATAGTCTTTTACAAAATGTAAGTAATCCACCTTCAATTATATCCAAACTATGGATTAAAGATAAAGAGGGATAATAAAAAAGTTTATTAGAGGAAGCTAAACAAATTGAATTTAGTGGTAAAAATTAAACTCTGACATAATTAATTGATATTGGAAAGAAATTAGCAAAAATGAAATAGAAACTTAAAATTTTCACTGCTGATGATCGTCTAAAAACACCAGTATCAGAGAATAAAAGTAGAAAATCAACAAAATCAAAGAAAAGTTAAAGTAAAAAAGGATAAAGTTCACATAGTTAATCAAGAACATAATTAAAAAGCCTTGAATAAAGCAGAAGTAAATCTTCAAAAAAAAAAAAAAATAAATCAAAATCTTCAAAGACTTAAAATACACCTTAATTCTAAAAGAAAACATTTGAAAATAAACTTGGTAGTTTCTCTAAAGAAATGCAACTATAAAGAGATAGTTCAAGACCAAATGTAAGAATATTAGAATCAAGAATTGCAAAAAATACTGTAGATAGAAGTTAAAGGTAATTAATAAAATTATTTAAGCCCTTCTCGTTCTATTGGCTCTTCTAAAAAATAATTTAGAAATCAAAGAACTTAATCTCCTTGTGAAGAATCAAGTTCTCTAACGGATTCTAGTGATACTAAAGAGATTATAAGATTAAAAATGAATCCATAATCTAAGTATGAAGTGTTTATGGATCATGAAAAAAAAATTAAAGAACTTGATGCAGGATCATTAAGTAGAGAAGAAAATCTTATGTTAACAACCAAATTAGAAAATATTACTAAAGAAAAATTATTAAGAGAATATCGGATTTTATATTATAGAAGTAAAGAAGTAAAAAAGTTACTCGCAGAATATTATGAATAAAATTTACGTCTTACTTAAGAAATCAATGAATAAAAATAAATTATTAATGATAAATAATTTGAAAATAAATAGATCAGAAAAGAGTTAAAATCTTAAAATAAAGAAATGAAAATTATGCAATCAGAATATAGCACTAAATTAGATTAATTAGGAAAATCTTATCAATAGCAAGAGTTGAATACTGTTCCTCTAAATGATTATGAGAGATTAAAATAAGAAAATGACAAGATTCTTGTTGAAAATGAAATGTTAAAAGAAGATTACAAAATAATCAGTCTTAAGATGCAACAAATTGAAAATGAAATCTATTCTAAGAGATAGTATGAAATTCCAGAGCAAGAGATTAGCTAAAGATTATAAAGAGAATTAGAATGTGTTAAAGATTAAGCTGATAGAATAAAAGAGGAAAATATGAAATTGAAATTAAAATTAGATTAAGAATAAATTTCTAACCGAGAATTATCACAATAAATTTATTTAAAAAAAAATGAGTTTGATGGAAATGTTGAATAAAAATAATATGAATTATCTTCATTAAAATCACATTTGCAGACAGCAAATACAAAAATTTTAAAACTAGAATAATAGTTAACTTAAGTTAAGTATTAACTGATATCAGAATAGGAATAATCTTTCTCAATTAAGGAGAAAATTATTCGGTAAGAAGAGGAATTAAGAATATCTAATCTGAAAGTTGAAAATAGGGAAAAAGAAATAAATGAATAAAGATCAAAAGAACTAGTTTTAAAGAAAAAAATATTAGATTTAGAATCTAAAATCGAAAATCAAGCATAATAGACTCAATCCTATTTTGAACCTGTTATTACAATAAATAAACCAAACAGTTCTGATTCATGTATTTTAAATTATAATTAAAAAATAGTTATTAATAAAGAATTATAAGTTGAACGCTAATTATTAGCCAAAACTTAAGAGTAGTTATCAAATATTTAAGGAGAAAACGATCAATTAAAAAGAAATCTAAAATAAATTGAACTGGAAATATAATTTGAAAGACAATAGAATGAATAACTTAAATTAAAATGCTAATAATTATAGTAAGAAAATGAATTTACACTTCAAAGAGCGCAAAAATAGTTTGAAGAAACAGAAAATAACCGTTTCAAAGAACTCTCTTTAACTGAATAATAATATAAAAGTTAAGAAAATTTATTATTTTCTGCATAATAAAGAATTACTGAATTATAAAGTGAAAATAGAATATTGAACAATAAAGAATAAGAAAATAAAAATTTAATTAATGAATAAATATTATAAATAGAAAAGTAACAATTAAAACTTGAATAAAATTTAAAAAAGTTGGATGAAATTTAGAATTAATTGAAAGGATTGGAATCAGAAAATGCCTAACTAAATGAAAATAATAGGCAATTGAAAATACAAACATAATAATTGATGAAAGAATTAGATTAGGTTGATAGGATTAAAGATAATTATAAAAATAAATATCTAAATAATAGATACGAAAACAAAAAATTATAAAATTAATATCATGAAGTAATTAAAATCTAATATTTAGAAAGAAAATGATATGAAATAGACTTTTACAAATGAATTGGAGAAAGTGAAATTATAAAAAGATCAATTAGAAAAAATAAAGAATCAAGAGGAATGTGTAAGATAATAAAAGGATAAAAAGCTAAAAGTAATTAATGATCTCTAATAATTGATCAAAGGACATAAAATGGGATTAGATAAATGAAAATTAGATTAATTATAAAATTAACACTAAGATCTTTATAATATATATTATTTCAAGGTTTATGTAAGCCTTTTTTGCAACCTGGATTGCAATCTCTACATTAATTACAGCATGTAAAGTATTCATCCCCTCCACAAGTTCTACAAGAAAAATACTTGAGTTTTCCAGGATGAAATATACAAGTCTAATTTAAAATAAAAATACTTCTTCATTTGTGCCTTCTTTTAATGTCAGATTACAGCGTACACAATTCCAAAAAGCGCCTGATTATCTAAGAATTTTTGTTTCTTCTTCAATTTCTAATAATTGTGCTTAAAGCTTAATAATTGAAGTTTCATCATTTTATATAGCTTTTAATAGATCTTCTCCTTATTATTTTTTATTAATTGTAAAAGTCTAAATTTCTTTATATGCTGGGTTAGTAGATATATCAATTTCAAAAGAATGATCTTTGCCACTAATTAAATCAATTAATTATTATAGCTATTTTAAAAGAGAAGTCTTTTCTTTTAAATAAAATTCCCATTCATCATTGTCTCTTCTTAAAAGCCTTTCTTCTCTTTCAAAAGTTTATATTTTTTAATTAACCTAATGCATTTTATCAGAAACAATAGAAAACATTTTTTTTAATTCTTACTATTCAAATTAAGTAATCTCTTTTATGGATACAATAAATACCTAATGTTTATTTACATTTTTATATAATCTAATTTATTGGTAATATTTCTTCTCTATAATCTTTTTATTTATTTTTTGTTTTTTCCTACTTCATTAAATATTGTGTGTGTAAATGATAATTAATTTATATTAATATAAAATACATATTTTGAAATGAAATCTTCAGATCAGCATTAATAAAATTCAGTTGGTTGGCTTTTAAATTTAGTAGGTAAGTTTTCTTAAAAAGATCTGGAAAAATCAAATTTAAAAGAAATTGGAGAAGAATATATGAAAAAGATATTACTCTATCCTTAACTTTAATCAGGAAATGTTTTTACTTACAATTCATAAAAATAAGAATTCACTGAGAAATTCTTTCATATATATCCTAATATCCTAATATGTTAACATGATAAAATTCATACTCATTTAATTTTGAGTAATTGCAGTATTTAAAAAGAGTTAATCCAATATAAAGAATCTAAAACTTATGGATTAATTATTTCAAATAATTTAGGAAATACTTATTTATTCTTTTCATAATTTATTTAATATAGAAATTGGTATAAATTAATGAAATAATATTGTAAATTGAATGATTTTTTTGGAAAATACAAATTAACTGATAGAATGTTGCCAGGGATTTATCAATGTTACAAGAAATCTGTAAGATATTTTAATCATCAATATAGAATAATGCTTTATTTACAGTTTAAATTTATAAAATGGAAGATTTTGAACAATGGCCTGAAATAGAAGAAGTTGTTCATAATGAAATATAAATGCTACGATCTATTAAACATTAAAATTTATTACAGTTAAGAAGAGTTTATGAAGATGATTCATATTTATTTATCCTATATGAACATTTTAAAGGAGAGTCACTTTATAATTTAATAATAACAAATCCATTACACGAAGTTCAAATAGCTTCAGTAATTAGTATATCTATTAATTTAGATTGTTTATTAGATTTTACAACTATTAAAATTTTTAGATAAACACTAATTTTATCATGGAAATTTAAATCCTCTAAATATAATTATTAATTCTAATAATTAACTTCTTTAAATATTTTTAATTAACTTATCTTTCAAAGTAACAAATGTATTTATGAATAGTAATATAGAATAAATGATAAACTAGATTGGATTTTAAATAGATAAATTGAAGGTTTCATAGCACCAGAGTTTTATAATGGAGTACCACCAAATATTGCTTCTGATTTATATAGTTTAGGAGTTTTGCTCTATTTTATGACATTTCCATCATAATTACCAAATGAAAAACATTTTGATAAATATGAAATTGACACTACTAAAATTTAGAAATTATTATAGAAAAAATTGTCCTAAATTCCTAATGAAGGAATATCTCCACTTGATAAATCATTAGAAAAAAACATTAGTATGAGTGAATTGGATTTATTATTAAAATTATTAGAATCTAATCCTAGTATTTATTTCTTAAAAAATAGAGCAAAGAATTACTATTTCTGATAGTATGAAACATCATTGGTTTGTGAATATTAAGAGTAAAATTAAATAGTTGAATGTTGTTAAAAAGAAAAAGGTGGAGCTGCCTTCGTTAAGAACAATAATAGAATTAAGATCTTAAAGTGAATTGGATCTAAAGGTTTAATCTTAATTATCAAATAACCGACGACAATCTAAATTAACTGTAAATTAAGTTGATGATTTTGATGTAGGTAATCTATTAAAATATTAAAGTTAGTTCCTGATGAAGGACATCCTTTAGAGTAGGTTGCTGATTTGGATTTTTGTTAGTTATTAAGAAGCAGTACTTAATTAAGAAAATTATAAACACTAAGTAATAAATCTATTGGATGATTTAATTGGAATGTTTGATTTAAAAAAATATATATAAGATCTCAAATTATTAGCTTTTCAAAACATTATTTTCTTATCATGCATACATATTAATAACGATGAGTTCATTATTTTTGCTATAACAAAACAAAAAAATAAAGCTTTATTAGGAACTAAAGAACTGCCAGGTTATGGTCTAAAGAATATTTGTAAAGTTTTTACTTTTTGAAAAAGAAATTATTTATTCTTAAATAATCCAGAATAAGCCTAAATGGAACTAATATCTTCAAATCATTCAATAAATTTGAGAATATAATATCTATTGGCTTATTTTCCAAAAATCCAGCAAATAGGTAATATGGAATTGGAGCTAAAGGGCTAATAATCTTGTATATTAGATTTAGTACTAATTTAAATTTGGATGAATATTGTCGAGATCCTAAAAATTGATTCAATTTCACGTGCAATATAGAATTAAAATTAGTAGACATGAATCCATAAGTAAAATTTCTAAAATAATTAATTTTGTATGGTTCCGATATCTTATTATGTAATTTTTTACATCATATTCATCTTATATTTATTACAATTCTTCTGAATACTTTCGCCTATAAAAATTATCTATGTAAGTAGTTATAATATCAATTGAAATGAATCCAAAGCCTACCAAAGAATATGATGCTATTTTTCCAGATAATGTTGGTTTAATTTTATACATCAATAAATATAATAAAATAATATTAATCAAAATATTAGGCAAAGTTTTATATAATCTAATATATAGGAATAGAATAGGAAGTTTTAATAAATAAATTTATAAGTATCATGCATTTCCCAACAATTCTAAGTCATCTGCATAATCAAGTTAAAAAAATTTGCTTATTTCAAAAAACAATGTGATATTTTTTATTTTCTTTATTAGATATTCGATAGATAAATTCTTTATAAGCTTAATATAAAATTTTATTTTCCATACTCTAATCCATCTATTAAATTATCTTCTGCAAAAAATTTATAAATCCAAAAATAGAAATTGGGAAATTTGACTAATCTCTAAATAAAATGGAAATTAGTTTATTACTTCTTAACCAACCCTTCATTATTGACATCTTACTATTGCCGATTTCACAAGAATATATCCTAAATATCTTAATTATGATTCTGGAATATGTAAAACAATCATTGATATTGTCTATAAGAATCTTTAGAATACGGATAAATTGAACAGATATAACTAAAATATAATAAAAAGTACTCTTAAATTTCTAATCATCACCACACTTAAAATTATATTGATACTAAAATGTGAAAGCAGTATTTATTAAATTAAATTAAAAATTATTAAAATTTCGATCTTACTATTTTTTAACATAAAGATATTTATAATAACCTGATTTAATTATTAATAAATTTATTACCTATTTTTATTATTATATTAATTTTATTCAATATATTAACAAGTTATACATAATTAAAAATAATTAATATAATTTCTGAAACTTTTTCATCTTTTATTTTTAATATTCGCTTTATATCGATTTAATTAATTTACATCTTGAATCATAGTAAATGAATTGTATTACAAATTCTTCAAAAGTTTAAATATGTTAATCAAAGAATTTATAGTTAGGAGCAAGTTATAAAAAAAGTTTAAATTTTAGTAATAATTTTTTGAGTGTGTTTTTGAAATATAAAACAATTATTTGTTTGCCCGATGAGAGATGGATTGTTAAGATTATTTGAATGAATGGGATCTGTTCAGTACGAAATAAGATTATAATAATATATTACATTGTTTATGATTAATGGAAGATTACTTAATAATTTACAATTTTAGGATAAAATATGCTTCATACATTTAAATTAAACAATAAGTTGTTCTTTAATAATTATCAATATAATTCTGAAATAATTTTGCATAATAAATAATAAATAAATAATCATAAATCGATAAATATCTTCATTCACTACTTGAAGATAAATTGATTTAAATTAATAATTTGGTCATCCACAATTTAAAGCATTCCTAGAGTGGAATTTATTACTTCCAATCATTTGTGATTGATTGTAGAGATTTCAATCTCAAAGAAAATGAACTTGGCTAATAGAAAATAGTTTAAGATTTGCAATCTTTTTTAATTTATTCAACGCTTCTGCTTTCATGAATAAATTAACATCTAGCTCCATAAAAACAAACCTAATGATATCAAATAGATATAACATAATCTTAATGAAATGATCTGCATAATTTAGATTTATATTTTAAATTAGATTGCCGAGTAATCTTTTCATTCTCTCCATGAGCAAATTAACATTTATTACTATAATTACATTTTCCAAGAAGACTCCAATTCTTACACATTTCTGTTTTGAATTTAGTATTTTTCTATGATTCATCACTAGAAGAAGACATTTCTTCAATAGGATCATCATCTTAAACATAAAAGTCAGTGCTCAGAGTAGTTAATGTGGCTACAGTACTCATGGATCCTCTTTTGTCTTAATCTTTTTATTCATTGAAGGAATATCTTTTGGCATTTTTTATACAGTTTTATGTCCATATCGGTTATTTAGGAATATAATTATTCAAATCAGTATTCAGAGATCGCCTAAAATTATTTTATTAAATATATATTGAACCTTTCTGAATTTAATTTTTAAGTTTTAGTTTGAACAGAAGTTCTTTATTTATAAGTTCTAATGTTATTTAAATCCGACATTAACAATCTTAGTAAATTTAACAAACAGAAAGGAAAATGTTTATAAATAAAATATAGATTTTATATTAAAATTTATATCAATGATTGTCAGGATGCATTTGAACCCAATCAAAATGGCTTATGCTATATCAAATAAATTGGCTGCAACTAAAATCAGTAAACTTTCTTCAAGGCTTAAATAAAAATAAACTGTAGAAGATGTTCATAATCTATAAGATTTCTTAACTACTTAAATTTAAGAGAGTATCTATTCATTATATTATTTAGATAAGCTTTACAACACAATTCATAGGACTTCTAAATATGATGATGGTTTTGATGAATTTTTATAAGAATACAAAAAGAAGCATAAAGATATTTTAGATTTAACTCATTATGCAACATCTCCATTGAATAAAACCAATTAATTAAGAGAAGAAGAATTTAGATAATTATAAGCATTTCTTGATAGAAGAAAGAAATAATTAAGACATAATATTATAGCTAATGATGATAAATCTAAATAAGTAGTCTTAAGAAAGAGAGGAGAAGTAAAATACGGAAGAAATGTTAATAGATCAGGTTTCAAAATTAATGATTAATTCTTTACTATTCTAATAGATAGAGATACCAATACTTAAGTAACGACTTTATAAAGAATTAATTCATTTAGATAATTAATTTTTATTGGAAATGCAAATGGTGTTATAGGATTTGGGTATTATATTTATAATATTTTAATTAGAAAAGGAAAAGGTAAAGATTTTTAAACAGCCCTAACTAGAGCAAGGATAGATGCTAAAAGAAATTTAGTACCAATAAGTTTAGATTTATGGCATACTTGTCCAATTCCACTTACAGGAAGATTTAATGATGCTGAGATAGAAATAAATCCAAGACCATTAGGTTTCAATGCATATGGTAATCCTTAAATTGCATCAATGATTATGTTAACTGGAATTCATCATTGCAGTTTCAAAGTTAGATCTAGGAATTAAGTTCCTTATTCTTTACTTTATGCATTTATGTAAGCTGTTACAGGGTAATTACTTAGCTTTATATATTGTTAGTAATGCTTCAGCTGAAGAAGTAAGTGAAGCTTGTGGTATGAAAATCTATAGACAAAATTGGGGTAAAAAAATTGGTAGAACAACTCCATTAACATTTGATGGTATTTGAGTTAATTTGTTTAAATACATTTAATATATTAATTAAAGTAATGTACAAATTTTAATTTTTAATTCTCTATCTTTAAATTATGCTGCATTTATCTTCCTTAAATTCAATAATTATTATAATATTTAATACTTTTACTTTTAAATTTAAAAATCTGATTATTGTCTTCTCGTTGATGATTTCTTTAATTCAAATATTAAACATTTAATTTTATAGATTTCTAATTTAAAATTATTCTTTATTATTTAATTTTTTCTAAAATGTAAAAAATTCAGTTTAAACTTTAATCAAAAACTTTATTCATTAACATTTCTTAATTAGAGAACAGCATATTTCTAATCATCATATGAATTTTAATTATTAAAATTTAAATCATATATAATTTTAAACATCAGATTGATTTCAGGTTATCTAAACTCTATAAGAAATAAACCCTTTGATTGAATGAACAGTATTACGATTAACTCACATTCTATATTAATAGTTATTATAAAAAAACTAACAAATCCTTTTTTTTTTGTCTATGTTTCAATTCTGGATCAATTTTGCAATTTTCAGATGGTACTTCAAAATTAAAAAGAGTTGGTTTAAAGAGAATAAGAAATTACAGAATATTTTTGATTTTAAAGAGATTTTAATTAGCAAAATAAAATTGAAATAGATAATAAGAAATATCCATTTTTTAATAAATTGATAAATAAAATATTTTTTTGAATTATATTTTTATTTCACAAATCTTATTTAACTTTTTTTTCTTTTTTATATGTACTATTTTAAATAAATGTATAATCTGGTTAAAATGCATTAAATTCTATTGTATGATTTTTACCATACGATTTTAATACCCAAAAATGATCGCAATCTTTTGTGTTTACTGTTTCGAACATATTTTCAAATGGTTTATTTGGTAAATACGTCTTAGATACCTCAGGACAAGTAAAACTTAAGACTCCCATAGAACCATCACCAAAATAAACAGTTCCATTTTCAGATCTTTTGTTACCTTTTAAAGGAAAGGTTCTTTTATATTAATGAACATGATTTTCAAAAGCACCCACAAAGTCAAACTAATCAAATAAAGGAACCCAAAAAGCTCTTGCTTGAACATTATTAATAGAAGAATTTATAAAAGAATCATCGAAATGACAAGTTGGATAAATAGGTACATGATAATGAGCAAATTTACTCAATTATGTATAAGATTAATTATTTAAAATTGATTTCATCCATTCATACTAAATTCCATTATGAGGATATAAATAACCTGAATCTAAACCAAAGAGTAAGATATTTTGCATTTTTTAAATATTGTAGGTAACTCTATCTTTAACTGGAAGAACAGTATTATTAATAGACTTTTTTTAAGGGAAAAATGTAAAATAAAGAGGTCCTTTTTCATCAGATACTGTTAGATTATACTTAGAATAGTCATCAAATCCAACATCATGATTACCAACTGAAAAGATGAATGGAATCAATCTTTAAACCTTTTGATATTGTTATTCAAAAGCTGAGAATAATAAATCAAATGAGTAATAACAATGAATATTACCATTATCATAAGCAATATCTCCTCCAATCAATATAGCATCTGGATCTACTTTACTAATTTATTCAACAATTTTTAATCCATTTGTTTAATAACCCCAATCACCTCCAAATAAAATAATCAAATCTTCATTTGAATTTTATTCTGCTATTGTTCTGTATTTAGTAGAATTTAAGACATTGTTTTAATAGATTAAATCTATATCATAAAGAGTATAGGGTTTAAGATCTGTCAAAAAACATGTAAAAACATTTCTTTATCCTCTATCTTCAATAGAAGAGGGAAATGGTATCTTATCACATTTCAAATTTATTTTATCTTCCTTAAACTTAACTTCTGCATTCAACTCTTCAATATCACTTCCAGAATGCACATTAATAAAAACTTCTTTCGATGTTTCCTCAGGTAATGTAGCATATATATGACATAAAGTTCCCTTAGGGCATACACGATCCGGCAACCATCGAGATCTTGTCCATTCTGTTGAAAACTATTGATCAAATAAGGTATCTAGCCCATATGCCCTATTATATACGCATAGACATCCTTTTTGAAAAGCAATCGGAAGGAATATTGAAAAAAAAATAACAGAAATAAATTGAAATACTAAAATGTATTTAAAATAAAGTGCGGCATTTATATATCTTTTTTTAAATGACTAATCTAATATTTTTAATTGTTTTAAATTTACTTTCCCAAAACTTTGAAGATCTACCAATTTATATTAAAATCCCAAATATTCCTAACAAAAATATAGAGAATCCACACAACCAAATATTAATTAAATTAAAAACTGAATAGCCTATCAGAACTGAAGTTAATGACATTATTAAAAACCAGAATAAAACAATATTAATTATTTCCAAAGCAATAACTAATTTTTTTTTTTCTAAAGAAAATACTTAAAATTTAAAATTTTCTTACATTAGAAACTATCATCAAAAACTGAATTTGAAGTATTATTAATCTAATTAATCTTTTGGTACATTCTTCGTCGTTATAAAGTTTAAATTATAATACTTAATATCACATTGACAACAAAAATCCCTATCGAAACTAACTCGAATCTCTAAATATAAATAATTTAACTACTTTTTCAAGTTCTACAGAAAATTAATGATCATAAGGCTTATTGCTTTAATCCCAAATCAAATCAAGGATAGTCATTTAATTATTTAATAAATTAATATATAAAATTCATCAAAATTCTTATATATTAAAAAAATATATATCTAATTCAATCATAATTTGAGTAGAACAAGAGAATATATTAACTTCAATATTATTACTATAGTATATTCTTAAAATTTAGAAAAATTGATTTAGCATAGATTGATTATTAAAAATTATTAAATTCAATAAATCTTTAAGAAACAATTTTTGTAATCTATTATTATTGATTATTTCTAATGATAATAGAATTAGAAAATATATATTACTTTTTGAAGTAATTAAACATCATAAATTTTATTTAGATATTGAAACTTAGAAAATGAATGGCAATTATTTTTCTATTGAGGATTCTAATCGTTTAATAGTCTTAAATCAAAGATGCTAAAATCTGAAATGGTAACAAATTAGAAAACTAACAGAAGAAATTATGATTTGCAAAGAAGAAATATTTAGATAATCAAATATACTTTACAACTTTCTTAATAAATTATATAATATAATACCAAAAGAAGACGTAAAATTCAAAAAAAAATCAATTAAATATTAATGGATTAAGGTATTTTTAGATCAATCTAAGATGACTTATACAATTCATCAAGATTATTAAACCTATTTAATTTATAATAAAATTTCGATTTCTAATATAGAGTAAGAATTAATCAAATAATCTGATATTAGAAGTGATTTTGAAGCAGAAATTACCTCATTCATTTATGAGAAAAATTAAAAATTTTTAGAAGCTTTTTTATAAAATGATGCGTATTCTCAAAATAAAATGTAATTGGAAGTAAATAATTCTTCATTAATTGGATTAATAGGATACTTAAATGATGTAGATGATATACTAACAGAGGAAGATTTCATTAGCATTTTAAAGTTTATGAAAATCTTAATGATAAAATTATTCTAAAAAGAATATTAAGGAGTAGCTAATATAATTAAAAAACACTTTAAAGAATTTATAAAAAATTATGAATTGGAGCCTTGTAATTATCCTTAGAATGTAAATTATAATGATTTTGGTGAAGGCTTCGAAGCAGCAAAAATAATTTAACAATAAAATAAAATTCAAGAAATAAAAGAAACTGAAGATTTAAATTAACTTAAAAATGGAATATATTATATTGTAAAGAAGAAAACAATATTTATTTTTGAAGTTACTAGGAATGAAAAAAATGCTTATATTATTAATGAGTTTGAACATTATAAATAAAATACATTTGTTATTTTAGATAAACTTTATAAATTTAACATTTATAAAATAAGAACAATAAAATTAAAAATTGAGGAGGCTTATATACTTATTAAGAATTTAAAAAAGAGAAAGCAGTTTGAAAAATAATAAAATTAAACTATCGAAATTTATAAAAAAATAGATTTTGAAAGAATTAACATGGAATTATAAAATCAAATCAATAAATTTTATTCAATTTAAGATAATATCAAATATTTTATAAAAAAAATTAATCCTTAATCAAATAATAATTTAGAAATCTACTCAATAGCTTTTGTTACAGAATTATAAAAAAAAAAAATATTTGATTTTGAGCTGATTCCAATTAAACAATTTGATTTAAAAAAAATAAATTTAAAATTTGAGCAATCAAATTTAGGTGAAATTCTTGTAGATGAAAAAAATTTAACAATAGGTGTAGTTGTTTATCTAAATAAATGGAAATTTATGATATATCTGAATAGTGATTATATAACTTAACTTGAAAAAAAAAAAGATCAATAAGTCTAAAATCGAAACTAAGACTATTATTATTCATTAAGCCCAAAAGAAATAAAAACTGATAATCCGTGTTTAAATTAAGTTAATAATTCTGAATAACTATTAAAAATATAAACTAATGTTAAAGAAATTGATCCATAAGTTGCATAATTTTATATTTCATTGCTACTTTACAAATAAGAAAATAAAGTTTCAAAGCAGATAAAAGATTTTTTGGAATTAAAAAACCAAGTTTGGAATAGTATATTGAAATTTTTAGATTGAATTAAATCTATATTATATTTCATAGTTAAAAAATGTATTATAAAAATTCTTTTTAATAGAATAACTTAAGTTAAAATTAAAGTGATTAAGCTATCTTGAAATTGGAGACATTACTTTGAGAGGAAACATAAAAATAAGAAAAATTGTAGTTTAAAAAACTAATACTAATTAATTTAAAAGATGATACTAGTAAATTAAAATGACATCTAAATAAGACTATTAATTTGTCGATAAATATAAACTAAATAATATTTTAAAGTCATTCCTAGAACTTAGAATAAAATTATAGACCAAAGGAAAAGATAAAATATGTTCCCCTATAAAAGTAAATCATAAAAGTTAATCAATTCTCAAAAAGAAAAAAAAAAGGTAATTTGATCTGATAAAATTCAAAATAAAATCTGGTATGTTTATTAGAATAAAAAATATAAAAAAAAATGGGGTACTTTTTGCATTTTCATCAAATTCTTTTATGATACATTTTCCAAGAAAAGATTATTTATTTACAAAATTTCTTCTAAATTATTTCTATATTTTGTAATATTTCCAATCAAAAAAATTAAATTAATTTTCAATATATGATCTTTTAAAATTACTTTCAGAATAAATGATTATTTTATTTAATATGAAGTAAAACTATAAATATATACAGGGGTTGAGAAATAAGTAAATTTTTTTTATATTTTAAGAATTTTGATCCAAAAAAATAAAGTAGATTTTTCAATTATTAAACAAACTAGAAAATTTAGTTAAAGGGTAGGAATTTAATATAAAAAATTGGAATAGATTTTTAATAAAAAAATTAGAATTTTTGTTTTGAATATAAAAATGATTTGACTACAAAGATAAATAAATTCAATAATACAAATGTAAAATGTTTTGTTAAATTTGAAGATGATTTTGAATATATATAGTATAATAAATGTTTGTATTCTATTGTTTATCAAAATTGGGTAATAAATTAAATCTTTTTTTAAAATATAAAAAAAATGGTTAAAAATTCAGCACAAGACCCATAAGATAATTCACTATAAATGAAAGTAATAGATAAAAGTGTTATAGAATTAGATTAGATAATATTTGGTTTCTGGTAGAAGACTTCCATCAAAAGAAGATCCAAATCCAAAAGTGATAAGTATGAGAATCTTTGCAAGAAATACAGTTGCTGCAAAAAGCAGATTCTGGTATAGCATTAGTTAATGGTTAGGTGGAATTTAAGAAGATTAAATAAACTTAGACCATCACATGGATAGATCTTAGCAGTATAAGAATTATTTGAAAGAAGAGATACAAATGTTAAAACATATGGAATTGTTCTTAAATACTAATCAAGAACAACAATTCATAATATGTATAAAGAATTTAGAGATACAACATTAAATGGAGCAGTCTCTTAATTATGTAATAATATTTGCTAATAAAATATTAGATTAAGAAATGGCTGGAAACCATAGAGCATAACCATAAACAATTCATATTCTCAGAACATCAGTTTTAACAAAGAGTGCTGATATAAAGAGAGGAAAGACTAATTAATACAGAGTATATTTTAAAACTTAGTATTAGGGTGACTCAATCAAATTCCCAATTGTAAAAACAGTTCCAAGAGCTAGTCATAAAAAGTTTAGAACAGTGTTCAAAGCTAAAAGACCTAACCTCTATAGATCATGAACATGATATTTTAGTACAATAATCATCATATAATAATATTTAATATAAAAATAATAATTACCTATTTTATTAATAACTATTAGATTTCTTCACTAAAAATTATCTTAATTATGTTATATTTAATTTTAAGGAATACAATTGTTTATAAAATATGATCATTATTTATTAATCAATTTATTGAAATTTGGTATTTATTAAACAGGTTCATGATGATTCATTAACTAAATAGATAAAGATCCAGCATGAGAAGGAATCTTTATTAAATTTAGATAATTTAAAGCTTATTTAGCACTTATCCTTTTTTAGGGATCTTCTTCTATCATTAAAGCAACAAGATTTTTATAATCAGATTGTTTTATTTTTGAAAGTATTTAATCATTTTTTGTGAAAATTTTATTATTTTCCATAGTTTCTTTTTAAGTATTGCCTATAATTAATTTAAATCCAGTCAACCTAAAATTCTGAATAAAGCTTACATTTAATAAAGTATAGCTCCACAAGCAAAGATATCAACTTTTTCAGATATCTTGTAAGATTAAATAAACATTTCTGGTGCCATATATCCAGGAGTTCCAAATTTCATATCTTTATTTTTTTCTTAGATATCTAATTTTTAAGTAATTCCAAAATCAATAATTTTTAAATGTGAAAATTAACCCAAATCATTAAACAATATATTATCTGGTTTTATATCTCTATGTACATATCCATTTGTATGCATATAGTTTATTCCCTCCAAAATTTACTAAGAAGTTTAAATTATCGTAATACTTGCATTATAATATCAATTTCACAATTATTCAATTTACAATATCTAAGACATTAATTAAGTGAACCACCTTTTAGATATTCTAATATTATTGAATATTGGTAATCTGATTCATATACTTCTATAAGTGTAATAATATTTTTATGAGACAGTTATTTCAAGGTTTCAACTTCATTTTGAAATAACTACAATAAAAATACTAATGTACTTATTGGGAATATTTTATCACTTTTTTCATCTCTTTACAAGCAAATACTTGTTAATTATCCTTTCTTTAGATCAATCTAATCTTCTAAATAATTATATTTATATACAGAGCTTAATTAGTTGGCTTCTATTTTATCAATAGTAGTATAAAAAGGATCCAAACTTTTATATACTACTTTTCCATCCATATATTCTTTAACTCTTAATAATACATTCTAATCAGCATAAAAGAATCTCCATTCTCCTTTCCAAATTAAAGCAAAAGCTTCTAATTTCTAATTTTCTTCGTTTACTTTCCAATCTATTATTGTATGTAAATTCAATGGGATAACATACTTGATTTTTTAAGAAGACTAACTATTAACCATAATATTACTTCTCCTATGTTAATACTATCTTGGTTATTATAGATAAAATAGCTTTTATCAAACAATAAGTGCTTTCTTACACAATACATCAATTTGAATATTAATGAATTTGGAATAAAAGATTTTATCCCCTCTTAAATATAATGAACTTTGAATTTCAGTAAGATTAATATTAGTAGCGCATTTTATAAGATGTTCATATCACTAATGAAATAAAAAAATTTTTTTTAAGGTTTAGACATATCGTAAATAACTCAAAAAAAGAGTGATCTTTAAAAATTAAACATAATGATCAATACTTTCTAAAAAAAAAAAAAAAAAAAAAAACACTATAAGTTAAATTTGAAAAGAGAAGCTAATAATTTAACTTATCAAATTTTTAAGATTTATTTATTGAATATATAAACTTGCAAGATCTAAAAAAACAAAAATGATGAAGATTTTATGTAATTGAGGGGATTTGCCTATTGATATAAAATATTATTAATATTCAATTAATTATTTTTATAATTCTATAAAAAAACCACAAGGATTCTTTTAAATAACCTAAGCAAATTATATATAATTTCAAGGTAGATCATCGAATACAAAATATATCATTAGATTAAAATATCTCTAACAAAAAATTAACTAAAATTCCAGAATTTCAAAATAGTCATATGTTAAAAGTATAAAGTAAAATAAAAATTATTCTTTTTACAATTTACTTAATTAGCTATTTTTGAACAATTATGAATTTTAACTAGATAACCGTCATGATAAAAATATCTAACTTCTAATTAATAAAATTATGTCTATCATAAAATTGATAAATATATATTTATAATAAAATGGATCAAGTTCTTATTTGCATATTCAGTCGGATTTACACAATCATTGGCTATAATGAATTCTTATTAATTAATTCTATTCTTAATAGGTTATCAAAAATTATAATCAATAATCTTATTAGATAAAATTGCAATGTAAATTCAAGCATATGATTTTGAAATGAAGAATGTCAATTTTTATTATTCTTATTATTAACTAAAAGGTTAAAAATGCATAAATATTATATTGAGTTCTAAATTAATCTGATTGTTCATCTTAAGGACTATACGAAAATCTTATTGTTATTTTAATATAATATTTAGAACTATTATGAAATATATTCAAGAATAATTGATCATTTTGAATTTAGACTGTTCCTTCTATATATATAAATTGGTTACTCCTTAGAAGATAGAAACATCCTACAGAGTTATTTAATGGATCCACTTCTTAAAATAAAATTAAGATTTCCTACATCATCTGTTTAAAATAACTTGAAAATGAAAAAAAATTAATGTAGAACTTCCTATTTATTCACCATATTTTATGTTAAATGAAGGATTCATTTATATCTATCTTATCTATTTCCTCTATTTATACTTAAGCAAAAAATGTGTAAAGTAAACCCAAAAATACAACAAAACTTTCATTTATTTATTTTTAATATTTTGTTCATTATAATGATTTCAATACATAACTAATAATAATTATTAATATATTTGTAATGGGGAATGGTACCATTTATTTTATATTTTAATAGATGCTTTAAGCTCCTGTACCAAAAAATCAAAATCTTAATTGCCTCTAAGAGAATCTAATCTTACTTTTAGTAGATAGTTCAATTAAACTACATGCTCAATCTTATAAGGAGATATATTTGTCAGCGGATTAAATATAGGTAATACATTTCTATATAGTAGTGAATTGTTCATATGAACCTGCAGATTCTTTAATTGTTAAACAGTATTTTATTTAAAATGATATCTTAGAGATCAGAATATTAAGAAGAAATAAAGGGATGAGATTAGAGCAAGTATGCTTTTTATCAAAACTAGTGCATATAGGAGATGTTATTTTAACAGAAAGATAAAATTTATTCCTACTTCATGCTAAATTACCGATGTATTCCGAAATTAAAGATTTATAAAAAGTGTATTCAACTTATGAAAAATGGTATCTATGACATTTATTTAAAGTTTGTAAATCGCAGAAGAAAACATTTTGTCTGAAATCACTTTTACTGAATAAAATGCCTTAAATTTCACTATTCCAAAATAGTACAATGCGGAATGTTTAATTAGATGTATCATAAATTATATAAGTTAAAATCCATAAACGAACCTTAAATAAATTAATTTTTTAAGTAATGATTATACAACAGTAAAAATTCAATCAAATATTATCTTAGATTAATATATTTAAATTAGAATTAGATAATATTTTAGAGGAAATGAAAGTGCCTAACTTGGCAGAGAAAAACAGAAAAACATTTTTTGAATTTTTAAATTCAGCTAATTGTGAAGAAGCTCCATATTTTCTTAGTACTGGCCTAACAACAAGTTATGCTCATTTAACTGAGAAAAGTACAGAGTGATGTAATTTATTTATACTCTTGTAAATTGTAAATAAATTTTAAGTTATTGAATTTAGTACTAATATTCATTATCAAGTTTTTCATTTAATTTTTTCCATAAAATTTATAAAATGATCATAAGTAAACTAATATAATTAAATTATAATTACCCTCCATTTTAAACAATGCTTTTCAAATTCTTTATTTAAAGATTATTAATCTGTTTACATAATTTTTATTATGCTTTTTTTACTAATATACTAGCTTTTATTTGATAATATTTAGAATCCTTTTCTTAAATTTTCAATCGTTAAAACTCTACTCAAATTGATATTCATTACTAAAAAATCTTGAAAACTAACTTATTGGTTAGATTCTATCAATTATTAATAATCAGATGCTGCATTTTAATCTTCAAATAATTCTTGTACTAATTTACATAGACTTATTAAATTTAAATTGTTATCTTCATTTTTATCTAATATGTCATAAAGTTTTTTCATTATAAGAAATTATTGAGGAACCATAGATTCAATCATATAAAAGGTAAAGCATTTTTGTAAATAATTAATTTTTTTATGAACATTTTATGGTATTAATTTTACTCTATGTAGTTTAATAAATTCTTAATTTCCCAATTAAATAAATTTATTTTCCTTTATTTATTCAATTTTAATTCTTTATTAAGGAGCTAACTATAACATTGCCAAAACTAAAGATCTTAAATTGATTCCAATTATATTTGATGGAAGTTTTAAATTAGATTTTATTGTCTCTAGCCACATTTCATTATCTAAATCCTTATAATTATTAATTTTTGCAGCATTTAACTTTGCAATCATCTAAAAAATTATCAAACCTATCTACCATATATCTAATTCTGGTGATTTATTTCTATCTACGATATCAAAATTTGTGCTACTATGTTCTTTTTTCTTAAATTGAAATAATCCATTTATATTTATTAATTTCAAATAATGATATTTAGGATTCACATAAAATTGAAATGATTGCATATCTAAATTATTATGATATAATTATTTAGAATGTAAATGACCTACAACTGAAATAATTTAAGATGCGATAATTGAGATTTATTCCAAATTTAAATCTTAATGCTTTTCAACATAATCCTATAAACTTTCTTAAGAACAATATTCAAAATATAACTTATCTTTTTACTATTAATCTTCATTTTCTATTTCTAAAATCTGTATTATATGAGGATGAGTCTAAACTTAAATAATTATTTACAAGTGCAGCTTTATTTAATCTAATATTGTTATATTGAACGTTGTCTTCACTTAAATCAGAAGAACTAGTATAATAAATTCTTCCAGTAAATTTATTAACAAAGTATTTATAAATACATTTTTCATCTTTATTCAATTCTTCAGAAGGTATAAAATCACTTTCCTATAATTTATTCATTTCAGCATTTCTTTTACTTATTAGTAGTGTTTAGTGTGATCTTATACTTCTAGGAGATGTAATAAGCTTTTCTCTTTGCATTTAATAAGTTTCTAAAATCACTGTCAATTGATGTTAAGCGCTATTTGGTTAGGATAAATTTCCAAATCTATTACTTCTTTAAAAGTGACAATCTGGTGAAGCCTATTGCTTTAGACCATTATTTTAAAATTTCTAGAATATAAGTTTTTTATTTACATCATTCTAACCTTATGATTTATTATTTTTAGTAGAATTAGTCTTACCACTGCATAATCCCATGTTTTAAATAACAAAATTATAAAATGATTAAATATAGGATTTTAAACATAAAATAAATTATGTTCACTTCTTGGATTAATATTAAATGCAAATAAAAATTTTATTTAATCAACCTATTCTAGAATACTGGTAAGAATAAACAAATAATTAGTTTTTTAATTTTGCTATCATTTTTATTAAGAAGATAATACTTAATTTTATGTAAAAATAAATAATCTATATTATTCATGTAAAATAAATAATCTATATTTATTTTTAATTTCAATATCAAATTAAAAAGCGATAAGCTTAAGCAAAATAGTTTTAATATTGAGTACGATCAATAGTATTTTTTAAGATTATAGCCCATAGTATTAATAAATAATTAATTATCAGATTCAAATAATCACTCTTTTAATTTTATTAATAAATCTAAAAATTATATTTAGTGGGATTTATTAGAAATTTGTAATAGTTGATATAATATAAATTTATAAATCTGAGTCGAATTTCCTTAAGGCTTTAATTAGGATTTTTGATAGTAATACTAAAAAATTAAGAAATAAATTTATTTATAAAGAAGAATTATTTATTGATTTTAATATATTTTCATTTAATAAATATTATATGAACTGAAATAAAAGGTTATTATAAAATATTGTTTTGTTATTTACAATATTTTATTGAGGCAATAATTTTCTGAGGTTAGAAAATAAATATTTTAATTAAAGAAAATTCCTTATTTTCTTCGTTCTTTTTTTTTACTAAATTATTCAATATTTATACATGCATTAGATAATTAAAAATATTCTAGTTCGTCATGGCAAATTTATTGACATGATCATTAAAAATGATAATGTTTGAAAATAATGCAAAATCTAAAATTCTAATAAGAATCATATGAATATTACTTTTAAAAAAAGTATTGAAAATTCACCTTTTATAAAATCCCAAAATTACAAAAAGAAGAATATTTTTTTCAAATAGTTGAAATGTGATAAAGTTTATTTATTTATTATAGAATTAATATTATGGAACCTAAGTATTGAAATAATATTGCTTTGATGAATGAAAATCCTAATATTTAAAATAAAACTCATACAAATAAATAGAAATAGCTAGGCTTCTCCTTTAATTATTTGTTTTTAAAAAATATAATAATAAATATTAATTATAATTGAGATTCTATTAACAATTAAATGAAAATTAAGTTCAAATAACAGATAACTAAATAATTTTCAAATGTTATATTTAGTAAGACAAATTCATTGATCTATATTAAGGTTTTCTTTTGTAAGGAGGAACTTTAAAGTAGGGAGCCAAAGAATCATGGGATATTTAATCATAATCAATTTGATGAGTTTCATTAAATTCATTTTCTGACTCATTTTCATATCCATTAACTAGAGCATCATACTCTGTTCTACATTTAATATAAAACCTTTTATATTATTTCCAACAATACTAAATTAAGTTTTCATCAATATTTTAATCTAAAGGTTCTACTTCATAAAGCATTTTATTAATAATATTTGGCGCAATATATCGATGTTATTTAGTTTAATGTATAACAATATTGTTTGTATCATTATTAGTTGAATAAAACTCTATATTTAGATTCTTTTTGCATTTTTATTCAAGTTTCATTGTCTTTTTAAGTTATTTCATACCACTCAAAATTTGTTAAATATTTTTGAAATCTGTGTTTTTCTAATGTATAATTCTACATTAATGTATATTATATTTTTATTATGGTGGTTTAAGATTATTTCCTTTAATAGATATAAAAAATAATAATACTTTTATATGCTTCATCTTCGATAAGAAGACCATGTTTATTGCAATATCTCAAATAATCATATATGTCTGTAATTCCTAATGATTCAAGATGTTTGATAAACAAGAATTCATTTTAAATGCAGCTTTAATATATAGGATCTTAGATTAATTGTACATATAGAGATTTATGAAAAGTATTATTGTTTCGTTTTCTTAAAATCCTTTCTGTAAGTCCATCAAGCGGTTTGTTTTAAAATGAATCCTCTTCATGTTCCTACTGAGAATCAGTCAAATCAATTATATTACCAGGAAAATTATAATCAGTCTTAAAAATTTGTTCCATTTATTTGAATATTAAATAAAAATAATTAATTATATATTTTTAAAAAATTATACTTCACTTCTAGTTAGGTAATTATTAATTTATGTGAACAGGTTTAATTGTAACAGGAATGCTATTATTATTATTATTAGATTATGATAATCTTTCAGCTATCATTTCATTTCCTGCATTTTTTAAATTTTCTACAATATCTTCTAAATTTGGTAAAGGTTTCAAATCTTAAGTAATTAGATTTGTAATTTTAAGTTCTTTTAAAAGAAATTTAGAAATCACTCTTACTGACTTCCATACATAATCTTTTCGATTTTTACATCTTTCATTATCTGAAAATTTTCTATTTTAATCTTATTAATAAAACACTTCATTTAAATAATAATTTAATCCAGGTTCAATAGGATTAGTTTCTATTTTATAAGGTTTTCCTTATTCTTGTAGAATTTATTAAAAAGCATCTGTTTATTTAAATTTTAGATCATCATAAATTCTTTTTTAAATTTCTTATCTTTTTTTTTTAGCTTTTTCTGATGCTTTAATACTAAGTTTTTCATATCCATCATCAAAACATTACTTTTCTGTTACCCAAAGTCGCTTTGATATAAGAATAGAATACCCATGTTCTTTCTGTATCAATTAAATGTTGAACTTTTTCTCCTAATTTATCTCCTAATTCATCTAATTATTTTTAAACTTCAATTTTCAAATTTTATATAAATTATTTCTAAAATATTAACAGGATTTCAATACTTCTTGATTTTCAAGTTCAGCTACAAAAATAAACAATAAAACTTAATTTAAAAATAATTTTCTAAAATAAGGATCATTTAGTTAATTTTTGAATAAAGAATATTTAGTTAAGAATTTAGGAAATCTTTTAACTGTTATTATTTCAGGTTCTATAAGATTTTCTTTAAAATATTGTAAAGCTCTCATTATTACTTTTATTACCGCTAAAAGATTTTTTGTTCTTTGTGGTTCATTTGCTCCTTGTACAACTTAACCAGCTTCTTCTCCAATATCATCAAATTCTACTTTACTTCTAAATATTAATTCAGAATTATTTAGATATTTTTGTAAAGTCCAAAAATTTTTATAAAAAGTGTATGGTAAAGAAGAATTAACTTTTATTGATTCTTCATCAAATCCTCTGTCTCTAATATTAACTGGTTTCTTTCTTAAAGAAGGATGAATTGTTGAAAATATTTAGGTCAAGAATATTTATACTTATCCTCTTAAAAAAGTGTCATGTGTTGTTGAAAGTCTTTTTAACATAGAATTACATATTCTTAATAATACATATTTATTTTCATCTTAAAATTTTGAGATTGTGGATATCTAACTATATAAATTATTAAAATAATCTTAAAGTTCTTAAAGAGATAAACATTCATAAATGTCTTCACTAAATGCTTAAATTAATTATAAATTTTACTAAGTGGATAAGATTTAAGCTCTGGTACTTCTTTACAAATTGAATAAGATAATTCTGCCAAAAATATATTTACTTTTAAAAGCTCTAAAAGATCTTCATCTAAAACTTTTTTAATAGTTTATTTCTAAAAATTAATCTAATTTATTACTAATTTTTGATGTAAATAGTCTCTACAGTTTTTAAGAAAAGTTTAATAAAATGGTTACAATTAATCAGCAGATTCTTCCTCATGTAACTTTTACAGTTTTTATTTTAAAATATCTGTATGTCTCACTTTGAAATTTAAAATGTACGACTATGAAATACTCAAAAAATACTTCAATTTCCATTTGTTAAAATTCAGTCATGTTAAAAAATATATTGAATTAAATAAAATAAATTGTTAATATTTCTTAATATTATTCATCTACGACCAAAATGACCATCAGCAGCATAGCCAAACTCATCTTATTAGGCTAATATTTTTTTATTTTTTGAGATAGTATTTTAAATTCTCTAATTCCATTCATTTAAAGCTTTATGTCTAGTAACAGGATTTTCTCTATCATAATCAGTATCAAAGTTTGCACTTCCTTCTGCATATGGTTTTATCTAGATAACAAAAATGATACTTCTTCATTATTCTCTACAGGAAAGAGATATTCAGATATATCTTCCATAGGCAATTATTAATATAATATTGCCATAACGATAAGTAGGATATCAATTTTACTAACTTCTTTAAAAAAAGTATAAGTCATTGTCATTTCTCCAAAAGCACACCAAGCAATAATATATTCTAACATTTCAATCATTTCTAATAAATTACTTAATTGCATAATACCTGTAGAAAGTTGTATACTTATAGATTCTTTAACAGTTCTTCTTCTGAGAATGTTATAATAATCAACGAAATAGTATATAAGAATTCCAAATGCACTGAATAAAGTGCCTAAAGGTATTGCAGTACCATACATAAATGTAAACCACATTGTTTTCATTACATCTGAATATCTTTTTGCAGAAAGATAGTCTGGTTCTTCCATTAATTTATTGGCTTCTTATTATGTTAGTAATGCTCTGTCTCCTTTTGACATGATGTATTTTCTCCAAATATTCTTACAAAAACTCCATGGATCTACACACCAAATAAAAGGAGGGAAAATTGCATTTAATACAAATATTTAACTTTCATTTTATATAAATCCACCAGCTCCTTTCACATTTTTTAAAATAACTATATCAACCAAAAAACTAATTATTGCTGCATTCAAAAATAATGCTAATGCATATTTATAAACGAAAGAGATTTAAAATTTTGTTTTATTTGATATTTTTTCATCATCTACAATATAATGAACTATTTTAGCAACTCCAAATTTATTAAACAAAACTATAATCATTGATATAGTGAATGACAATATATTTATTTTTCTTTTAGTCTCATAATCTAATTTTCCTTTTAATTCTTCCTCATGAGCTTCATCACCTAACAAAGCTAATCTATGAGAAATCAAATATATAATAAAAAATGCAGCACTTTCAAATAAAATGTAATATACCCAAGCTCTTATTCTTTTTAATATCTTTTCACTTGTAGTAATATGAATAAATTCCCAATCAACATCATTTGGTTCAGGAGCTTATTCTAAAAATAGTTTCTATCCTTGCCATTATAAATCTTAATTTGATAGACTTCTTAATTATCCTCGATTTATATGTGATCTCATTCTTTCCCATTAAGTANAAAAATGATACTTCTTCATTATTCTCTACAGGAAAGAGATATTCAGATATATCTTCCATAGGCAATTATTAATATAATATTGCCATAACGATAAGTAGGATATCAATTTTACTAACTTCTTTAAAAAAAGTATAAGTCATTGTCATTTCTCCAAAAGCACACCAAGCAATAATATATTCTAACATTTCAATCATTTCTAATAAATTACTTAATTGCATAATACCTGTAGAAAGTTGTATACTTATAGATTCTTTAACAGTTCTTCTTCTGAGAATGTTATAATAATCAACGAAATAGTATATAAGAATTCCAAATGCACTGAATAAAGTGCCTAAAGGTATTGCAGTACCATACATAAATGTAAACCACATTGTTTTCATTACATCTGAATATCTTTTTGCAGAAAGATAGTCTGGTTCTTCCATTAATTTATTGGCTTCTTATTATGTTAGTAATGCTCTGTCTCCTTTTGACATGATGTATTTTCTCCAAATATTCTTACAAAAACTCCATGGATCTACACACCAAATAAAAGGAGGGAAAATTGCATTTAATACAAATATTTAACTTTCATTTTATATAAATCCACCAGCTCCTTTCACATTTTTTAAAATAACTATATCAACCAAAAAACTAATTATTGCTGCATTCAAAAATAATGCTAATGCATATTTATAAACGAAAGAGATTTAAAATTTTGTTTTATTTGATATTTTTTCATCATCTACAATATAATGAACTATTTTAGCAACTCCAAATTTATTAAACAAAACTATAATCATTGATATAGTGAATGACAATATATTTATTTTTCTTTTAGTCTCATAATCTAATTTTCCTTTTAATTCTTCCTCATGAGCTTCATCACCTAACAAAGCTAATCTATGAGAAATCAAATATATAATAAAAAATGCAGCACTTTCAAATAAAATGTAATATACCCAAGCTCTTATTCTTTTTAATATCTTTTCACTTGTAGTAATATGAATAAATTCCCAATCAACATCATTTGGTTCAGGAGCTTATTCTAAAAATAGTTTCTATCCTTGCCATTATAAATCTTAATTTGATAGACTTCTTAATTATCCTCGATTTATATGTGATCTCATTCTTTCCCATTAAGTATGAGGATTATCTTATAAAACTAATTGTTTCATAGATTCATCATCAAAAGACACGAAAGCCATTCCTGAAAAATTAGTATTATGAGTTTCATAATCCTCTTCAATCATATGGATTTAATGCTCTAAATGTTCAATTTCTTTTTCAATTTTTTATACATTTTCATGATGAAAATTAAAATTACATTTTTTAATCGCATCTTTTTTTTATTATATTAATTAATCTAATTGTTTTTCTAATTCAATTATCTCTTCTATATCATAAACTAAAACAACTTTTCTTACAATAATTGTTTTAGTTGAATCTAAAACAGAATAATTTTCAAATAAATTTTTTAGTTCATATTTATAGTCTACACTTAATCCTGTTGGAATATTCTTTACACATATAGTATAATCTGCAGGAGTCAATTATTCTTCATCAATTGTAGTATCAATTTATCTTTAGCTTTTTCTAAAATAAATTAGTAAAAACATGATTATAAAAATACTGATAAAGTTTAAAAGCTACATCATTTCAAGGGCTTCTCGATTACTATATTTTAAGTATTTAAATTACTCAAGCTTGTTAGCCAAAGATAATCGTAAGAAAATACTGTCTGGACAATATGGTTCTTCAATTATATGTCCCTCCATCTTTTCTCTTTTTATATGACTACAATATGAACCATTGAAATTAGTGTATAAATTATGTATTTACTTAACTAAGAGTTAAATAAAGAGTATAATGATGCAATATTTCAAATAGTTATAAAATAACGCAAAGCCTGATCCTAAGAAAGATAAAGCCATGGGATCTGAACAAAAAGGTATATCTTCTCTATCTACTTCAAATCCACAACAAGGACATGTTTCAACTATATTATTCATGATCCTAATCTACTTGATAGTGTTTTTAGAGGGTCTTTCTTTTTTTCTTTAGCAGTACGTCTTGATAATGCATGTTTTCTTGCTATATCCCAATTACATGGCATTTATAAAGGATTATAATGAGTCCCATGGTGATCATCACTTGAATGATGAATCTCATTATGATGATCATTATTCAAATGTTAGTTGCCAGACTAGTCATTATGCTAATGTTAATGTTGAGAAGACTTTATTATTAAAATATTGGTTTACGTGTGATTGCTTTTAAATTTCCGCTTAAGATTGTTCTTATTACTAAAATAGTATTAAAATCTTTTACTTTAGATTAATTATCTTAACCATGTATACCTTAGCCATGATAATCAACTTATTTATTTGCATGAGTTTTCTGCTATTAATTCATTGTTTTTTAGATAAATTTTATTGACAGATATACAAAAAATTAAAAAAATCCTTCAAAATCAATTCTTCAAGGTATTGCATCATCTTTCATTCATTTGGTTTAGAGAACTGAACCTAAAGTAAAGTTAATGTAATCAAAATAGAATTTTCTATTAAAATAACTATCAAGAAGTATTTTTAAACGACTTAATTCTTTTAGCTAATAAATTTTATGTTTAAAATATTATTTTGAATTTATAATTTCTAGGTAATCTTAATATCAAATTACATCAACCATTTTTCTTATTTTCTAACATAGAAACTTTTATTTAACTAAGAAATAATATTTTGGTGTTATTTATAATCAAAAGGTAAATTTGATGTATTTTTAATATGTATTTATATTATCAAATTCTTTGTATCAAATATATTATCCAATAATAAAAAATAAATCGAAATATGTTATTCAACAAATTTTTTATAGTTAAGATCTAAATAATATTATAATTTATTATGATTGAAATTAGAAGAAAGTATTTGATTTATGAATTTATTTAAAAATATTCCTTCTTTTAATATGTATTTAAGGTTTCAATTTTATTATATCTAAGTTTAATTGTCAAATAAAGTTGGGTGATAATTACTATTAAATTTAATTAAATAATAATATTTTATATTCATATAAATGTAGTAGGAGTTCAAGTTGCCATAAAAAATTATTTAACTTTATGCAAAATATTAGAATAAATCACAAAAAGTGAAAAAATTTTAACTTTAAGAGCATACATTTATGTTAGAAGACAATTATTCACCAGTTGAAATTAGTAAAAAATAAATTGATTTTATAAAGTTGGAAGCGGTGCTTATGGATGTGTTATTTAAGCTGATGATAAAAATGCAAAGGTTGAAAAAGACAGACAGGTTGCTATAAAGAAAATTGAAAGAGCATTTGAACATAGATTGTATGCTAAAAGAACACTTAGGGAATTAAAAATTCTTAGGTTGATGAAACATGAGAATGTATAATGATGAAAGTGATTTAGATTGTTGAATTAAAAACATTGCTTCTTCCAAAATCAAGAGAAGAATTTGAAGATGTTTATATGGTTACTGAATTATTAGAAACAGATCTAGCTTAAGTAATCAAAAGTGATTAAGTATTAACAGATGAACATATTTAATTATTCTTATATTAAATTTTAAGAGGATTGAAATATTTACACACAGCAGGAATATTACATAGAGATTTGGTATTAATATTTTATAATGTTAATTAGAAACCAAGAAATTTATTATTAAATAGAAATTGTGATTTAAAAATATGCGATTTTGGATTAGGTAGAGCAATGGCAGATCCATCATCTTCAAATAATGCAAATATAATGACATATTATGTTGAAACTAGATGGTATAGAGCACCAGAATTGTTAGTGAGTTTTAAGAATTATACTCCAGCAGTTGATATGTGGTCAGTTGGATGTATTTTAGCAGAATTATTATTAAGAAAACCATTCTTAAGAGGAGATTCAAGTATTTCTATAATAAAATTAATTAAGCAAAAAGATAAGTTAAATTAATATTTGAATTATTGGGAACACCAAACGAAGCTTATATTTAATCATTTTAAGATGAAAAAGTTTAAAATAATTTGAGAAAAGTTATAAAAGAAACAGGACCTAAATAAGGAATTCCATTAGAATAGTTATTTAAAAATGCTTCTAAAAATGGTAATAATATACAATTATTCATGAAGCTTTGGATTTATTAAGGAAATTGTTAACATTTGATTATAGATAAAGAATTACAGTGTAACAAGCTTTAGAACATCCTTATTTAGCTCAATTACATTTTGAAGCAGATGAACCAAGTGCTTAGCTTGTTAATCAATTAGAATTCGAATTTGAAAAGTACGAAATGACCAGAGAATAAATTAAAGGTATATTTTATAAATTATAATTTAGATCTACTTTATGAGGAAATATTGTTATATCATTTTCCAGAATTTTAAACCTCATATGAATAAAAAAAGAAGGCTGGATAAAGTTTGATATCTCATGTAGTAAATAATGAAAATGCTAAAATTGTAAATAAGTTATTTAATTAAAGTTTGATCCGACTGCCGATGATGATTTAGATAGGGATTGAATATAATATTATGATAAATTCAAAATTATGGTAAATTAGTTGTATGAAATCTATTAACATAACCCATATCTGTTTTTATTAATGCAGTTGGTAAACCAGTCTAGATTTCCTATTATTGTTATAAATATTCCAATCTTTCTCTATATTTTGTTTTCATTTCTTAATTTTTTTATTAATAATCCTTTTTTCGACTCATTGTTTAATAGGATCTATAAATAAAATTAAAATTAATACTCTCTTTAAATAGATACATTAACTCTTATTTTAATGTTTCCTGAACTTTCAGTATCAATTGGAAATCTATTTAAAACTTTAGGTTGATTTTATTTATCAAAATAAAATGCATTAGAAAGTGAATCTAAATCTTTAACTTTTGTGCCACCCCCTAAAAAGAATTCATAAACTCTTGTATATAGATCATCATTAGGCCTAAAAGTTTTAATTGTGATTTCATGAAATCCTGGAGTATGTGGTATCTCAATGAATCCATATCCTTATATATAATTTCTTTCCCATGAATCCATTGAACTTACTTAAACAAGCAGTTAAGGAAATTTACCAAAATTTAATTCATTTTCATCAACTTACAATTGTAAATCAAAAGGGAAACAAAAATTTGCCTTAGCTATAATTGTGCCATCATCATTTTTTATTGTATTTATTTTTGATTATTGAGTTATAGACTATCTGATATATTAAAATTTTATAATACATTCTATTCCATTCTTCTAATTATATATCTTCATATTCTTTTTAATCTAGTTCTAATAATTCATTATCATCTAATTCCCATCCAGGAGGGATTTTGAATTTCCATTATATAAATAATTACTCATTATCGAAATTTGAAGCTTCTAATATTTCTCCAAATATATTAACACATGCATGTTTATTATCTTCTAATTAAGTATGAAATCCTTATCCTACAAGATTAGATTTATATTCCAATTATTTTTTCAAATAATCTTTATTATTCATTAATTATTTTAATGGAAGACTTTGTACCATCATTGAATAGTCTAGTCAAATATTCAACTCCTGTTTTGGTATCTGTAGCTGGAAAAAACACTGGTAAGAACTAATTGATAACATATAGGTGAAAAAAAGGATGCCTAAGCAAAGCAATAAGTGAGAGTGAATAGTCCTGGAAGAGTACAAATTTAAAAAATTATGACAGCAAGAGAAGATGATAACCTAAGAAATTTTACAATAAAATCTTCCACCTAAAGAATATAGATTGAAAAATGGTCAATTATGGGTACAAACTGTTTTATCTACACCTGCAACCAGAATTGAAGTTGTTCAATTATAATAAGAATTGGATAAAAGGTTATTATCAAGAGGAGCCAGAGAAACTGGTATATGTCCGATAAGAGAAGAATTATATGAATAATGCTTTGATGAATTGATTCGCTAAATTACAATTGATTGTAGTTAAAGAGGGTTACTATTAGTAAAGTATATATTTAAATTCTAATCGTTTTGAGTTCGAAACGAGTTCCGTAATTAATTGAATTCATACAAAACCTTATACGAAAGTTCAATTGCATATGGTATGAGAAAGATGATTGATGCTGAATAAAAAAGGACAGATAAATCAAATAAAATTATGTTTATGGAAAGAGAATGTTAAGAGTTATAGAAATCTGTTGAAGATTTAGAATAAAAAATTTAATATACAAAAAAAGTTGAAACTGAAAAATTATAAAAAGTAATTATATAAAATGTTCTAATTAATAGGAAGCTGAAAACCACAAAAATGAAATAGAGAAAATTAGAGCGTACAATAACTCTCTAAAAGATGAGTTAGGCAAATTGTTAGAAGGCAGAAGATGACTAAGATATAATATATATATAATAAATCAATATATATATTTTATTACAATAAAATTTTAGAATTAAATAATAATTATATCAAAGTTTAAATTTCTTTATGTTGATTATTTAATAATTAATTTTAATTCAACAATTTATAAAATAGGATTTGCATTTCAATAGAATTTCAAAGATGTAACTGTTATTAAATGTGAATATGATTTTGAGACATATTTATCATAATTTTGATTTTTAAATGAATGAAGTATGACAAAGTATTAAGATAATTAATTTTGTTAAATTAGAATAAAAAATAAATTAAATTTTTTATGTAATAAAAATCAGCTTAATTATGTAAAGATGTTCTTAAAAGGTTGTGAATATGATATTTTGAAATATTATATATTAATATATGGTCAAATGAACTAAGGGCAAGGGATGTCCTAAGATTTTGGACCAGCAATAAAATTACTCATTGCATAAGTCTCTTGATCACTGAATTTTCTAGATTTCTTTCTGTTTTTTGTCTAAGAAATCACTTATATCAGATCACCATTTAAGACTACCGATAACTCACCACATGGTTCTTTTCCTTTTGGACAATAGTAAACAGGACTTAAATTTTCTAAACGTTGACTGCTATCAGTCGAACAGTTAGAATCTATATTTAATTCTTCAATGTTTTTAAGTGGATTCTAAAATGATTAATAATAGAATAACCTTATATTTCGAAGGTGGAGTTATATAGAATTATTGATGTTCTTTATTTTTTGGAACAAAGAGACACTTAGAGCTGTTTGATGTCTAAGACTTTTTTAAAACTCTGAATTTGGTACTGCTCACTATATTACTTTATATCTTTGATTTACTTTTTCAATTTTTTGGAAGTCTTTTGTTTTTAAAAAGCTGGTAAGGGCTTTTTTTTAAATTTTTATTTAATTAATATTATAATATGGCACCTCTGATCAAATAAATATTCATTCATCATCATCCCCTATTCTGGGTTAGGTATCCATTCCATTTAGACGATCTTTATAAACTTCAAGCAAAAATTTATAATCAATTCGGCCATTTTTTTTAGACCAAGAGATAAGTTATGGCCATTATTCATCTCTTACAACAATTCCTTAAGATCTTAACATTTTATCCATTTCTTATTTTATAAGCTATTCAAATTTATAAGTAAATAGTTACATCTTCTGTTAATGGAATTTATCCATTTTATGTCAAATGTTTAAAGATTTCCAATAAATATTTTCTATTTTTACCTATAGCATTTATAGTTTTATCAAATTCTTTAGAACTCTCCCATATTCCATTTTCTAATTTTAATAATCAAATTACCAACGTATATAAGAGCAGTTTATTTTGTTGGTGGTTTTCTAAGAAAAGTTTTAAATTTATTTGAAGCATTTATTAAGCCATCATCAGTTAAACCTTCAAATTATTATTATGAAAGTAAACTTTATTTAGGCTACCAATTTTTATCAGTTTATGCCATTAACGATTTTTAAGATGTTTTCTTAACTCTAATATTAGCACTCATAGGTCTAAAAAGTTAATTATAAATAAAAACCTCTTTTTTTCATTAGGATTACTAAATTTAGAAAAAGCATCCATCCATTCAGTCAAATCTAAATGACCATCCCTTCTTTTATCTATAAATTCAAATAAATCTTTGATAATTGCAAATGGTGGAATATCTTCAGTAGCTAATCTATATAACATTTCAATCATATCTTTAAATTTATCAAAAGTTAAAAATCCTGTATGTTAAGCATCTATTTATCTAAAAGCATCTTTAGGGGATAATAAATAATGATAAATATGATCATTAACTCTTTATAAATGTATTCCTGCTCTTTCAAGAATTTTATTATCAGCTTATCTAAAGTCTAATTTCTTTGAAAAATCTTTCCAATTTACCATGCTATTTCTATTAGTATCAAGCATAGCAGATAAAATATCAATATCTTAAAATGTTAATCCCATATTCAAATTTCTAATAACTTATCTGAATTCCAAATTTGTAATAAATCCAGTATCATCTAAATCATACTATTTAAATAATTCATTAATATTTTTATTTGAATTTCTTAAAAATCTTCTAATTTTGTCTAATAAACTAATATTAACTTAATTTCTTTCATCTTAAGGTAATGTAGACAATCCTCTAACATATAAATATCAATAAATACCCTTAAGTAGCAGGACGAATTGCTAATTGTTACGACTATCCTTCTGCTTATTCATAAACCTTGCCTCCTTTTCCAAAAATAAGTGCAAATGCTTAATTACTTAATGATCCATTCTTTTAAACTCTATTCCATAGAATTTCTATATCTCCTTCAACAAATCTCTTAGGAAACAGAGCCTACAAAGCCCTAGAAAAACTCTCTTTAGTAATTATATGACTATGTTCCATTTAAAAATAATGGATTGCATTTTATATACTAGAAAAATAAGTCGTCAATGCATCTTAAATCTCCTTTATCATTTAATCTTACCAATTATATTAAGCAAATGCATTCAACCAATCTGATTCTACCAAATATCCTTTCTTATGAGAATCTAAATCTGAAAATATCTCATAAACTAATTTCTCTGTTAAATCAAATCCTGCCAATACATTTTTATCATCTATCCATTTTTTGAATTTCTAGAATACTAATTTTTTACGATATCCAGAAACTATATCAAAAGATTCTTTCACATTTGGATAATGTCTACTTATTATTAATCCTATCTATTATCTAGCATTCATTTTCCAATCAAATGATGATCTAGATTCTTATTATTGTTTAGCAGCTTAATTTGTACTTTATCCAAATATTTATTTATTTTTACCATAAAAAAATCCTTCTTCTACAAATCTTCTAAAATCCATTAATGTTATTTTTCCTCTCTTATATTAATCCATTAATTTAAATAATCTATTTATTTTTGCTTCTGTTATCTCTTTCTCTTCTATCTTCAAAATATCTTTCAAAAATGTTCTTAAATCTGTTTTGTTGATTTATCCATCAAAATCTTTATCAAAAGTTCTGAATGCATCTTCTAAAGTAATGTTCTCTCTTTAACACCAATTTCTTATTTTAAATAATATTTCTAATTCCCAATCCCAATCATCTTCAGAAAGTTAAGGCATCTGTTAAATTATTGATTTACTTAAAAATCTTAAAAAAGTATTTAAATCTATTAAACCAATTCTTTATTTATCCATAAAGGCAAAGAAACCATCTTTAGCAGGTTAGCTTAATGTCATTATTTTATCAATATTATAAAATTCACTTATTGATAAAAATCCATTATGATCTGTGTCTAAAAATGTAAAAAGCTCCTCATATGACATTCCCTTTCTATTTAATTTTGTACGTAAATCTTTCAGAATTTGATCAAATTTAGATTCTGGTAATTCTTCTATAGGAAAGAGACTTTTTGATTAATTCATTCCATCAACTAAGGATTAAAACATTTTTTTTTGACCCATAGTTACTAAATCGATAGATTTTGATTGAACAAATGTTTTCTCAATAGATGTAAAAGTATCACCAAATTAAGGTTTAATTTTTAAGTTTTCAGCTATTTACTCGATTTAAGATTGATCTTTCTTAATATTAAAGTAGGAGTATCTTTTAATGAAAATATTCATGTCATCATCACTTACAACTCCATTACCATCAACATCCATTTCTCTACAATATTCTAAACATTCTTCATGAGGTAATTATGTAAAGAGATTTTTTTAAAGATATTAAGAAGTTGATTCAATATTGCATGAGCCATAACCTGATTTTACTTACTGTAAAAATTGAATAACTGTATATTTCTTTTGAGCTAAATACTTACTTATCTTTTAAGCAAAATCAACAAGATCTTTGGCTGTATCTTTTTAATCCATTTATTTGTTAACATCCATAATCATTGAAATAAAATCATAATAATTTATTAAAGATTCTCTATTTTTAGGAAGATAACGAACTAATCTATTAATATCTTAAACATTTAATCCCAATTAACTCTCCATTAAAACAGTTTTAAAATTAGCTGTATCAAGATTACCTTCTTAGTGTTCATCAAAATATTCAAAGGATTATCTTAAAACTTTTAATTTCTAAGGATTAATTAGATGATCTCTCATTTTATGAAGAGTATCTTTAAACCAGGAGAGATCATACAATTTATCCTCTTCCTCAACAGTACTAAATAGTATTAAAATATCATTCATGCTAATTGTTTCTTTTCCATCCAAAATTTCTTTAGCTACCTTTAATGCCTTATGTTAGTTTAATGATTCATCTAAATGCATTAAAGCTGATTTCAATTATTGAACATTGATAGGAGGATGATCCCTATTTAAATTCATTCTTTATAATAAATCGTCAGTGTGAATTTAAAATTTAAAGACAACATCTTTAATATAATTTACATGAGATTCTATCAATTAATATTTAATAAATATACTTTTATCTACAACTGCTTTGAGCCAATCAAATTTATCTATAAATCCATCATTATTAACATCAAGTACCTAAAATAATGTAATTATTTGTATTTCATTAAGAGGTAATTATATCTATAAGACAGCTCTTTTAAAATCATCAAAATTCATCCTAACTTTTCTTTCACTAGTTTTTCCAAAAGCTTATTAGCATACATCTAAAAAGGACTATGAATAATTTATGAAATTTTACATCTTCAATATTTAAGGCATGATCTCTAATATAAAATTTTAATCTTTCAAGAGCATAAATCTTATCATTAACAGATCTGGAGAATCCTATTCTAGAATTTTATTGTGTATTAGGTCTAACTTCAATCTGATAATATGATAAGGTTAATAATTACAGTTTTACTTGTAAGTGGTCCTTTTTTAGTTGAATATAAAGAATTTTTAGCTGTTTTAGGTCTAGTTTCTGGTAGTTCTATTCCTAATGAATTAGTGAGATAATTTTTTGCATTATCATCAATATTAAAATTATTTTCCTCTGGATGTGTACTCTTACTTAATTATTGTAAATATTATTGAGTAAGTCTCATATCACCTTTAGATTTTCGTTCTGATAAGGGTCTTTTTGTAATTTCCTTTAAATAATAAGATATTTATTACTTTACAACTATCCATCAAAGACTCAAGGAATTAAACAGCAGCACAATGTGCTTTGACAAAGAAAGTGCCAACACATGGTATTTCTACTTCAACAATGTCTCTCTAGATTTAATTGATTACTAAAATACATTTCGCACAATATCAGATAATGATTTTAACACTCTTTCTACAGCCATTTTAGCAGAGTCTTTATTCTATGAAGAATAGAGCGCAATTTCTGCCCAATTGACAATTGTATGTTAAATTTTACCAGATGTTTAAACTTTATATGGTCTTAATTATCGACCAATGGCTATGGCAGTTTTGAGATTAAAACCATTAACGAATTCCTTGAAGTTTTAATATAAAATACTTTAGCAACAAGGAAAACTGGTTAACGGGGTTGTTTATCTCTATCTCCTGGATTTGTTACTCCATCTAAAATTACATCAGGAGCACTAAATGAAAAAGTTCCAAATTTGTTGACTGCCACTCCTCTACCCATACGTAATTGTCTTGAAATATGAAGACCTAAATGATAATAAGCGATAAAGTACCAAATGCATTCCAAGCAGCTGAAACAGTTTCTTCATCTAAAGCTGTAATCAAAGAGCCATTGCTAATTTAGATTTTAATGAACTTACTCGGCTTATCCATTTCGAGTGGCTATCTTAGAAATAATTGATTATGCATTTATTGTAGCTTTACTCTAATAACTATCAATGCTATTCATTAAATTAATATATTTATATATGAAGGCTTATTTGAGATATGAAGGCATTGCTAGATAATAATATCCTTAATCTCCATTATAAGTAGAACCCAAACCATTATTTACTATGATGCCTCGTCGTAAAACTGCTTAAGCACCATTTAGAAAAAGCTTACATCAAAACAAATCACCCATGAATTTCGATAGATAATTCGTTCTTGAAGAGTTAAGAATTGCCAATGCATCTCTTTAAGAAGTTAATAAAGAATTATCATAATTGAATGAATCCTTACATGAACAAATTCAAAAATTGTAAGAATCGAACAAGGTTTTACAAATACAGATCAATTAAATGACAATTTAAATTGATGATTTAAAAATTAACAACAGACATTTGAGATCCTAAGATAGCAGTTTACATTTGCAGTCGAAAACATTTGATTAGAGGTTCAAACTAATTGAGATTTAAGATTTCAAGATTAAAATAACCACATTGTGTATCTACAGTTACAATTAAGAAAGTTAAATGAGTAATTAGAGTAGAAAAGAACCTTAGAAAGTAAACCCATAAAAATGCAATAACTAGCTCTTAAAGAATTCGATAGCATTTGCGTAATCAAATCATTATAAATGATAGTTAGATCTGAAGAATTATATTATTTGTAAGTTGTGTCATTAGGAATTAAAAGAACCAGTTACTGTGATTCCATGTGCACATTCGTATTGTCGATCATGTAAGAAAGGTTATATGGGCCATTGTTTCATTTGTGGTCCTGATGAATAAATTGAAGCTACCTATGCTAATATGTTGTTGATTCCTATGATTGAGTTATTCAAAAAGACATGTCAAATAAGAGAAATATTTAAATGATTTTGATATATTTTATATTTAGATATCAATATCTGAGGGCAAGGAAAGCTGCCACTCCTGCCTTAATCCAAATATCTTCTTCTTGATCTGAAGCAAATTCTAACCACATTACAAAGTTTGTAGAGTGTCCTGTTGTCGAAAGGGTTCCTGCTCTTGATACAACTTTATACCTAAATATTAAAATTTAAATATTACAAAGGACAATTATAAATTCCAGTTTTAGGAATTACTCTATTTTTTTTGGGTATCAATTAGACAGCTGGTAAATCACTAAATAATTCTTTGGGAGTGGATTCAGAAAGTACATGTTTTTGTGAATCCCATTTGCATCCTTCTAAATAGCATCCATATACATAACAACCATCACTAGGTTTATCGACAATTTTAGATATTTCTAAATCATCTCTTACTAAATATTCAAATGAAACAAGATCAACTGCAATAACATGTTTACGAGCATAATTTTAAGTGATACCTGCAATAAATGCTTATGGGAAAAAGAATCCTGAGAACCAGAATGATGCAGGAGTACCTCCATCAATCCATTTTTATAAAAATGCTACTCTATCATTAAGATCTTAAGTCCATGAAGCTAATGGTTTTAATGATAAGAATCCCTTTTCTGCCCACATCTTAGGCACTTAATTATCATAAAGAGAGTTAGATAATTTTTCTAAATCTTCAGACATTACTACTAATCCTTTCAATGCCTTTTTCACATTAACTAATGATTCAATCATAACTTCTAATAATCTATTATATCTTAAGACTTCTTAAACCAACACAGTATTCATACTTTCTTGATAATCAGTAGGATATCTGAGGAAAATACCATCATAATCAAAAACTGGAGGTGTTTTTCCTTGCACAAAGTTAGCTAAATCTTCAATTTACTCTTCCCTAGTTTTTCCTGCGGATGAACTAGTTCTTGGTTAGACTGAAAGAATAGTTTCAAGAAGCATAATAGTTTGATTTTGAGCATTAGTGATATCAGCATTTTCATGTAATCCAAATACTTCTGGTGCTGGATTTAATGGAAGACTTTCTATATAATTCATATAATCAGCTTATAATCCAGAAGGAGGAGAATTGTAAGTACCACTTTTAGAAAAGGAGAAATGATCATTTAATGCTTCTTTTTTAATGTAAGTTCTTAATATAGTTTTAATTAATCTAACATCCTTATCATCAGTGACTCTTCCACCATAATTGATTTCACTACCTAAATAATTTAAGACTTTGTATGGAACTTCATCATATTCATCCAATAACATAATTAATTATCTCTTACAAACATTCAAATCTTCGTTAGTGAATTCATATGCAATATTCCAACCAATTGGACCAAACTTACGTCTATCTTAAATAATAGCATGGAAGAAACAGAATCCAAATATTAGTTTCTTAAATATTTCAGGTTTTTTGCATCCACTTTATAATTCATTATCATCTAAACGAGCATAGGATCGTAATAAATTGCTTCTTAATCCAGAAGGTGGTTCTAAAGTCATTTTGACACCATTTTATAAAACTGATATTGGAAAAGAGTTTGTTGGCATACTTGTTAACCATAATCTATAATCTTTACTAGCACTTTCATCAATATCTTCACAAATACGTTCCAAATCATTCATCCATGATGCTGCTAAGTGACAATTCTATAAAAGAACCCATCCTCCTTTTTATCTAGCAGCTCTAATCATTTTTTCAGCTTTTGGACCTTATCCTTAACCTAATGAAATTTATTCATATCTTTTAAGCATTTCTTTCTCTTCTGCAAACTTTAAAAAGTCTGCCACAGGATCAGATCCAGCAGATAACACAAATATCAAAGGAGTTTACATTGTTGAATCTTTATAACATTTTGCTAAATCAAAAAGAGGTGGAACTATGAATTATTTACCAATTTTATGAGATATAAAATTCTAAACACATGGAATAACTTTATCAGGACGGAAAGATTTAATGAAAATTAGTTTCTAGAATTCATCTAATTTAGAATTCCATTCTCCAGGTAATTACATTAATTGAGGTTCAGTTGAATCATAGTGTGGCTTAAATAATTCAGTGTTATTTATCCAAAAATCTTCAAACCCTTTAAATGCTGGTAATTATGACATTCCATAAATTTATCTATACATATCTGGCCAAGTATTTTCAGCTATCCATTTAGTTGGATTATGCTTTATTTTTATATCTCCCATAGGCCCTGTCAATAAGTATCTCCATTCTTCTTCATTCAATTACTTATAACCTTAGAGAATCTTTATTGTTAACATTAAAGAGAAAAGTAATTTATGTTTTTCAAAAAGTGATCTACATACATTCTCATACAAACTGAAAGTGAAATAATCATTTAAATTTGTCAATCTAACCTCATGTTCTTTAGCTGCTGGGGCATTCTCTACTCCCATAGAAAATAAATTCATAAACCATTATAAAGAATATTGATACATTGGATCAATACCTGATAAATCTACTATACAGAAGAATAATTAAGATGCTCTAAAAGCTACTGGTCTATAACCTTCTCTTGCTTAATCTATTTATTCTTCTGTTATCTTAGAATCTGCAACTCTTTAATTAATTTCTGCTGCAAATTTCTTACTGTTTTATAATTTATTAATAAGAGTCTCATCCATCAATACTTCATTAATATCGTTAGCACCTTCTGATAGAGACTTTAGAATATCATCTTCTATCAATAATAACTATTTCTTATCTTCAGCATTTTTCCTAACTATTTGAACTTTATTTGCTTCTAATTAAGGATTTTCTAAAGCCACAATTAAAGCCAACATCTGATCTTCTAATCCGCTTGGAGTAATTGCAAAGTTAATTATTGTAACCTTTACAAAGGTTTCAGGAGGATAATGTGGATTTGGTATAGTAGTGGTTAGAAAGAATTTAAATTTATCATTAAATGACAATGTTTTTTCACCCAATGTAATTGTGAGAGAGGATCCGCTTTTAACTATTTATTATAATAGAATTGGATCAAAAGATGGGTCTAAATCTTTTCCAACATTTTCAATCAGAACTTATTTACCAAATTAGACAGCTAATTCAAGCGTCCTCATAAGATTAGGGTCATTCACTTTTAATACTTCTATACCTTCAGCATGTTCCTTTCCCATATTTTTTATAAACTTATTTGCTTAATTTTAGGGATCAATCATCAAAGGATACCTTCTGCTTTTATCTATGATGATACCATTTTCAATAGAAGTATCATCCTTAGGTAATCCTGCAATATTCCATGATTAGATTTTAACAGGTACTCCTAAAAATTGAACCATAGTGATATTATCTGTATGCCTTATAGATAATTCAATTAAATTCTTTCTCCACTTGTTTTCTAAACCTTATCTATAACTTGAAACAAATGGTCCTGCATAAGCAAGCATAGCTGCTGATAATAATGAATTACCAGGAATTAATGGTTCTTATAACTGGAGTTTATCAATATCTGCTGTCCATCTTGTTTTTTCATCTGATAATCCACTTGTCAATTTCTAGGCTCTAACTAATTTAATTTCACATTCTTAAATCTTTTTGGATAATTCTTCTTTTGTTTTTACTTTTTCATCAAATTCTTCCTATAATCTTTTGATTTTAGCATTGACTGCATCTAATTGTTCTTTTTTTACTTTAAGTAAAGCTTATTTCTAATCAACAATCATTTGAGCTTAAGCTAACTTATCTCTTAAGGGTTGAGTTTATAAGAATATTTTATTGTAATCATACATGGCTTAGCACCAACTGTACATATATTTAATAGCTAAACTGCAAGTATTTGCTCTTTCTAATTTGAAATCTGGATCACCAATAATTTTTTATTCTAGTTTTCTAATATATGCTTAATTAATATTATCTCTCTTGTAATCTAGTAATTAATCTAAAAGTGTTTTAGTATCATTGAGTAAATATTTTTTGGCTGTGCTGAAAAAATCTTCAACTTTTTTCATACCTGTTTCATCCTTCATCATTTAAATTTCACCTCCTTATTCTTTGATGAAGTCTTAAAGTAGAATAACACAACCTCCAAGAGTAATAATTGCAGCCCTAGGAGGATTAGGTAATGCTTTGACTTCTACTAAATGTTCTTTTTTTAATTTTTACACTTCAATTAAAGTTGTTTCTAAAATACGATTAGCTTCAGCAACTGATTCTTCTGCTTCTCTCTTTATTTCATTAGCTTTTTTAGTTTCTATTTGGGCTTCCGCTTCTTCAACAGAAACTACTTTCTAAGTTTCATCTGCTTCTTTTTTATCAATTTCTAATCTGGCCATGACTTTTTCTGTTTCTATAGCAGCCTCCTCTAATTTAGGTTGCATATCTTTTAATTAAATTTGCATTTCTGATACTGCCTCATTAGCAGCAATCAATTTATCCAATCCACTTTTTAGACGATTTATTTAAAACTTAAGTTCATTCTTCTTTTCATTATTAACTGTCTTAAACATAGTTATTAATTCTAAGAAACTTGTTGGAGTAACATAATTATAACGACGTAATTGTTATTAATATTAGACTGAGACTTATTCCACTGATTTATGCATAATTTTACACATTTCTACAATTTTCTCTAATTATTCACTAAAACCAAATTCAGTTGCATATTCTGTTAATTAACCTCTTCCTACACCTACCAAGGCTTCTTCTGGCCATTCAGTAAACCAATCAATTGTACAACAATTTACTAAAGAAGGGAACATACGTAAACGTGTTTGAAATTTATCACTTAATGGAGACATCGCCAATATTAAATGGATATTATTCTTTACTCTAGCTAAATACTAAGCAAAAATATTATTAGGAGTTGGCTATAAATTTCTTTTCAAACATTCTCCTTTACATGATGTAATAATTTCATCCATATCTTTATCTTAATAGAGATTTGTGACATCTCCTGAATTCAATATTGAATTCATATCTTCTAACATTTATTCATTTATTATTTATGTATCCACAAATATAAATGATACTCCTCTATTCTCTACTCCTGCCATCATTAATACTTTCTTTACATCTTCTCTCCATGATCTCATATTATATGTCTTAATAACTTCAATCTAAAATAATCTATAGTATGAGATGAATGTGGCCATCTTAGCCAAAGATTATCTACCACTACCTCCAACTCCCAATAATAGTGCATTTCCTTATGGTTATCTCAATACTCTACTAATACGACAAATGTGTTCACAAGCATCTAAGAACAATACCAATTTCATTGATTTTTTACCACCCAATCCTGCAAATGAAGGATCTGCATTGTATTCTTACTAAAATTCATACATTTAATTAGATAACTTCTTTAAATCATTAACTAAAAAGTAATGTCTAGGTTCTACATCCCTTCCTTATTAGAAATCAGCAAAAATTATGCGATCCAAACTTAGAATGTTTTCTTTCTCCTAACCAAAACGAGCAAATAATTCCTCCAATATCGATATCAAATATTCTCTATCCTCTGAATTAATCAATCTATCATGAAACACTCTCATATTCTCATGGAACCATAATTGTATAATTGCTTTAGCATCTGTGCAATATTTTTATGAAGCTGAACAAATTCCTTAGAATACTTTATTAATATCTCTCAAGTTAAAAGTATAATGAGATTTCTTAGGGGTTGGTAATAGTTCTCGTTTTACTCTTTCATACACTTATAGTACTGTATCTACTAAATTACCAATTTAATTTCTTATGTCTTCACTAAATCTTCTTAAAAATGAACTTACAAGAGTTCCAAATATCTATTTAATTGTTGATTAACCTAATTCTGTATAGGCGATGATATTATAATGTCTCATTAATCTATTTGTAATTGCACTTCTTCCACCTCCAGGAGGACCCATAGCTGATAACAATATAATGTCTTATAAATTCATAAAGAACAATTCCTTTCTATTATACCAACCTTTATGGTCCATAAATTATCTTAATAATTCTATTGGTGGTTATGCTCCATATTCTTCCTTCTTTGGCATGTTAAGATCGTCTACAAAGATTATGCACTTTTTAGGAGGAGGAGGACCATAATATCCTTTTCTTCTTTTGGTTAATTTTGAATCAATTGTATCTTAAGTTTAATTGGCACTAGTCTATGCTGAAAATGATAAAGACATATACTGATAGTCTTCTCCCATTCTCTATATTAGTAAATTCATAGCATTCACAGTTTTTCCTGTACCAGTGGGTCCAGGAAATAGACAGTGATACATATTCGATAAGAGTGTTTTCATTAAATGCATATTTCTTGTTGAGTCAGTTGTAGGAATTAAAATTTCTGAATAAGTTAATTTAGGATCAACTTCATAAGATTTAAACTGATCATCCCAATGTGTCCATTATTTTGTACGCTCATTAAATAGATAATCAAAAATAGCTCCCTCTTGAGGGAAATTAGCTTTTGATTTACTAAACTATTCTTTGATGTATAAGTTAATTTTCTCTCTTCCATTTTAATCCACAGTGCAACACAAACTCCAAGTTAAACAAAAAGCGAAAATTGGTTCAATCTATTATTCTAGATTGTCAATATCCTCCTTAGGCACTTTTTTGATTTCTGTATCTTTGTATTAATGTAAATAGCAATTAAGTAATCTACATAATGATTAAGTAAGATTATTATTAAAAGTACCTACAACTTCTTTGAGATTTTTTCTCATGAATTCTAAAGTAGGTTCTAGATATTATTCAAACAACATGCTTAATTAAGTTATAATTTTAGGTCTATCTCTGCAATGAGGTGGTAATGTATTAAGCCAAGATTTAATAAGTGGTTATAAACCCAAAGAAACAGGTTCCATATAAACCATACCACATCTACTAACAGTAGCAGGTGAAGCAACAGCTAGATCTTCAACTTCAAACATCATAGTCATATAAGGAGTCAAGGTTAATATTTATCCTGAGTTTAAACATAATTTTTTATTATCATCCAACACAGTATTCATAGATTCTATCCAAATAGCATCAACAGGACCATCAAACATAATCCAATGTCTTTCAGATGTTTGATCTCTACATACTTCTCTCACAGTATAGGCTAATATTCCATCATTCCATTCTCTAGTCTATTCATTAAATTGACCATATAATTATCCCATTGTAATAGATTTAGGATTCAAAATGTGAGTATGTACTTTATAATACAAAGTATTTTATAGAGCTGAAAGAGAACGAGCTAAAACATTATAATTACTAGTCTTGCCACCACCTGTTGGCCCAACCAACATTAATCCATGTCTTACTTAGATTGTATCGTAAAGTTAATTAATTTTTACTAAGAAAGATTCAGTACATTATAAATTCATATTTTTGCACGCTTCTTATATTTGAACCAATAATTCTCCTATATCAACTTCAGGTTTATCAATACCTGGAAATAGATCTTTAATAATATTGCTAAATAGAGGTAAATCATCTTTCAAGAATTTAGGTACATTAACATCCATCAAAGCTCTTAATAGTAAACGATCTTCATCTTAATCTGGATCAGCTGCTTTTAATAAACCTGCTGCATTAATAACTGATCTTACTGCTCTCATACCATAATCATAATGATCTTAAGAACTTAATTATTCTGAACTTAATTTAAATGTATAAACCATCTTTTTTGCTAATTCTCTACCTTTTTTAAATCCAAAAGAGTAAAGCATAATTTCTCCAATTAAAGCATAATCAGGAACCATCATAGCTACTGGTCTAAAAAGAGCCTTTAAATTATCTGGTAATTCAGTTCTACCAGCATAACCAGGATTCATTGTAATAAATACTGAAAAAGTTGGATCTAAACGAATTGAACTACCTTCAAAATCTGCAGAAGGAGCACCTTCAGCTTTCTTTCCGAATAGAATCAATAATTATTATGCAATAACAGATAACACTTCTATATTGATACGATTAAATTCATCAAAACAAGCCCATGCTCCAGCACTTGCTAACCCTTTAAAGAATTTACCTACCATAATATAATCCATTTAATCTGAACAATTAAAAACAACACATTATTTCGCCAAAGCTTTAGCTAAATCTTTTGTTGATTCTGTTTTACCAGTACCTGCTGGTCCTGCAGGTGCACCACCTAAATTCAATTTTAATGCTCCCATAAGTGTCATATAACATTTATCAGTAAGAGGAGTGATGACCAATCTCAATGTATTTCCTAAATACTCATAACCATAAGGGAAGTTTGTTTAAATACATTTTACATAACAATTGTCCTATTCCCAATAATATCTTAACTGTGATATCCATTCAAATGCTGACACATCTTCAACACTCTCTTTTTGTAACAATTCTACAACATCTTTAGCATGTACATCAATAACAATCAATGCATTTATTGTAACCATTTACATTTTAGTTAATTTTGTTCTGACTAAATCAACTAAGTTATTCAATTAAGCTTGTAATTATTCCAAATACTATTTAACTTTTTAACCTTTGATGGCTGTTTCAACCTCTTTTGTCCAATGTACTTATGATCCATTTAAAACACATTGTCCAGGATGCATAGTTACCCATTTAATTCTTGGTGTTTCTACATATTAATGAACTGAATTAAGTAAAGCTGCTCTAACACTCTATTTCATTTAATCTTCTACATCATTCATCCAATCTTCTACATTTTTATGATTTGGATCAATAACTTTTACAAAATTGATTTTTTCTCCTTCTGCTGAGAACATTGCATGAATTTTCTTACTACCATCAAATTCAATTTAATTGACATTTTCAAATACTTTTCTTAAATGAGGTTACACAGCTGTTGGTTCTTTAGTTTATGATAATATCTCCAATAAATCATCATTAGATAGGAAATAAAATCTAGCAAATCTTTCTCTTTTTCTCTCCAAGTAATTATTTAATTCCTTTTGAATTTATTCTAAACTATTATAACCTTCAGTAAGTTTCTCTAGTAGGCCTTCAGCTGAACAAACTTTTAAAACATTCAAAGTATTCTTAGCATTAATCATTATTAATTTCCAATTTTGATCAACCACCTTAAATCTTTTTGATTCTAAGGGTAATTATTTTATGATATCTTAACTATCAAAAATAGGTTACAAATACATCCAATTTACTTATACTTTAGCCCAAACTTCAAGAATATCACTAACTTTTTTTAAAGTACTGTTCCAATCATTAAGAAGTCCTTCAAAAGGTTTTTTAAATGGTGAAAAAAGCATAGCTTATGTATTTACAATATGTTCATCTAAAGTATTGCCTATATCATCAAATCCTCTAATAATAAATGAGATATTCTTATATCCAGCAACATCAAAATTAATTTATTCCCATTAACCCATCATAGAATTAAGCATAGTTTCTATTTGAAATTCTTTATAAGCTCTTTCTCCTATTTCCATACAATCTTCAACAATCTTCATTAATCCCATGTCAACAGCTTTTGTAAATGTAAATCCTGGAACCGGTTTAACTTCTTATCCTAATTTTTAAGAGACTTATTCCCAATGCCTCTCTTTCATACCTTATTTTCTTAATGCAACCATCAATGGGACTTTTGGTTTAAATTCTTCCAAAAAAGAACGAACATTTTAACCAATTTTTAAAACTGGTTAAATATCCTTATCACTAAAATTTTTATTGACTAATGCTGTAGTCTTATAAGCTTCTTCCATAAACTTCTCACAATAATCTGCATCTAATTTTTCAAAATCATCATTTCTCCAATGTTCAATATTCTTAAACCATTAATTGGTTGTCAACCATAAATCTGAATATGGTCTGAATTCTTTTACCATCTATTATATTACACTATAATCAGTTTATTCCATTTCAAATAATAATTCTCTAGAATTAAATTATCTAGCATTTTCTTAAAACTTTTATAATTAATCATTTATTCCTCTCACTCTCTAAGCTACACTCTCATGATCATCCATATTTTAATATGAATAGAATGTTGATATTGTTATTTATAATGATTTTACTTATTCTAAAAAGAAATCCTACTCTTGTTTCATTTTATCTTAGAATAGACCCTTTTCCTTTTCTAATGCTTATGATCTTATTTCTACTAATTCCATTATTTCTTTTGGTCCTCCATAAACTTACCATCTTCTTTGAATATCTTCATGTTAAAATCTAACTTTAAATGGTTCTAATAAATCATATAATTCGCATGATTTATCTATATCCTCTTTTACCTTTTCCAATTCAAGTGGTAAATTTACCATATATTATTTGATTTCTGTTAATTTTTCAATATCTACTGGAGGTTCATTCAATCTCAATTTCACTTTCTAAATTTCATCATATAATAATAATGTTGATTATTTTACTCTCTTTACAATTACTTCTATCAACAATTTGTATAATTGTTGATATTTACCTGTCAATAATTAACTAATTTCTTTGCAATTAACTTTGAAACATCCCACTTGTATTTAATCAGGTATCTATAATTTCAATTTCTCTTCTTTTTTTTATAACTCGAATATTTCATCTCTTATTAATTCTGTTTCTTTTGGTTTTTCTTCATTATCAACTGTTTTTATATATTCTTCTGGTCTTATCATTAAGATTTCTTTGTAAACTTAAAAACATTTCAAATATTCATCTAATGCAACAAATGATTTATCTAAGTGTTCACTTAATGAATCAAATAATTTATTAACCCATATATTTTCATCAAAAAAATAAGGATCTTAATTACCAAAAGGATCATTTGTAATCTATGACTTTTAAGGTACCTTATAATACATTTCAGATCTTGTTCCTTTAAATATTTCTTTCATTAATTTTGGTTCTAAATCAGGTATTTTAGCTAAATCTTCTAATGCTTTATTAAATATTATCAAAATTGTTGTTGTATAATTTCGTATCATTGTTGAATAGCAAAAATTATCCTCGTTAATTGCTTTAAGTAATTCAATTGTAAATAATGGTTTCACTGCTCTTGGATCATGAAAACTATCTGGATTCTTGGAACTTAAAACTAATCCATCTGCAAATTCATTTACCACATCATCAGGTCCATTAATTATAACATTAGTAGGTATATAACTTCTAATATATTTATCATAATTATTAAATGACTTTTATGATAAATTCAAAATAGCATCCTAAATCATAAGTCTTACACATGCAAAAAATTTCTTAAGTCTTCCTTTATCATAATTAGTCCTTTCAGTTTCTTTTAAATTAAACCACTTTTAAGCTACTTTATTTTTATCTTTATCTTTATTAATTTCTTTCTCCTTATCTTTCTCCTTGTCTTTCTCTTTGTCTTTATCCTTTTCTTTTTCTTTAGGTTTTTCTTTATCCTCCTTTTCTTTATTATCTTTCTCTTTTTCTTTAGTATCTTTCTCCTTATCCTTTTAAGGTTGTTCTTTTTCTCCGAATTATTTAAGAATAATTTTCTCAACATCTTCCATAAAATCTTTTCTTAATTTACTCATTGATGTTACTAATTAGGAATCATTATTTTATTTAAATTCCTCTAATTTATAAGGTGGCTGACTTTATCCATTAATATAAAAATATTCTAATTCCTACAATTAATTGCATTTTTCAGTAACCAACTATAAACATTTAACTGATTCTGGACTAGCCATAATACTATTTAATAAGAATTCTTTAAAAATTTCTGTAAAACTTTTAGGTTCATTAAAGAATACTTCATGTGGAGTCCACATATAAACTTCTTTTGCTCCTTTTTTTGCTTCTAATGGTAACATTCCATAATAATTAGGATCTTTTTTAATTTAAACTTCTGGTAAAACTAAACCATGTGGTACAAGATCAGTTGGATTAGCTGTTAAATGATAATCAAATAGAATTCTATTCATTAACAATTAATAATCAATAGCAGCATCCATCATTAGAGCACTAATTTCACTAAATTCTAGTTTTTTATTTTTTCTGATTAAATCTTCGATTTTCTTTTTTTATTCATTAGGCATATCTGGTAAATGATCTTTTGGCATACATTAAATGAAAGCACTCTTTTTTAATAATGAATGTGCTACAATTCTATGATACCATGCTAATGCAAATCGATCAGCCCATTTATAATGATTCTCATGATCAAAACACAAATAGACTCTGGGTATTAAACGTTTACCTAATGATGGCAATATACATTTAAATTTCTTCTTTTCTTCATCATATCCAATCACTTACCCTCTTTCAAATGTAACATTGTTCTCATTACAAATTACAATCTTTGCTGTTACTTCATAAGGCTATTCATCAAATAACACATTCTCAAACTCTATTCTATCATCTACAAACACTTGTTCCAATCCAACATCATCATGTATTTGTAACGGAAGCTATCTCAAGTGTTAAGTTGGATCATTAAAATCAACTCCCTAAACTTATTTTAAATAATTACTTTGCTCAACAGCAATTACTATAAATCAATTGAGTTATTTTCTTCTCTTTTCTGAAAAAAATATTCCTCTTTACTTAAAGCCACTTTTTAATTAGCATTTGGATCGTAGTCTTCCTCTATTGGCTTCTCTTATTTATGAAGAATTCTATATTGAAATCGCTCCTTGCTAAATTTAAATTAAGCCTTCTTTGAAGGAGAGGCTATTAGATTTGACATTTTAATTATAAATTAATAAATAATCATTATGCTTCTATCTATTTAGCTTATTAATTAAGGAATCATTCTATTAACTAGATGTTATTTTATTTTGTTTCATCTCGCTATCATAAATTCTCATTATGAGTTCAATAATTATATTGTTCTTTTATTTTTTTTAATTATATCTAAACAACAACAGTTATTAGTCAAGAATCTTAATCATCCAATATTGTAATTTCTATAAGAACTGGTTTTTAAACAGCTTCCTTAAGAATATATACTCTCTCTATTTTAAATTCAATCAACAGAAAGATGAATTTTCAAAAGAAAATTAATTTTATAAAAGTATATCATTTAGAAGAATTTTTCCTAAATTAATGTAGTAGTCTAATAGAGAAAGAGTCCTAACAGAAAGATAATCTTATAAAAAATACAATTGATTGCTTTATGCAGACTTTTTGTATTATGTTAGAAACAGAATTAATATAAAAGCATGTAAGTTTAGAAATAATCTATTAAATTCAATTATTAGTAATGAATATTTGAAGCCCCTTGGTAAAACAAATGTTAAGAAAAGAGTTGAAAATTCACTCTTCAATACTTGAATTTTAGCAAAACTTTAAAAATTGTTGACGAATTCTAAATAAGGTTTGAATTATATGAAAAGAAATTTTTTCCTTAAGCTATTCCTACTTTGATTAAATATTACTATTTAAATTTTAATGAAAAAAAAAAATGATCAAAATTTCTAAGAGCCACCTCCATATTACTTGTAAGTTATTTTGATACAATTATTTTTAGTTTTGGTATTCCTCTTCATAATAGTAGGGTAGCTTAGTAATTTTGCCTTATTTTTATCCTAGTCTTAATTATACCTTTTACAATGTTTTTCGGATTAAGAGAATCTATAGGAGAGGTAAGTGCTGGTATATCAGCTGTTGTTTCAATATAATTAATTATAGCAATTTATGTTATAATGATCATCAAAGACCCAGAGAATTTTCCAAATGCTGATGCTGCCAGAAAACAAATTGAATAAAGGAAATTAAAAGCGAAATAAAATTAAACATAAACAGAAACAACCAATTAAAAAGCATAAGATAATAATAAAAATAAGTAAATTAAATCGCAAAAGGATAAACTTAAATAAGCATGAAATTTAATAAAAATACATATATAAGATTATTCCATTTATTTTTTAATCTCAATTCATCAGTTTTCCTAGAACACTTAAAGTTATCACAAATAATGCAATTATCAAACAACTCTATCTATATCATTCAATTTGTTGCTTTCTTCTTCTGAACTTTTAAATTATCAATGATAATACCAACAACAATATTAAACATTGTTATACCTAAAATAATATTGCTGACTTCAATAAAGAAAAATCCTCCAACTCTTAATTCTCTTCTCAAAATTATTTATATCAAATTTTTATTAAACATAATCTTTTTCAAGCTCTAAATATCCATTCTGCTTTCATCTTGAAAAATTATAAGAGAGTAATAAAAATTCTGTAAACTCATTTGATATTCACAAACAATTTACTGTTGACTGTAAGTGTTGGATATCTGAATAGAATTTCGATTAAATGAAAAATAAAAAAAAGAATAATAAAATCTTTCCAAAATAGGAAATTAACTAAATTACTTTAAATATTTCCTCTCCTTTTTTATTAAGATAATCCATCAAATTATCATATAGATGTTATTTTGTATTTAATTCATAAACTTTAGTTAACTGCAACTTCTTAATAAAAAAGTGATTATTAATAATATAAATAAGTTTATCTGTTAACTTTTGATTATGTTTCTTAAAAAGCAATTTATGGAATAATTATTTTACTAACTTTTGATGTTAATCTTAAAGTAAAAGTCATTACTTTCTAAGAAGGAAATAACTTAAACGAGTTAATAAATATAAACCCTCCAATTCATTTCTTTGTCAAAATTTTTACTCAGTGTTCTAATTAAAAGTTCGTAATGATTAATTTTTGATGGATAGTTTCTTAAATAATAATTTAATTTTTTTCCTTCATTTAGACTTTAAAAATATATAGGATATTGTCTAAATACAATAACATTAGATTAGGTTTGTTTAATTTGAGAATTTAATCTTTGCTACTGTAATAGAATCTTCCTCTTTTTAGAGAAATGATTAATAATATTAATTGTGTTTATCAAATACTTGATTTTAAAAATTAATTCTATCCCTAATTTGATAATTGAATCTCTGGTTATTTATTTATCTAATTAAGAAATTACAATCTGTCTTTGATAGTTTCTAAAGATTCTTAGTTGATAAAATTAATTAATATTTTTATTAAATAAAAAAGAGGATGAAATCTGTATATTAAGACATGTTAAATAGAGCATATAATACTCTATTCCATCCATCAGTGTAATGGTTTAGAATTCTGACTCCAGTGAGTTAAAATATAAATATTTTAGGGTTATAATATTTTCAGATACCCTGCACCAGCTTCAGAGAAAATAAATCATATTGAACACGATTTCAAAACTCCTTATCGTGACTCAAAATACTATGTAAGACATGATGAACCTGTAATTGATAGAGTAGCAAAAGTAACATTCAGTGATCCTTTGAATGAAACTTCAACAGAAAAGTAATTAATAATAATTAAGAATCTTTTAGATTAGTAAGATTAAAATTACTAACAAAAGACTAAATTAACAATTCTGAAGCTGTATAAACTGCAACTTAACAATATGAATAAAAATATGGATTGCCTTTATCTTAAAAAGGTAAGATATAAAAAAATAAATAATTAGTATATTCTAATCAAGTTGGAGGTGGAGATGCTCTATAAGACTTTTTTTAAGGTGAAGATATTAGAGAAGTAATGGCTAGCTTTGTAAGAGAATAATGGGAAGAAGTGAATGAAAATGCTCTCCAAGATTTAAATTGTACTAATTTAGATGATGATTATCATCCAAACTTAAATGAAAAGGTTGGATTTAATCTTTAAGAAAATGATCCAGTTTTTAGATAACTAATTGTTGATCTACACACTTTAGTTAAAAATATTGGAGTAATTTAATTGTTTTCAATTTTATTATAGGAAAAAACAAAATAAGAAGGTCATCTAACATTTTTCAGAGGAGATCCAAACTATTGGCATGTATTAGATAATAGTTTCCCTGTTGAATCTATTAGATTGATATAAAATACTTTGGGTGATGAAGTCTCCTAATTAGGTATAACATTTATAAATACAATATTTTTAATTTAGATCCAAAAGCCTTATCAAAATAACATAACAGAGAAGATTATCATATTGAACAAAAAGTTTAAGTTCCCATAGAAAATAAATATTATTAATGAAATCATAAAATAAAAAAAATATTATATTATTCCGTATAATCATTATTTACATCATTGAAGAGTACAGGAGCAAGAACACTTTTTCTTCTATTCTTAATATTATAAACGTTCAACAAGATAAATGTCTTAAATTGGTATGCCTTCAATTTAATCTCTAAACGTGACCGCTTTTGCTGACACTCCTTTAAGAATAGGTTGATTATGTTTATCAAATCTTTTAGTTTTTTTTTTTGTTTTTTCTAATACTACACCATCTTGGTTCATTTATTATTTTTAATAAAAATGACTTTATAATATCAAAAAGTAAAAATAAATTGAGTTTATTTATATTAAACAGAGAAGAGAAAATATTAACACCTTAAATTAGTTAAAAGTCATCTAACTTTTAATTTTATAATTACATTATTATTTTAATTCTTCGTTATTTAATCATAAAAAAGTTAAATTTTTCACATTTAAAATTTAAAGAGCAAATATTTTGATATAAATTTTTATTTTTTATGAGAGACGATTCATTCCAGCTGTTATTATAAATTTAGTAATTCCGAAAATCCATTTTATCAAAAACAACTTTTTAAACAATTCAACAACCTCTTCATAATTTTGTCCAGGATAAAGTCCTTGATATACATCATAAAGTTCATTAAAACTAATCTTTTTCTCCCTTTTTGTATCAAAGGCATTAAATATGGTGGCAAAAACTTATTTCTTTTATTAGTTGAAATGATTGATTTGCTTAATTAACTTGTCTCATTTATTAGAATCCTTAAAAAGTTTCTTATGGATTATTTATTTATTTAATCAAAGATTTTTCTAGGCCTTACTAAATTGATATTCTTTATTTAAAATTATATATATATTATACATATTAGTAATTTTTTATAAAGGTTTTAGATTATTCGCATCAACTAATTTCTATATTGGATTATTAGAGAACATAATTGAATCTAATTACAATTCTTTATGATATAAATGTTGATAATTTA